TAAAAGAAGGTAAGGTAAATAAAATTATAAGTAATAATATACTGCGGAGGGAAGGAGTAAATAGGGAGAGTAAAATGAATATAAGTAGTAGAGAGAGAGGGATAGGACGAATAGGCGGTAATTATAAATATAGAAGGTTAGGAAGGAAGGAGGTAAATAAAAAGTATATAATCCGGAGCGGGTTAATAGAGTATAGTAGGTAGTTAAGGGTAATAGGGTTAGAATAGAAGGTATAATAATAGAGTTGGGTTTAGGACAAAGGGCGGGATAATTAGGAAGGCGTTATATAGATAGGAGATATTCGTAGAGGGAAGGGAATATAGGATTATAGAAGGTGTAAATACTTTAAAGAATAAAGGAACGAATATTTAAAAAGAAGAATATAAATGTTAGAATTAAAGAAAAGGTATAGAAGTTTTATAGACGGAATTTATAAGGGGGGGGGTTATATTAGGATACTCTAGTCCTTCTAATATTATAACGCTAACGTTTATAATCTAACTAACCTTATTAAGCAAAGGTCTTAAATAACCGACAATAGTAATTAGTTATAATTATCGTAGTTAAACTACTAATACCTTAAGCGAAGGTTTTAAGCAATTAACGATAGCGGTTGGTAATAATTATTACGGTTAAACTATTAATATTTTAAGCGAGGGTTTTAAATAATTAATAATAGCGGCTAGCTATAATTATTATAAATTAAATTACTAATACTTTAAGTGAGAGTTTTAAGTAATTAATAATAGCGGTTAGTAATCATTATTACGGTTAGGCTACTAATATATTAATTCGTCCTTCGGTATTTTTATTTAATTATTAATTTAAACCAATTAATTATAATATTTTAAGCCCTTTAGTATTATAATATTAACGTTCTTTATCGCCTTACTAAATTTTTATTTAAAATCGTTACGCTAACCGACGTTCTCTAGTATTTTATTAAATTTTTGCCCAAAAGTATTACGCCGACCGATATTCCCTAGTATTTTACTTAACTTCTACCTAAAAGTACTATACTAACCGACGCTCTTTATCGCTGTATTAAATTCGGCCTAAAAGCGTTACGCTAGCCGACGTTCTCTTACGTTTTACTAAGCTTCTATTTAGAAGTACTATACCGACCGACGTTCGCTATCGTTATAGAAGTTCCAAGGACGGAACCTATAAGGGGGGGGTTATATTAGGAAATTAAAAGGTAACCGCCGGGGAAGGGATACTATAGTACTATAGTACTAATATACTATTTTATTTAACTAAATTTTTACTTAGAAGTATTGCGACGGCTGACGCCCTTTTTCGCTTAATTAGCCTTCAGCCTAATAATATTAGAGTATTTAATAAGATAGGGTTATAGGAAGGATAATCCGGCGCCGTATTGTAGTAGTACGCTAGTATAGGACTCTATAACTAATAACTATAATGGAATAGAATTTGTATTAGTATAAAAGAGATTCGAAGGAGCTTCGTTCTTTGTAGTTAGTAGCTATTAATATATTTTTAAATTAACCCCTAACTTACCGTCCCCTATGTATAGCTACGACCGTACTCACCTCAGCCTACCTTCCTCCTACGTCCTAACAGGTCGACTTTACTTATATTTTCGTTATCCTTAGAGGAATTTTTAATATTAGAGTTAGTAATTATAACTCTATTAGGGATATTCGGTAGGGCGGCTATTATAGTATTAAATTAGGAAGTTTTATATTTTTTATATGTTTTCTCTATACGGTTATACTCTAGGTATTTTACTACTCTATATTCTTCCTTTTTATAAATAAAATATTTTCCTTTTACTTAGAATTAACGGTATTTTTTAGTACTAGGTTTCTTATAGAAGAAAGAGGATCTAGGTAAATAATTTCTTCTTAAATTAAACGTTAATATAATTATAGTCTTTGTACTTAATTCTTTGTAACGGGACTTTTTGGATAATGTAGTTAAGGATATAGTATTTAATTAGTGGCTTTTATTAATAGATTGAATAATAGTGTAGTAGTCTTCGAAGCTCTTGCTAATATTTAGATAGATTACTATAGTAAACTCCTTAAATTGTTTGGGTAGTTTACGCTTTAGTATAATCTTCTAGTAGTAAGTTGGGATATAGATTTGTCCGGCTAGTCGTACGGATTTAACTTTAAAATCCTAGAAATGCTTATTATCCCTTATAGTTAACTTTTCGAATTTTATATTAGTTTTTTTGAAAGTATTTTTATTTAAATAGTTCTCCTTTAAATAGTTTAGGAGTTGGTCGATAGTAGTTAAATAGGGGGGGTTATTATTATATTTATAAATAAAAGGAAGGATAGCTTTGGTAGCTTTACCTCCTAAACGTCCTACAATAATATTGAATACCGTATATTTAATAGCGAAGTGGTCTATATTAATTTTTAGTATGCTATAGATTTAGTAGAGCTATATTTCGAAAAATACTTTATTTCTACTAGTTTTACTATAGAAGAGGGGAATATTAGGAATTTTGGTAGACTTTTTTCCTCGGTCCTTAAATAAATAGGAGGATTGCTCCGAATTAGGGCGAGGAGATTAATTAATAGGGGTGTAGGGTAGATATTAATTTCGATACTTATTTTCGCCAGTGTACTTACGGCGATTATTACTTAAATTACTTAATTATTCCGAATTAGAATCCTCATTGAATAAGTTAGGATTGTCGGGCGTTTGGCTACTATTCCTATTACTATTGCCTCCTCCGCCCAAAATATTATTAATCTATAATTTAGGGGGTTTCGTAGGGTTCTTAATTCTAGTAGGGACCTTATTGAGTGCCCTACTAATATTACGCTTAGGGGAAATATAAATATAGTATTTTTAATAAAAATTATTCTAGGTAGATTTAGCGAATTTTTTAGTAAATTTATATTCTTTATCTTTAATCGAAGCGTATAAAATAAGGTAATCCTTAATAATTAGATTCTTTTTAAATAACCGGTTATTTTTTTCTAATTTAATAATTTTTTCCTTAATAATTTATAACTTTTATTAAGTATAGTCGATAAGAAGGTCGGCGGCCTTCTTTTTTTTGCGTAGGGGGATAAATTTGTCTTTTATAGTATTAATATCCTTTTCGAATTTGAGGATTCGTTTGCAAAGTTCTTAGGATAAATTATTTATAAGGGGTTTACCTGGGGTTTAAAGTTGGGCGGTATTTAACTAAATTATTAAGGTATTAACTTTACCTTTAAGGTATATAATTTCTATTTAATTTATAATTCGTTAAACGTTTGATCCTTCTATATAAGCTTTAATAAATTTATTATTACGAAGGTTAAAGTTATTTATTATTTTAATTAAAGATTCGTTGTAGGAGAAGCGATTATATTTAACCTTCTTACGTTCTTTATATAATTCGTCCTCTAATTATTAGTAAATAGTTTCAGAATTAATTAAATGTTCTTAGAGGTTAACCCCTTTAGAAGTTATAGTAGTAATATTACGTTCGTCTTTAATATGCACGATAATTGCGTTTTATTCCTTTATTTTTTGGATGAAGTAAATAATAAAGGAATGTATTTCACGGACTATAGTATTTATATAATTTATTATTTCAATTAAATTATTAATTAAAGTATAGAAAGTTTATAGGGATAGGAAACGGATACGAATCTCGTTCTATATTGCGGCGGGATTTTTATTATAGAGAGTAGTAAATTAAATAGAAGTTATTATTCCTTTCTAGGAATTTAAAGCTGCGGACTTTTATCTTTCGTTTGTAAATAGTTAGAAATAGATATATTTATAGCTTCGACGGTTCTTATACTAATCCGTTATATAGTTAGTTCGGTTAATAATATTTAATAATAAATTGTTAAATAATAGGGTAAATTGTTTATTACCAATTTTTGATATAATATTAGCTAAATAGAGGTTATATATTTATTATAGTAAAAAGTTAATAAAGTCCTTTATATCCGAATTATATTTATTTTTAAGGATAGTAGGAATTATTTTATTAAATTTATAAATATCGAACAATATCTATTTAATAGCTAATAAGCTAGAAGGGATATTATTTTAAAGATTATAGAAAGATTCAATACTAAAGCGAATTTTACAATAGTATAATAGTTACGTTTTATTAAAAGGTCCTTCTATAAAAGATTTATTCTTAAATAGTAGGGGGCGATTTAATATATTTTACTATATAGTAATATAATTATATAATGCGGATAAATTGCGTATTGTAGAGGAAGTAGGAGAATTGCAATTTTTTAATTAATTATTAATAGCGGGGGTTATTAGTTATTATATAAAGGGTTTTATAGTAAGTAAATTTAGATACGCTATAGTAGGAGAAGGTATTTCGGCCTTTTTAATATTGGTGTTAGTATTAGTATAATTTAGGGTATAATTATTAGTCGTTGGACTGCCCTTGGGCTAGCTTCTTAAGTTATTATTCGTTATATTAGGGTTCGATACTTTTAACTATAAGAGATATGGGTCTCGCAGTAGGATTTTGTAATATTAGGTTCTTGCTATAGTTATAATTATTAAGCTCTTGCGGTTTGAACGGTCGGTTATAACGACTTTAAGTACTATTGGGTTCTTGTCGCAATTTAGCGATTTTAGATATTAGGGGTTGTTTGAGTTGGAATATTATAATTACTGTCCCTGGTTGTATAATAGGATTAGCTTTAATATTATATAAGGGCGTATATAGTTACGAGAGTAAGCTAGCTTAAGGAGGTTATAGTACAATTCAATACAATATTAAAATTAAAGAATAAAAGAAAAGAAGGGTAAGAGCGAGCTAGTTGTACGAGGTTTTGTAGTATACGTGCGCCAAGCCCTACCAGGGCGTAGTAGGGGCGCGCCGTGAATGCGCGCGACCACGTGACCCTATCCCTTCTAGGCAGTCATGGTTCTGGGCCATGACAGCGATCATCTATCTACATAACCCAATCGGCTCGGTGGTTCTTTGACTGACACCTTAGTCCTTGCCTTCCATATAGCTCCTCCACCACTGATTCCTGGAAATGGAAGCTTCATCAATCTCTACTTTCCATCCACCTCCATCATTTAATCTATCTCAACATCCTTAATGTCACTCTAGTCTCATCAAGTCTCCGTTGGACCGCTTGCCGTGGCCATGCATTGAGCTTTTGCCATGGCTGCCCGATGACACGAGAACGGAATTTCTCTCCCGGGATATTACGTGCCATGGAAGTTTGTTATCCAGTTGGAGGAATCCGGATGTAGCTTGGAAATTATGCGAAATGGCAAGCAAGTACTGACGAATACCAAACAAAGTGCAGTATCGCCCAATCTATCCTGTCCCGGGCTCTGGGATGCGTTACATTGTCTTGTAGCGTCGTTGAAAAAAGAAGTAAGAGATATAAAAGGCAGAGACGTCTCACTTCTTCTGGTTGACCTCCAGTCCATCAGTCACCACGCTATTGCTTCCAAGCACAGGCAAACATATCCTCAACAGCCAGCCATCATGCGCTTCGATCTCCTTGCCCTCTCGGCCTTCGCCCCGCTCGTTGCGGCCCACGGTGCCGTAACCAGCTATATCATTGGGGGCACTACCTACCCAGGTTACGAGGGTTTCTCTCCTGCCAGCTCCCCCAAGACCATCCAGTTCCAATGGCCCAACTACGATCCGACGATGACCGTCTCCGACGCCAAGATGCGCTGCAACGGCGGTACCTCCGCCCAGCTGAGCGCCACCGTGCAAGCCGGCTCTAACGTCACCGCCGTCTGGAAGCAATGGACGCACGAGCAAGGCCCCGTTCAGGTGTGGTTGTTCAAGTGCCCCGGCGCCTTTGGTTCGTCCTGCAAGGGCGACGGAAAGGGCTGGTTCAAGATCGATGAGATGGGCATGTGGGGAGGCAAGCTGAACAGCGCAAACTGGGGAACCGCCTTGATTGTGAAGAACCACCAATGGAGTAGCGAAATTCCGAGAAACATGGCACCCGGGAATTACCTGATCAGACATGAGCTGTTGGCCCTGCATCAGGCCAATACGCCGCAGTTTTATGCCGAGTGTGCACAGATTGTGGTCCAGGGCTCAGGCAATGCGGTTCCGCCTAGCGACTATCTGTATTCAATCCCGACCTATGCGCCTCAGAATGACCCCGGCGTGACGGTAAGTCAGAGAACTTGTCCATATTAGGTGGTTTCTGGGCATGAAAAAGCTGACGCGAGACTTCAAGATTGATATCTACTCGAGCAAGGCCACAACATATACTCCTCCTGGTGGTCGCGTCTGGTCTGGATTCCAGTTTTGAAAAGTTCGGGCATGGCTGCATGGCCCCAGCAGTGACAATCCAAATAATCATGATGAAGCACAAATGCCTCTCCAGCATCCAAAGGTTTGATATGTAGGGTTTATTATCCAAAAAAATCTATATAGTATATCCAAGTAGCACACCGGGTGCATAATGATTAATCCCTCGATGGGCCGGCCACCTGCTTTAATCTCCCCCGACTTCAACCTCATCGTCATTGAAATCTAATATTGACCGCCTGAATTCAGCCGGTACTTCAACATCGTCCACGTTCCCACCGTCTTCGTTTCGGAAACGTCCCTTCGCAAACCCAAACACGCTGTACCTTGCACCCGCCCCAACAAAGAGAGTAATCCTCCCTTCAACAAATTCTTGAAGCAGGGTCGGGCGGTCGATAACATCAATGTTAGGGTAGCCGGTGGGGCGTGGCACGCCGCACTGATTTTGTGCATTGGAACCCCAGACGTAAACCTTCCCGTCCTGATCAACTGCGAGGCTGTGTTGCCTGCCCGTCGCCACCTGGTCCCATCTGCAATTATCATGGAAGTAGTGCCACCCGGCAAACTGCGGAGCCTGGGTAAAATCATTCCCCGGCGGAATAGCAGGAATCAGCGGCTCATTGTCTTGGTTTACCACGCCCATGGCATTCGGCATCTCGTGTTCGTTCCCCCACGCTTCTCCCCACCCGTTCCCCCGAATCGCGAGCCCGTATCTCAAGGCCCCGGAAATCGCCTTGATCGCCGACTCTGGCTCGTCGTCCATGTGCCCGATCCCGCTCAGCCACGGCGCCTCCGTCGGATACAGGACAACCCTCATACGATTCCCGTCTGGCGCATCCGGATGTCCAGGTGTTTCCACAAAGGGGGCTTTCGACAGAGGAAGCGTCGTCTGCATGTCGTCATTCTGTCCCCAAACGTAACACAACTGTGTCCCTTTGCGGTTCCCGCGCGTAAGCGGCTTCGACACCGCAAAGCTAAAGTTGGCACCGCAGGCTACATATCGTATGTTGACCAAGTTGGCCACCACACCGGGCGCAAAGGGGTGGTTCATGTTGCCATAGGGATCGTGGCGGTAGCGGGGGTTTCGTAGGCGGCGACCCAAGAAGCGCCGGCCCAGGATATTCATATCCGGGGTACCCCATGAATAGACGAGACCGGATTTGGAAAGGGCCAGCACGTGGTTGGAACCGCACGCGATTTGGATAATCTGCGGGTTGTCCGTGGGGAAACGGATCTTCAGGGGCGAAGGTTGGTTGCGCAATTGGCCTTGTTCGGGCCACTCCATATGGTAGGGGTGGAAGGCGTAGAAGCGGTGCACAGCATCGTTCTCGCCGCCGTACTACTGTTTGTGCGGTGCAATGTTGAGGTTAGTTAATGTTGCTGGAGATGATGAAGGAGAAGGGGGAGAAGGGGGGATATGCATACCTCGAAAGCACCCCATCCATAGACCTCACCCGTTTCGGTCAAGGCAAAGGAAGCATGATCGGTCACGGCCACCTGAGTGAAGACGGTGCCACGTTCGATGGCGATGGGGTTGATATGGCGCGGTGTTTGCAGAATGGAATCGATTCTCCGTCCTTCTGGTGAGTTTGGATTGTCGTCCTCGCCCTCGACCCGACTCCAAGGTACCCATCTGCCGTCGCCAAGCTGCCATAGGCGCGTTGTCCGGCCGAGGGCGCCGTGTGTGTTCGAGCCCCAGGACAGGACCCGGTTATCTGCTGTGAGCGCTAAGCAGTGGTTGTTCCCCACGGCTATAGCAACGGTTTGGTGATCCTCGCTTAGATAAGGGTTTCGCGCCGGCTTTTGAACGATCGTGCGCTCTCTATAACCGGGACCCATGCACAGTTGACCTTTGTCGTTGGCCCCCATGATGAAGACGTCCATGGCCTCCCTAGGGGCGCGGTTGATGATCTCTTGTGGTGGAGGCATCTTGGCTGAGTGTGTTTCTTTCACCCAAAAGTGATCTTTGTAGCTCTAGTGTCGCTGTTCGATGAACACCATGGCGATGGCATCAGGGTCTTTACCCCTACTTATGAAGTAAAGAATTTGATGATGACCATGGTCGTCAAGAACCGAGTACAAATCGAACAATGACACCTCAACCGAACATTTCGAAAGAGAGATCTCGAGGCGGCATTGTCCAGCCATTTTTAGTAACCGAGTCCATTGTGCTAACCCAGGATTGAAGCCCATCTTTGTCCCGGCTCTTTCCTGAGCCCGCTTTGTGATGAGAATGTCATTGTATAGAATTGTGCGCTTTGTCCTCCATGATTTGAGCACTAGGCGATATACCAAAAGGCAATTGAACGATTGAGTATGATTTTGGGAAGATTGTCTGGTTGTAGCGCGGATGGTTGATGAGTGGCCATGGAGAGTGAGAGTCGAAGAGGTAGTTGGTTGTTATTGATAGAGTCTCCAGATATGGAATCGCTCCAGGGATCATGATCCGTACGGTGAGCTCCACTTTTTCGCCCGGTTAGGCCACGCCTTGGCGTCAGGTCCCTTGCCTTCTCGGCAACTGAACAGGGACCATTTGACAGCTGTGGGAGGCTCTTGTCAGGGGTCAATCTCGGAAGGAGCCGAATCGCAGTGTCCATTTGCCATTATCCACAATCAACAACATTGTTGACATTCTCGTCTGGCATTTTAGCATCGCGACGTGATCGTTACGATACGCGAAACCATGCTAAAAGATCTGCCATTATTTCCAAGGATGTCTTCCATGGTGCAGTTAACCTCAAGCGTCAGGGCGCTTTGGCTGGTTTCCGAGTCGGTCACGACATGTCTCAGGGGATAGTATCCTCCACAAAGTCGTTGGTCTACTTGAGCTTTTCATCGCTGATTGCTCATCCGTCTCTCTCTCTTCTCTTCACAAGCATCATTTCATGGGGTAAAGGTACTCTGTGAGCCGAAACGGGCGGATAGTTGCACATAGCATGGTTTCAAGGTTTCAGAAAGGCGAAACCACCAGGAAGGGCTGTGGTGTTGTTTGCATTCCAGTGGTTTGCTCGCGTTTCCTACCCACATTGGCTCTCTGAAACCCGTGAGTGCTGAGATGGGAAATGCTTTTTCCTGCCTTTTGGTCGTGTTGCTTGGGAAATCCATTTGACTGTAAACAGTCAGCATGCAATAGCGTCGACAATAAAGGGTTTAGTTATGTTCGTTTTTCTGGTTTTTTTGCCGCATCTTGTTCCATGCCTCTATCCGGCCCTGTCGCGATTCCTCCCTATCCAAGCTGTCCATAGTGGCGTGGGCAAGACGAGATCGAACGATGGATTCAAACCTGTGTCATAGATGATCAACCCGTGCACTGTCGAGAACGGGCTGGGAAGGCACAAACGGCTATTGTGTGACGACTTGGGAGTTACACGCTAACACCATCGGTAGAGGTACTCAGTCAACGTTGCCATTCTTGGTGCACACTACCAATCTTCCCCCTTTTCCATTTGACATTGACCCTTTACTTACCTCGAATTCATTCGGACGGGATCCATAACTGAGGTGGGTGAAGTGTGCAACTCACCACCAAATTTGTCAGTGTTTGCGACACCCTTTCCTCCTTTCCTTTCCACCCCACCACCTGCCTCTTGCCGACTATACTTCAGTCGGATGGAAGGGAAAAGCTAACTTACGAACTGACTTCCACTTTATTTCAGCAGCAGGAAAGGAAGGAACACTTCGCCAAGTGACCAGAAATCTTTCAAACAATCTTTCAGGTACGTTACCAACCCCGACATCTTCGCAAACCTGGGACGTTTTTGGGCCCGGACCACTCGTTCTGGAAATACCCACGGCCACCGACACCTAGAACCTACGGACGGCCAGACATCTACGGGACGAGGGGCTTGTCAAACCGGTGGTGCTTCCATATCACACCTCAACCTGTTCCCGTCACAACGTTACTGCGAGCCACCGACGGTTTTTGACTCTGTTGCCGCCTCTATTCTGACCAGCGAGGTGATTTTGTAGAGACGAAAAGGTAAGAAGACAGCGCTCGTCACCCCCCAGGACCCCGTGTGACTCCTCTTACGACATCTAAGCGGTCTCTTGCAAGCCACATCAGCGGTCCTCACCCAACTCTTACTTTCGCATCTGCTTTTCCACTGGATTCTGCAATCCCTCAGAAGAACTGTAGGTCTGCCAACTGACCAGGGCCCAGGATTAGGACATTACACCAGAGTATCAGTACCATGGCATCAGAAGGCCACAACACTGGGCCGAGCGACCAGCCAGCTGTGGAAGTTCGTCCAGAGATGACTTCGCAACAGAGCCAGACGTTCAAATCCTACGGCCAGGACTACCAGTTCGCCGAGACCTGGGCGAACCCCCCTCCCGAGTTCGTTGTCAGCACCGGTGTCGCCAACAACGACCAGAACCCCGGCTTGCTGGAAGAGGCGCATCACAACAGCGGGGGAAATGGAGGAGCCGCCAATCTTGCGAGCATTGGGGGCAGTTTCAAGACCAAGGAGTCTCAACATACCGCGGATGAGCAGCCCGAGGTCATCTGGGTCCCGCCTAGCGACAAGCCATGGTACAAGAAAATCGCGAAGCTATGGTGGATGATTGGCGGTATCTCTACCCTGGGCATCATCGCCGTCATCTTGGCCATTCTAGGAGCCCTGGGCATGCTTGACAGCCACCACAACAAGTCTGTTGTCCTCCATACGAATGATCCATATCCATCAGGAACGTCCAAATCGCTAACATCAACAAGTACGCCTCCTGAGTCCACGGCCTCCGCCACATCCTCGATCGAACCCTCGTCATTGTCTACCGGAACTTCGACGTTGCCCGCAGCTTCGCCGACTTCAACCGTGAGTTTAGCTTTACCTTATCACTCCCTCGTCACGAAAGACTCCCAGCTAACAGGACTGTCTATAGAACCTAGCCAAGCAATGCACCGACACCAGCACCTTCATTGAACACCTCGCCTGGATGGGCACCGAGGTCGGAGGTTACGAGGCCACTTACGACGCAGCCAGTTCCGGCCAGGAGTGCTGCAACCGCTGCTTCAACGGTGACCCGGGCTGCGCGGGCTGGATGTACGACGGTGTGAATAAGTTCACGCCCTGCACCAAGGTTATGGTCACCAAGGATGAAGGAAACGCAAACAAGCAATGTCCCAAGGGCAAAGCGGCAGCGACCTTCTTCAGCCAGAATCCTGACAAAAAAGTTGTCGGTGGTATTGGACCGTGCAGTGGAGAGTCCCAGATTCAGCACTAGCAGGAGTGAACGGTCACTGTTCCCAAATGCGTATGCCTCAATCCAAGATCAACTCGCCAATCTCAAACAGGCATCTCTCCGTGCTTTCTAAAGCTTGGAAGCTCGCCATTTCCGGAATCCGGGTCTGAGCTGGTTCTTATTGACCTTATGATCTATTAAGAGACACGCATGGATGGTCTGATAGGAGTTATACGTGACGAATCTGGGGAGAACGAAACCAAGCGATCCGGAATCAAATGGGCGGATCAGTTGCCTTTCAATTTTGTTTTGATTTGAGGGGTTTTCAAAGAAAAGCGGTCACGTATGTTTATTGCATTTCACAGTTTGGTAGAGACGGATACCCGGATACCCGAGCGAAAGCATCGAAGGAAAGTGAAGACTATTAAAGATACTGGTGCAAGTATTATCAGCGTTTATCGGATTCTGGAAGAAATACTACACCATGTATCTCAGGTTATGCATATGCCTCTGACCGGGCGGAGGACACTGTCGTTACAGAGGAGGATGACCGGATGTACGTCATGAAACAGCGAAGATATAAGTCGTGGTCATGATTTATCTGATTGTGGGTACCATCATGGTGTAGTCTGTGATTCTCATGACTATGACGGACAGGTAAGACACCATAACAATTTGATGATCACTTCATCAGATTATCCAGTCCAGATATTATTTTGTCGAGGTCACCATCGTCTCTTTGTAATCGAACAGGAATTGCGCCAAGAAAACTGAAAACAGAGAAAGACAGCAGTGTTCCACAACCCATTTCTCCAACACATACGCGGTTCCAACCCACAAAATGTTCACCAGGCCATTTCGCAAATGCATTCACAATCATTACATTCAAAAGCTAAGTCTAATCATCTGAAGTCTTCATAGCTTTTGTATTTTTCCCATCCTACCCGTGTCTTTTCTAGACCCAACGTACCCTATCACACCTATACAACCACTTAGATAAGCTTGAGAAGCTTAGCGGCGTGGTTCTCGATAAGAGACTCAGTAGGGAAGGCCATCTCCTCGAGCCCCTGGGCGTAGGGCGTAGGGACATCGGCACCGGTGACACGCTGGGGAGGAGCATCGAGGAAATCGAAGCCGTACTCAACAGCCAGGGCAACGATCTCAGCACCGACACCGTAGCTGGGGAAGCCAGACTCGACCGTCATGAGGCGGTTCGTCTTCTTGATGGACTTGAGGATGGCGTCCAAGTCAAGGGGCTTGATGGAGCGCAGGTTGAGAACCTCAACCTCAACGCCGTACTTCTTCTTGAGGGCCTCGGCGGCGACAAGGGACTGGCCGACGCAGCGCGACATGGTCACGATGGTCAGGTCGCTGCCGGCGCGCTCGATCTTGGCCTTGCCAAAGGGGATGACGAAGTCGTCCTTCTGGGCGGCCTCGGACATGGGGAAGACCTGGCCGTACATGAGCTCGTTCTCGAGCACGATGACCGGGTTGGGGTCGCGGATGGCCGCCTTAAGCAGACCCTTGGCGTCCTCGGCAGACCAGGGGGACACGACCTTGAGACCAGGGACGGAACCGTACCAGGCGCTGTAGTCTTGCGAGTGCTGGGCGGCGACACCGGCGGCAAAACCGTTGGGGCCGCGGAAGGTGATGTTGCAGGGCTGGATACCGCCGGACATGTAGAGCGTCTTGGCGGCAGAGTTGACGATGTGGTCGATGGACTGCATGGCGAAGTTGAAGGTCATGAACTCGCACTAGATGTTTGGGAAGAAGGAACATGATTAGCTTGTATGCTTCTGCTAAATGTTTGTTTTTCTGTTCCGCTGCTGGCCGTCGTTACTATCATGGGCGTAGTCGCAGCCATAGGGCTGAACTGATGTAGGGCTGGAGGTATAGCTTAGGATAAATCCAAGCTTCTAGTGACAGGGGAGACTTCGAGTCATGGCTGGTCCAGTGTGCGTCATGATGGGTCCCTTCTGGAGAGTTTACTTACGACGGGGTGAAGACCGCTGAGAGCAGCACCGACGGCGAGACCGGTGAAGCCCATCTCGGTGATGGGTGTGTCGATAACACGCCTGTCGCCGAAGCGATCTAGTAGGCCCTTGGTGACCTTGTATGCGCCATTGTACTGAGCAACCTCCTCACCCATGACAAACACCTTGTCGTTGGCCTCAAGCTCCTCGGCCAAGGCCTCATTCAGGGCATCGCGGACCGTGTAGTCCTTGGTTCCGGCGGGAGCATCGGCGTAGGTCCGTTTTTGGAAACCGGCCACGGAGGCGGGCTTGAAGAAGGACGGGGCGGCAGGACGGGCAACCTGGACACGCGAGGCCGTGGCAGCCAGGCGGACTGCGGGTCGGAGATAGCGCGACATGGCTGGGTGCTTGGTTGTTCGTGGGTTGGAGAAAATATGGAGAAAAAGAGGGTGTCCCGACTCAGGTCAGAAATAATGCAGTGCACTGACTAGCCGACAGTGCGGAGTAATTGGAATGAAGGGGTTTGGGTATGGAGGGTTGCGAATTAGTAGTTTCCTGCCGTCGGTGTCGACTGCAGCGCGCAACTTGTGCTTTGAGCCGGGAAAGGGAGAGGTGAGGACGGGGAAAGAAGGCAGTTGGCTGACTGTTGAGAGCAAAGTGTCAGGTTGGGGATGATGATGACCAGAAAAGCAGGCGCAGCTTTTTTTCTCTCCAGAGAGCGGGAGGGATTTTTTTGGGCCTTGCACCATCCGCCATCAAAAGATAGGGAGCTTGGATCCAGCTTTCGTTAGTTACGCCGCACTCGAGCTTTTTCTCACAGCTGGAACGTTGAACCCCAACGCTTCCTCGGCGCTAGCTTACAAAAGGCCTAGCAAAAGGGCCATCCATGACAGTTTCGCGCGTGTCCTGGCCCCTCAATTGGCTCGACACACCCTGCACGCCTTCGACGACAAGCCCTGGCCCACTGCAATGACAGCTGCGGAGGCAATCGATTTTGGAGAGGCAACCCTGCAACGCCGCGACTCCCCTCACGATCCCGCGTCGCTCACGATAAGCAAGCTCGTTTAGCTCATAAGCAGTGGGTAATGCCGGCTGGCATCGGAGCTTTTACAGGATTGGCAGCATGCAAAGTACACAATTGCTATCCCTCAAAGTGATCCAGAGAGTTTGATGTTTGGGAACTAAGTGAGGGCGAAGACGCATTACAAATATATGGCGGCATTGGCACAGGAAAACATCGGCAACTGTTTGCCTTGTCGTCGTGGATCTGACGGCGTTGAAAGTGGATTGCTGCCCCTCCTCTCCGATACACCCCTGCGGCGTTCGTTAGCATGAGACCTCGTCAGGCTCGTCATAGCCTGGAGGGTCCCAGCTATCAGCACCGCGATTCCTTTTTAATAGAAATGCGTCGACCTGATGGAACTGATACAATTGATAGTTCAGGCCTGGTTTTGAGCTTCCAATAGACACCAATGTGCTCCTTGCCGGCCCCTTTAGAGTTGGAGAAGGTTTGTATCTCAAGAACCTGTCTAACACGTTACTATAACCGATACAGCAAAGTCCGTTGGGGCAAACACAATGCGCCGAAGCCGCGCCGCAGATGAACAGGAACACCGTGAGTGAGTGAGATGAACCGCCGGAGTCGGTGTCTCACAAATGCTACCATGTTACTCGGGCTCATCATACTTACCGTCTGGGCTTCGGCGTTGCGCACTGGCTGTGGAAACCTTCAAGATGACAAGATGTCCAACAACGATTCACTAAACAAACATGAAAGGAGCGGTTTGCTTCGTTCCTGAAAGAAGTGGTAGTCAAGAAAGAGTATATTAGGTTCATTCATACAGGTCATTGTACACGACGTCGTAAACTACCTAGCCAACTCTAACGTCCGGTCTCTTGCTGGCTCTTGCTGCAGCCAATCTAATCTTTCGAACAAAAATCCCGGCGTGACCGGCAATTATTGATTAAATCAGCGTATAAATGCAATAGTTTGTTGCCGTCCCTCCGTGTCATTATGTTTATCCGCTTCATGATGATCCTGATGTAAACCTTATATCCCCGCCTAGAACAATGTACAGAGAAATGGAAATGATTATATGGGGTATCGTTTCAAGCACATTTTTTCTTTCTTTTAGTTGAGGGGCTTCTTGCCAACCATGAGGTACATGGGGGTGAAGAGCTTCTTCTTGGCACCGGCAACGAGACCATCGGCGCCGCGGGCAAGCGCGTCAGCGGTTTTCTTGGTACCCTTGGGGGCAAGGCCGACGGTCTCGAGGATGCCGGCGAAACCGTGGAGGATGCGGCGGGCGGTGTGGGTCATGCGGACGACGGTGAAGAAGTCGAGGTAGCTCTGCATGTAGCGGAGCTCACCAGCAATGGGCCAGTACCAGGGCATGGGGTCGTTGCGATCGGCAAGATCCTCGTGGTGGAGGAGCTCAAAACCGACGTTCTTCATGGCGGCGAGACCCTCGTTGATGGTCACCATGTTGGAGATACCGTTGCCGACTTCGATGGCGAGACGGATGTCACGGTGCTCAACGTTGTCGTTATCGTAGTTGTCAGTCATGAGCCATTCATAGACACCAAAGACACCGCCGGGCTTAAGGACACGGTAGATCTCGCCGTAGACACCCTCGAGCTTAGGAGCGTGGACGGTGGCCTCAATGGCGTATACGGCATCGAAGGAGTTGTCGGGGAAGGACATCTGCATAAAGTCACCCTTGACGAACTTGAGCTGGCCAGAGAGACCATCGCGAACAGCGTAATGAGTGGCGCGGTCGATCTGGTAGTCGTTGTTGTTCAGGCCGGTGATGTGGGCGTCAGTGAACTTGGCGATCTCGCGCGCAGGGCCACCAACACCGCAGCCGACATCGAGAACCTTCATGTCCTTCTTGATGCCGATCTGGGCAGCGAGGTAGTGCTCGTGGCGGGCAATAGCCTGGTAGAAGGACTCGCCGGGGGAGTAACGGCAGAAGTGGAAGCACTGGCCCCAGCCATACTCGTAAATATCGGTCGCGAGGTTGTAGTAGCTGCAGGAAGCACGTTTGTCAGTCTCCACGTATTCGCACAAAGCAGGAATCTTGCGAGGCAAGGCGGGGGAACTCACTGCCTGGTCAAGGTCGCGTACTCCTTGGTACGGGCCTCGCGATCAGCCTGGGTCTCAGCCTCGGCAGTCTTGTTGTCGAAGTGCTTGAAGTACTCGTCCACGGCAATCTGCTGAGCCTCGGTGTTCTTCTTCAGCAGAGCAGCGACACCACCGGCGGCCTTGGCCGAGTCGCCGTGCATGACCTTCTTGAACTCAGCATCACGCTGGTGGTCCTCCTTCTCGAGGGCAATGACCGGTGTGGAAGGCATTTTGGCGGGGTGAATTATGGTGTTGAACGGGGAGAAATTGAGGAGGAAGGCGAAGATCTCGCGAGTTGTTGAATGAGGGGAAGAAGTGAAGATGGGATTGGCACGAACAAGCAGAAGACAACAAGACGTTGCGGTCAGTCGGGATCCTCCATATAAACAAAAAAAAAAGGCCACGACCCCGGACCCCTTTCCTCCTCCTCGTGCTGCTTGCCCTGGCACCTTGCAATTACCCCTGGATGAGAGCTATGCCAGGGTGTACAACGATAGCATGCGATAGCTGCTGTAGTCCATCCACAGAATAGGCGCATCTCAATCGCCAATTGGCCTGAGCGCCCCACAAAATGGCGTCGGCCAATCTGAAAGATCCACCCCCCCTTTCAGCTTTCGGGTTGAACCGTTGTGACCTTGAAACTTGGCGCCAGCGAATTGGGTGAAGAAGCACTCGAAACATGCGAATTCGAATTCGAAATCCACGTGAAGGTTCGGGATGTTCTCGCCCCCCGCGCCCGTGCACTCAAATCCCGAATACGAATACCAATCCGACTTGTGGGGGATGCTCAGTTAAGCTTGAGCCACGGCCAGGTTTCTTACGGGCACATTGTAACGCGTGTAACAGAAGACGTGGCGTAATTACGCCACATTGATTGATAAGAGTTCTGATAAGCACCGAGAACGTCTGGACAAGGAAAGAGAAGGGCCCGAACTTGAGCAGGTCACCGTTGAAAGTCGGCAAGTTTCCAGATCATCATCATCACCACTGCGTACACCACCCGCCGCCAACCATCGCGTCACTATTCGATCTTCAACGCGTATTCAACCCACCAAGATTTTGCATCAAGCCCGATATGCCGCCGCAAATTAAACACGATCTCAACCGCTCCGGTTGGGAGGCGACCGACTTCCCCTCCGTTTGCGAAAACTGCCTGCCCGAGAACCCTTACGTCAAAATGCTCAAGGAAGACTACGGTGCCGAATGCAAGCTTTGCACCCGCCCGTTCACCGTCTTCAGCTGGGCCGCTGATCGCGCTCACGCCCGCAAGAAGCGCACCAACATCTGCCTCACCTGCGCTCGCCTCAAGAACGCCTGCCAATGCTGCATCCTCGATCTTCAGTTCGGTCTGCCCATCATCATTAGAGACAAGGCCCTCGAGCTTGTGGCCCCCGGCCCGCAGAGCGAAATTAACCGCGAGTACTTTGCACAAAACAACGAGCGCGCGATTGAGGAAGGAAGAGCTGGTGTAGAGGAGTACGAGAAGGCGGACGAGAAAGCAAGAGAGCTGCTTAGGAGGCTGGCACAAAGCAAGCCTTATTTCAGGAAGGGCAGGGAGGTCGACGAGGAGGGTAACCCCGTTAACGGATCATCGAGTGGCGCAGGACGGGCGACGGGAGGCAATCCTGCTGTGGGAGCTGGTGTTGGTGGGGTTGGTCCGATTCGCATGAGAGATTCCAGGGCGGCCGCAGCTGCTGGCGCCAGACCCGGCGGCGGACGAAGACCCAACGCAGCTCCGGCGCCTCCCCCGGGACCCAAGGACTGGCTGCCACCGGCCGACAAGAGCATAATGTCTCTCTTCGTCACCGGTATCGAAGATGATCTGCCCGAGTTCAAGATCCGCGACTTCTTCAAGGCGTTCGGAAAGATCAAGTCGCTGGTTGTGTCGCACATGTCGCATGCCGCGTTCGTCAACTACGAGACTCGGGAGGCTGCCGAGAAGGCTTCAGCGGAGTGCAAAGGCCGTGCTGTCATTGCCGGATGCCCCTTGAGGGTTAGATGGAGCGTGCCCAAGGCATTGGGAACAATGAACAAGGAACAGCGTTCGGAGATGCTACGAGATGGTCGGTCGGCCTTTGGCAGTGGTCAAAAGACAGGTGGCCAAAAGGCGATCGGGGGACAAAATGCCCAGGGTAGCGCATCAGAAGCGCAGAAAGACGACGCATCCAACCTCACTATCGCAGCGCCGCCCGGTGCGGCAGACGTACAGTACGCCAGTCTCTCTGGCAACTAAGCGGGGTCAGAAAAGTGCTTATTAATCATGGTATTGCAAGGCGTTCGGAGGCTATTATGATTTGGGGTTTGGGCTCAGGGTATCTCGGATACAATGCATTTCCTGATATCGCATGGTCTCTTCCACTAGTTTTCTACATTGAGGGGTATCATCGATGATTTATACATATACACGGGCAACAGCACTGTCCTGTTGTCCCATTACGTTCTCACGAACTTGAGCTTCCAAAATCCTTGTGTTTTCCAACCATGGCTTTGTATTCACTTATGCCGAGCAGCACTTCTGCTCGCCGCCGATCTTGATGGTCTGGTTGCCTAGCTTGATCGTATCGTTGTCGCCGCGCTCGGTGTCCTGGTGAATCCGTAGCTCTGTGAGGAACAAGCAGTCAGTAACCATATCCTGTAAATAACTCTAGCACCCCTAGACTTCACTCACTGTAGGTCTCGCCGTCCTTACGGCCCTGGACGACATTGGATCTCAAAAAGCTGGCAACTTCCTCGGCATGCGCAATCGCAGGCGCAATCGTAGGATCGTTGGCGGGAACGTTCTGGTTCTCGCGGAAACCACGGCGGATGGACTCGTAGGCGGCGGTAAGGGTGCGGTTATCGCCTATGATAGTGGCACATGCCGGTCAATCCGGGGAGCTACATGGGCCGGCGGGTGCACCAAGGGGACTGCATGGGGAACATCGTACCATCAAAGGCAACTCTCGCGGCGCGCATGAGGTGACGGTAGGCTTGAAGGGCAGACATGTTGACAATACCGCTGGTAAACGAGGGTCATGCAAGGAAATGCAGGTTCTAAAGAAGGTAAATAGTATTGTATCGCCAACTTCCGGTCTAACAAAAGGATTCAAGGCTTGTCTGGAAACAGTTGCAGTGACGGCAATGCGACCTCCAAAAATGTCGCCCAGGACCGGGTAGGCTTGCCGGCCGGAGTGGACTTGGAGTTGCGATGATTGTGATTGGCGGTCGATAAGCAAGATGTGGGGAGCTTGGCCATCGAAAAATTTCCAGAATTCCGTCGGTAAAAAGACAACAGAGGGGCCCCGCCTATACAAGCTTCTGGTTCCTGCGCCTGTCACTGTCTCCCAACCCAACCATCACCATCCTCATCATCAGCCGCAAAAATGACTACTGTGGTTCCCCTTCCTCTCCCCACCCTCCCTGAGGGCTGGACCGCCGAGAAGGACTTCAAGCCCATCGGCAAGATTGCCCAGAATGAGGCTACCCAGCGCACCATCGAGCCCGTCGGCCCTCACTTCCTCGCCCACGCCCGCCGCGCCCGCCACAAGCGCACCTTCTCCGAGGATGACCGTATCCAGGCCCAGGAGCGTGCCAAGAACGTCGAGGAGGATAACGAGAGCGACCTCAGCGAGCCCGAGGACCCCATGATGCTCTCTCGCGACGCCAAGGACTGGAAGGTTAGTGCTCAGCGTGTAATGGTGCATGCCACGAGAGACCTTGACAGCTAACCTGTTTGCCCCCGTATACAGCAACAAGATCACTACAAGGTTCTCGGCCTTTCCAAATACCGCTGGAGGGCCACTGAGGAGCAGATCAAGCGCGCTCACCGCAAGAAGGTCCTCAAGCACCACCCCGATAAGAAGGCCGCCGCTGGCCGCACCGAGGACGACAACTTCTTCAAGTGCATCCAGAAGGCCACCGAAGTCCTCCTCGACCCCATCAAGCGCCGCCAGTTCGATTCCGTTGATGAGGAAGCCGATGTCGAGCCCCCCACCAAGAAGCAGCTTCAAAAGGGCAACTTCTACAAGCTCTGGGGCAACGTCTTCAAGGCTGAGGGCCGTTTCAGCAACACCCAGCCCGTCCCCAGCTTCGGCAACGAGAACTCTACCCGCGAGGAGGTCGAGAACTTCTACAACTTCTTCTACAACTTCGACAGCTGGAGGTCGTTCGAGTACCTCGATGAGGATGTTCCCGATGACAGCGAGTCCCGCGACCAGAGACGCCACACCGAGCGCAAGAACCTCAACACCCGCAAGAAGAGAAAGGCTGAAGACAATGCTCGTCTTCGCAAGCTGCTCGATGACTGCTCGGCCGCCGATGAGCGTATCAAGAAGTTCCGCCAGGAGGCCAACGCCGCCAAGAACAAGAAGAGGCTCGAGAAGGAGGCTGCCGAGAAGAAGGCCGCTGAGGAGGCCGCTGCCAAGAAGGCTGCCGAGGAGGCTGCCGCTAAGGAGGCTGAGGAGAAGGCCAAGGCCGACCGTGAGGCAAGCAAGAAGGCCAAGGAGGCTGCTAAGAACGCTGTCAAGAAGAACAAGCGTGTCCTCCGTGGCTCCGTCAAGGATGCCAACTACTTCGTTGAGGGCGATGCTTCCGTTGCCACCATCGATGCCGTTCTCGGTGATGTTGAGCTTATCCAGGCGAAGATCGATCCCGATGAGATCGCTGCCCTCGCTGGCAAGCTCAACAACCTTAAGGTCGCTGACGAGATCAAGGCTGTCTGGAACGAGGAGGCCGCCCGCCTTGTCGGTGCCGGCAAGATCAACGCCGGTGACCTCAAGGCTCTTTCTGCTTAAACGATCTGTTACCGAGTCATGAGATAATAGTGAATGTTCATGTTGGCGTTTGTCTATAACTACTAGAATTTAGACGTGGAGAAAAACAGAGATGTTGACTGATACCATTGGAGATGGAGTATACTTTTTCCTCGCCAGCCAAACTTTTGCTCCGATGTGTGATGCCGTATCTTTGGTTGTCACTGTTACAGAAATCCCTACTTGCTGTTATGTTGAAAGCGGCTCCAAACTCTGATGATGAAGCGCATGAGTTGGCCGGTAGGCTCGATCATTTCTTCAACGATTCGGGCTTAAGAGTACAAAATCTTAAGAAACAATACCCACTGCTAAGGATTAAAAATCTACCACTATCCAGCTACATTCATAATTCAATACGTAAGTACGCATGACAATGCTTTACTGCTCGCTTTCAGTCTTTGTCCTTTTTGGGACGGTTAAGCTTTATGCACAAGCACGCTTGTACATGCCGTCTCGAGCAGCAACTGTAAAAGCATCATCACATGCGCATATAGCAGATACAACTAAGTACATAATTCACATTTACATGCGTGCCTCGCCGACGACGTAGGTACAGTTCACATCAGATAGAAAGAACAAGAAGGAAAGCTCACAAGGCATATACGAAGTCTCTGATAAGCAAGGGAACAAGTCCAGGGCCGTTCCGACCGTTAATCATAAATCTGAGGTACAGCCACCTTGAACTCCTAGGTTTACTGTTCCCGGATAATCTGAGCCATTCAATTTCCGGATAAATTCGATCTGATGTCAAGCTTGAGCTCTCAGTCCATGTACGTAGTAGGTAGTGTACGCCAAAACCTGCGGTTCCTAGAGTGCGCAGGTGGGTCCCAGCTTTTGCCGACAATCGATGGGCTCCACAGCGGACCGTCCCGCGGACTAAGCCTTTTTGGGCCCAAGGGCCGGGCATGGTGCAGTGGTCACTGTTTCGGACGATGTTTAGACTTTGTTCACAATGTCTTCTTCCAATACTGGTATGCTTCATATTGGTATATGCTAACTAGCCTTTTAAAGACTATGCATCAACATTCTCAAGGGCTTTTGAGAAGCCCTGAGGCTCATCTTAATTTCACTCTCGTCAAGCCATATGCTGTAGAGCAGGAGCTTGATAGACGATAACTGGCCAAGTCAGTGTGCAAGCTTTTGTTTTGTCAAGCACGATCCGAGACAGAGGTGATCAACCGGTCACTTAGTCTTGGGTCTGCGCTGAGGGAATCATAGCTTACAGCAGTTATAGGCTGCAAATCTATGCATCGCTACCGTAGTTGGAATTCATCATGTCAAATATCCGCCGTTGGATACTGTTTGTTAAGAGTTTGGTACCCGTTTCTAACGTGAAGCTGTGGACGCCGTCTTAAATATTCTTTCTTTGCCGATGGCTTCAGTAAACTGTTTCATAGTCTACGAACACAATCGTCACAAGAGTTGCTTAGCTATTGGATCCTATCAACAAGAGCCTAATATCCTACTTCTCCTTGTTGCGTTCGGCTATCAGGACTAGGCAGCAAAACCTTTATGAAGTCCGAATCAAGGAAGTGACGCAATGCAATTATGCTGTTGCTCAATGGCCCCCTCAAGTTCCATCGGTATCTTACTGCAGATGTAGAAACGGGCACCGTTATGCTTCATCACTCGACGCCCGATAAGAATGACGAGTACCCTCATGTTAGTTATATCCAAGTAGAAAAGAGGCGATCAAGACACGCTTCGCTATAGAAGTGGGCAGTACTACATACTGATGAGGAGCGATCTGGGAAAAGCTAGTAGAGGAGATTATAGGATACGACGTGCTGGTTTCCAAATAGCATGCGATTGAGAAAAACGAGGATGGACGGACGAACGACAGTGCAAGCTGATTTCCGCTTCATTCTGTCCAGGAAGTTCCACAATTCAATCCATCGGAAATGAGACGCCGATATGTGATAGTAATTGATGTTAGATAGAACACGAAAAAAAGAGCCCCCAAAAGACTTCAGAGTCAGGCAAGCCAGTTACTGTCTTCCCATCTTACCTGGCGTCTCTAGTTATTAGCCATCGATGATTATGAATGTACCCGCGTAATCAGAAACCTTAGTTGTCAGGATTGTGAGGTCGTCAACGCGCTACCGTTGAGACTCATTCGAATTGGGTTCATTCCCACACGTACTCGACAATTACGTCTGGAGAGCGATCGGCATACCGACGCCTCAATGTGAGAAGGGGGAGGGAGGAGGAGCCTCCGGCTTGCTGATTTACGTGGCAGGTACATGATTACACGTTTTTCATAGGTGGCAGAACAGCCCTCTGGCATTTTACGCCAAAATAGAAACAAAGTCAAAGAAACAGAAGTCATAGATGAAAGTGAAGAGGTGCTGTGGGTAGAGCGTGTCTCGCTAGGCGCATGAGGCCTCGGATAGAATGATGACACGGGTGAAATGCTTCGTTAAATCAGCGAAATAACATTGTGAAAACCATAAGTACGTAAAAACATTATCTGACATGCTTGATAAGCCTTCAAATACAAAACGACAGCTTCTAGTAGGGACACAAGATACAGCGGGCAGTGGAGCGTAGAGGTTATTCAGTTGATGCCTGACCCAGGTCGCTTTTTGTGATTCAACCTGTTAAATTGGGTGGAGATGCTCAACATGGCGCAATGTGCATAGTGAGTCCATCGCAGAAATCATCAGGATGGAAGTCGTTTGATTATGTTGGGTTGAGGGAACTATCTGGTGCATGTGTGCCAAATGTTGATGGCTGTTTCTCGTCTGTCGGGTTTTGCTTCATGATATTCACCATTCTGACTCATTCCAGAAAAAGAATCGAGTTTGAAGCCATTTCCAGCACAACAACGAACCTATCCACGAAAAGATATTGCTGGCCATGCGAGGCAGGGTCCCCTAAATGGAAGTTGTTGCCAAGAGAAAAGCTCATGGCTCAAGATTTTAAAGTTGTGGGGGAGGGGCTCACAGGATTGACTCCACTATATCTCCACAATAATGCTCGCTGTGGAGCTATGATTGGAGCTCCCGTCCAGACCGGATGATGACTGTGTCAGCATCCCCCAGCCGACGTCGGAGTCCTGGAGCATTTTAAGCCAAACAAAGTTGCACCATTGAGTCACACTTGGAACTGAAGTATCATCCAAACTTCGAGGCGGCTAGCGCCACTGTCGTGGTGTATCGTCGGCCAGCACGACTGTGTGGAGTAAAGCTTTATACAAGCCACCTCCGGTCAAGATCAAAGATTAGGATCAGTTAGGGTCAGTTCCTGGATTATAGGGGGCCGATGAAAGACCCCCACGTGTGAATGGGAATATGGCCCTTCGAGAAAGGTGGTTTTGAACATTCTTTGTCGTGATTGAAAGTGATGATTTTGGACATAGTTGGCCAAGCTTTAGCGAACCCGAGCGAGGTTTTGACTGGCTCCCGCCCGTCGTGCAGTCCTCGATTTTCGATGGCCCCACACTGTCACATTAGCCAGCCCGCTAAACTTTTAGGCCCTCTGATTCACCCTTTGGCGTCAGTCGTCCAGAAAATAAAATATCGCGAAGTCGGCGCTTTTCTTGCGCTACCTCTCTCCAAGAAACTCTACCAATTGGCCCTTTTAAAACTCTTTTCGGTCTCGTCTTGGCTCCTAACGCAGATCGGACACACAAACAAAACACAATCACAATGGCGTCTGTATTACCCGATCCCACAATCGACCTCGACTGGTCCGGGTATGTCGGTTCCATCCAGGAGCACTTCAGACGCAACGCCGAGGCACATCCCGAAAGGACATGCGTCGTCGAAACCAAGACTTCCACAACACCAGAGAGACGTTTCACATACCGCCAGATCTATGAAGCCTCCAACACGCTAGCCTGGTATCTGCACAAGGCCGGCATCACCAACGGCGATGTCGTCATGATTTGGGCCCATCGGTCCGTCGACTTGGTGGTGGCCCTTATGGGTATTCTGGTATGTAACACTGCCTCTGTGATACCATGGCGCCAGCCGCAGTCCTGTCTAACTTTGTGCCTTGCATATATAGGCTTCTGGCGCGACCATGACAGTTCTCGATCCTGCCTATCCTCCGGCAAGACAGCAGATCTACCTCGAGGTCTCCCAGCCCAGTGCGCTCCTACGAATTGGCCGTGCCACAGACGAGAACGGCCCATTGGCCCCCTTGGTCCAGAAGTACATTGACGACGAGCTCAAGCTCAAGACCGACGTACCAGATCTGCGCCTCCGCGACGACGGTATCCTCTACGGTGGTGAGGTCGATGGCAAGGACATCTTTGCCGAAGTAAGGCAATTGGCATCCGCACCTCCCGATGTCATCGTCGGTCCCGACTCGAACCCCACACTATCCTTCACTTCCGGAAGTGAGGGTCGCCCCAAGGGTGTCCTCGGTCGTCACTACAGTCTGGTCAAGTACTTCGGCTGGATGGCCGAGCGCTTCAACCTCTCCTCCGAGAGCCGATACACCCTCCTTTCCGGCATTGCCCATGACCCAGTACAGCGCGATATCTTCACCCCTCTCTTCCTTGGCGCCCAGCTTCTTGTCCCATCCCGTGAGGATATCCAGCATGAGAAGCTTGCCGAGTGGATGAGGGAGCACAAGCCCACCGTTACCCATCTGACTCCCGCCATGGGTCAGATTCTTGTGGGTGGCGCTTCCGCTGAGTTCCCCAGCCTGGAGCATGTTTTCTTCGTCGGCGACGTTTTGACCACCCGTGACTGCCGCGCATTGAGACGCTTGGCTGAGAATGCCAACATCATCAACATGTACGGCACTACCGAGACCCAGCGTGCCGTCAGTTACTTCGAGATCCCCAGCCGCAACAGGGACCCTGACTTCCTCGAAAGAGAGCTCAAGGACACCGTCCCTGCGGGCACGGGTATGCAAAATGTCCAGCTCCTGGTCGTCAACCGGGAGAACCGTGAGCAGCAGTGCCAGATTGGCGAGGTTGGAGAGATCTACGTTCGTGCTGCCGGTCTTGCCGAAGGATACCTCGGCGACCCGGCTCTCAACGAGCAGAAGTTCCTGAACAACTGGTTTGTCGACAACAACAAGTGGGTTGAGGCGGATGCCAAGCTCAACAAGAACGAGCCATGGAGGAAGTACTACAAGGGTCCCAGAGACAGACTCTACCGCACTGGCGATCTTGGACGCTACCTTGAGTCTGGAGATGTCGAATGTGTCGGCCGCGCTGATGATCAGGTCAAGATCCGTGGTTTCCGTATCGAGCTCAACGACATTGACAGCAACTTGAGCCAAAGCCCTCTTATCCGTGACTGCAAGACTCTTGTGCGGAGAGATCGTAACGAGGAGGCGACTCTTGTCAGCTACATCGTCCCTGAGCACAAGGAATGGCTCAAGTGGCTCGAGGTCCGTGGCCTCGCTGACGTCGAGGACGAGGGTGTCGAGATGGGTCCCGTAACCGTTTACCTCAAGAAGTACAGGCGCATGCAGGCCGAGATCCGCGATCACCTGGGCGCTCGTCTGCCTACCTACGCTGTCCCCACCATTTATGTCGTCCTCAAGAAGATGCCTCTGAACCCCAACGGCAAGGTTGACAAGCCTAACCTTCCTTTCCCCGATGTGGCTGAGCGTGTTGAGGATGCCTCCGAGGAGGACCTCAAGAACTGGGAGTCGCTTACCGAGACCGAGCGCACCGTGGCCCAGCTCTGGGCTGATGTGATTCTCGGTCTTAACCCCCAGACCATCAAGCGTGAGAACTCTTTCTTCGATCTGGGCGGTCACAGTCTGTTGGCTCAACAGTTCCTCCTGAACATTCGTAAGGCGATTGGCAGGGATGTGTCTATCAACATTCTCTATGAGCACCCTAGCCTCGCTGGGTTCTGTGCCCAAGTCGACAAGCTCCTTGGAGAGGAGACCAGCGGCGTCACTGCCGAGGCTGGTCAGGATGAGTACGCCAAGTCTTTGGACGAGCTTTTGGCTCAGCTTCCTGAGAAGTATCTCTCGGCCGATCCCGCGGCTCTTGGCTCTGAGGAGTTGACCGTCTTCCTCACTGGTGCGACCGGATTCCTCGGCTCCTACCTGGTCAAGGACGTCCTTGACCGCACGGCCCGCACCGTCAAGCTGATTGCCCACGTCCGTGGTGTCAAGGACTCTACGGCGGCGCTCGAGCGTCTGCGTCGCTCTCTCCAGGGTTACGGCCTCTGGAATGATGAGTGGACTGGAAGACTCAGCACCGTCGTCGGTGACTTGGCGAAGCCCAACCTTGGCATTGATGATGCCGATTGGGCGGATCTTGCTCAGAAGGTGGATGTTGTTATTCACAACGGCGCCACTGTTCACTGGGTCAAGCGCTACCATGACATGATGGCCGCCAACGTCTTGTCCACCGTTGACGCCATGAAGCTTTGCAACGAGGGCAAGCCTAAGGCCTTCTGCTTCGTCAGCTCCACCAGTGTCCTCGACACGGACTACTACTTCGACCTGTCTGACAAGCAGACGAGTACCGGACGGGGTGCCATCATGGAGTCCGACGATATGGAGGGCAGCCGCACTGGTCTTGGAACTGGCTACGGTCAGACCAAGTGGGTCTCTGAGCAGCTTGTCCGCGAAGCCGGCAAGCGTGGTCTCTTGGGTTCCGTTGTCCGCCCTGGCTACATCTTGGGTGATGCCAACACCGGTGTCTGCAATGTCGATGATTTCTTGGTCCGCATGCTCAAGGGCTGCATTCAGATTTCCTCGCGTCCCCACATTGTCAACACTGTCAACGCCGTTCCCGTCAACCACGTCGCGCGCACCGTTGTGGCTGCTGCCCTCAACCCCATTCCCAGCGGCGTGCACGTCATCCATGTCACCGCCCATCCTCGTCTCCGCATGAACGAGTACCTCGCCATCTTGGAGTACTACGGCTACAAGACTCCCGAGACTAGCTACGAGGAGTGGAAGGCCGAGCTGGAAAAGTTCGTTTCTGCCGGTTCCTTGGTGAAGGATCAGGAGCAGCACGCCCTCATGCCCCTTTACCACTTTTGCATGAACGACCTTCCCGCCAACACTCGCGCCCCTGAGATGGACGACAGGAACGCCGTGGCTGTTCTGAAGGCCGATGCCGACAAGTGGACTGGCGTTGATGACTCGACTGGTAGCGGTATCGGCAGGGAGGAGGTTGGCAAGTTCCTTGCTTACCTCTCTGAGATCAACTATGTTCCTAAGCCCACCGAGAGAGGTCGTCCTCTGCCCCAGATGCAGCCTGAGGTTCTCAAGGCTTTGGCCATTGGTGCTACTGGTGGTCGTGGTGGTGCTCACTAAGCGGTTTCTCCATTTTGGTTGTATGAAATTTTGGCGAATCTGGGTAGAGAAAAGCAAAAGGCATTTGGCGTGGTTTTCTATGAATGGGAATATCGGAAAGGGTCATTCGCGGAATATAAAGGGATAGAGCTTGGTACAGAGCTCGGTATATGTAGTGTATAAGACTCGTCAATAATGGACAAGAGTCATGGTCAGGCCGCAAAGGCACTCTAACAACGAACTCGGTGCTTACGGTGACTTCAAATTTCAGGTGCCATTTCAGGAAGCTTATTGTGAAAATAATGAAGTCCAGTATGACGTAAGGAAAGCAAAAGAAAAAAAAAGAATAAACAAAAAAAAGGGCTTCCATATGCAAAGCACCGAGTTCCAAATGAGAACAAAAAAGCAAAATGAAAAGATTTGAAATGATCCGACCCAGGCTCGATCTGGGGACCTTCAGTGTGTTAGACTGACGTGATAACCAACTACACCATCGGACCAGTTGTTGCTATTGACCTTTTAATTGTGTACCTATATATTACCACTCGGAGCACTAACCCACCAGCGGTAATGACACAAGACATCTTGACGGCGTGGACACTCTACCATTAGTAGATGACCTAATGCGACCAACAATACGATTTTACTGAGAAGGGATGTTTACCTTTTGTACTATTTCTTCTTCAACCACCGGTGACGGCAAGAAAGACATCGAAGGCAGACAAATTGGATGTCGCTGATATCGACGCTCCTTGATTGTGATTTGACCGATTGTCGATACGATGATAGGTACTCACATACCGTTGCAAAAACATTAGAGCGTCTTCTGGGGTAGATAAGGGGCGTCTAGTCAAGCTACAATTCTTGAGGTAGTCTAGTTTACTAGCCTATGTGCTACTGTTTGGGCCAGGCGGTTGGTGTGGGGGGGGGGGGGCTTTTGTTTGGTTTGTAAGGTATCCTTCAAAAAAAAAAAAAAAGCTTAACGGTCTTCTACAGCGGTTATAGAAGGCCTCTAACTCAAATTTGAGGTCGACAGGCGAACAAGTAGGTGGTGAAAGATTTTGACTTCGAACTCCGAATTGAAGATATTGTGAAACTTTTGCGCTAAAGAAAAGAAACGACCGTCACCAGCATCGAACTGGTAATTTTACGAAATAGAGCGATGAGATACAAGATGTAGTGAGTAATCGGCCAAGTCTATCAAAGAAGAAGTTCGTTCTTTCTGCCTATTTGAGCGAAATGACCGTGGATGAAAAAGAGCAATCGTCACTGGGTGAAAGTCGTTCGGCCGGGAAGCTTGAAGAAAGGGACTAACCTGGGCCAAGGATTCTAATCATGGAGAAGTCTCCCTCAAGCACCTGACCCAAACCGTTCATCTATAATAGATGCTTGATCTCGGAAGAACTCCCTATCTTGGCCAAACGCCGTCCTTCGGTATTTTTCCGCTATGGTATGGATAGATAGATCGATACAAGATCTACTCGTGGCAAGGGGGAGAAGACGATTCCAGTCCTGACGAGTGGACACATTTCTGTCCTGCTCTGCATATTCCAAAAGAGGGGACATCGATTACCGCCACCATGAACACTGGGATCAACATTGACACAGGATCTGCAGCTATTTCACTAGTATCGCTGATGACACACTCGACCATAATCCCACACAAGCTAGGTGTTATCGATATTGCCACTGCTCAATCATGATCCGGTAATGCGCGACTGCAAAAGGCACAAATGTATTCAGATGAATGGCACATAAGTATAACGGCAACGGCATAGGTCAAAGGAAAATCATAAATGAAAAAAAAGACGACAACTGAAAGGAAAGAACGCCAAAGCAAAACAGAACTAAGCCTGATCCTGACCCTGATCCCAACACCAATATCAAAGTCCCAACCAGCGTCTGCCTGCCATCGCATTGACCGTGATCTCAATCGGCATATCCGTCCCTTGAAAGAACTTAGTACCCCTAGATAGAAATAGCACTACCGACCCTCTCCAATACCTTCGGCTTCATCGTTGCTGCTCCTTCCTCCCCAACGGAAGTGGGAGTAGGCGACGGCGGCAAGATGACAGTAGATGTCCCTGTCCTTGTCTCTGTTCCACCATCTGCAGTCACAGTTGCTGTTGCCATAGCTGCAGAAGAGAGACTGTCGAGCAAGTTTTGTGCTTGTTGTCTTTTTCTCTTGATATTGGATTTCGGTGTGGGAAGGCCCTTCTCGAGGAAGTTCTTCTTGAGGAAGTCGAGGAAGGCGTTGACGTCTTGGGCGGTACTCATTGCGCCTAGACTGGCTCGGACGACACTGGGAGGGAGGGAGGTGTTAGCTGGGCTTGGTGCGATGTTTGATAGCGGGGTAAAAGGAATAGGGGATCGAGGCAGAAGATGCGGCTAGGGAAAAGGGGAAGAGAGAAAGGGGAGGGAAGGGCATGGAGATCTGGAAACAACGGAGTGGACTTACCCCGTAGGAAGCTCATTAATGACGCTCAACCCGTTAGAACCGCAATGATGACCGGCGGACTTGGCCCTGTTCAGTTGCCACGGCTCGTACTGAAGAGCTGTGAAGACTCCTCCAGGGTTGCAAACTCCTGTATAGGAATTTAGTGTTAGTATATCTCAGCGTATATGCAAGGGAAACCGGGCCGATGAACACAAACTTACCACCTGATCTCACGTAAATCCCCCCATCATTTGCCATCTTCTCCACCATCGCATAGCTCTCATACGTTCCGTCCTCTCTAAACACGTTGAAGGCTATCGTGGCGCCCTGCACCCTCGCGTCGCCGTACACCTTATCCCCCTCCCCTTTCTCCCATATGTCTTCATCACCCGAATGATAGACCTTGCAAAGCTGTTGTCCATTCTCATACCGCATCGCTTTCATCCCTTGATACAGTCTCTTTACCAACATCGACGTATGGGCAGAAACATTCTCCATGCTTCCAAACAGCTCTTTGTGAACGTCAATTGCCTCGCCCAATGCCAAGATGCTGTGAAAGGGGAGCGTCCCATCTTCCAAACCCTCATGTAGACCGCCGACGTGCTCGCTCCCATCATCATGGGTGTAGACCTCCAACCCCTTGCTTACATGCCATGCGCTTCCAATGGTGCTGACCAGACTGACGGTGCCCCCGCCAAAGTATTTTCTTAGCGCTAGGATATGGCCGGAGTCTTTACGGACAATGAGCCCGCCCATATCCGGAAAGCCAAAGATCTTGTAGAACGACACGCAAGTAAAGTCAGGTGCGGTGTCAGGGTCTTCAAAGACGTATGACATGGGACTGGTCATAGCCAGCGCTGCAGCATCCAAAAGGGTGTAGGTATTGCGTAGCCTCTTCGTTCTGTCGTGTCGGATCCTCCCTGTCCATGTGAGCGGAAGTCTGCGCCCCGTAAGGTTACTTTGCCCGGGGTATGCAAAGAGAGCAAGACCACCGGGCTGTTGACCAAAGGTATTCCTTCCCTCAATCCACTCCTCGACTTCGGCGTCACTCTCAAAGCATTTGTGGCTAAGTGGTCCCTTGGTCAACTCGTGCACGCCAACAAGGCTGGTGTGTGCGTCACGATGATAGCCGTACCAGAAGGAGCCGGCGCGGGTCTGCTCAGCGAGGTCACGGAAGCAGTCTGCCACGAGCTTGATGGCCGCGGTGGCGTTGGCGACGAAAACGAGGTCAAAGTGGCGTGGGTCAGCGCCGAGGAAACGGAGGGTTTTTTCGCGTACCGAGTCAACCATCTCACCGGAGAACTTGGCAGGCTCGTTGGCAGAATGGGGGTTACCGTAGAGGTTAGCGCGCATCTTGTCAGCGAAACGCTTGATGGTCGATTGGGCGTAGATAGTAGTCCCACTGTGGTCAAGGTAGATACCTAGTCAACGTTAGATTGAAGGTAAGAACAACAAGAAGAGATAGTTGTAGAGAAGGAGAATGCTCGGAATCTTCCGGACTTACCGCTGTTGATGTGAGAATACTCTTCTTTGCGTATCATTTCCACTGGCTTGTTGTACGGTGACTCGGTCAGAGCGGGGCGTTTGTTGCCTGAGAATGAGACTGTACGCCAGATGTTAGCTCAGATTAGCTCAAATTGACATGTTTGATTCCTGGAATTGCAGAGGGTGAGTGAAGCGACGTGGGGAAATGTAGTTACAGTTGATGGAGCTCAAAGCTGGATATTCGGAGAATGTCTTCTCTTGTGATGATTTTCTAGTGTTATCACTCATTGTAGCAACATCACGACGCTCTCGTCCTTTCTTGGAAAGACGGCTGAGAAGGTTGAGACGGCTCATGGTGAATAATGCAATGTTAATGGCGCGATGTGATGATTCGGAAGTTATGTCCACTTGGTGTTATGGAAGAGGGCATCTAGACCATCTTAAATACTTCTGTAAGACGACTCGACCTCTAGATCTGAAATCTCCCTAAGTTTTGAGGGACCCCCGTGCGGATGTGTCTTCCCGGATCCGATGGCTCGGCTATCACACTCCGAGAGCCGGCATGACGTTTCCTCACAAATGTATGTTGAGAAGTGCCATGAAGGTGACAAGCTGAACATCATGAAGAAGTACCTATCAGAAGGGAAAGAGGATAGACTCAAGGGCTGGAGTCACTCAACCTGTAACGCCGACCGCTAGCAAGTCCGGAAGCTATGACAGCGTCACGAACGATGAACGGTGACCTGTTGCTCTCTGAGAGCAAATGGAACTCAATGGACCCCACATCCAAGCATACAAGGAGTTTCTTGGTGCTACCGGATGTCGTGCCAGAAAACCGTATTTGGAAGAAGACCAATAGGAATCTGGACTGAGGGTGTTGTCGAGAAGGGTGGGTCAATATTGCTCCCCGGTTTCCAGGTGCACACATCCGGATGTACCCATGTGCTCATCGCGAATATCAACAGGGACATGAGAGAAACTTGTCGGCTTGTTCGCGTAGAAGGGCACAGTACACTACACGATGGGATGTATGAGCGGTGGAGAGCCTCACTACTCGAGTGTTGGCCTGGCTGATCGTTTCCTTTCTGGATCTTGAATTTCAGTACATACCCATTGACTTTGACATGCGAGGATCCCGCTCCACGCTTGGTAGTTCGTGAATGGAATCATAGCACAAAGGGTCGGCGTCCGATCTATTGACACTGATAAGAAGTTGAACCGATCCTGTTATACCACGCTCAAGCTGTGGCCCCAGAACTCGCTTTTTGAGTTGATGCCACGCAAGAAGCAGAAAGGGCGGAGTTACGCTGCTTGAGTGGCTCAGTTGCGAAATCAATGCAACGGCTTCATGTGATGGTCTGCTCACGTACCATTGCCTGTCGGATGTGTCCTGCTACAAGGTAGTCTTGACATAGCTGTCACCAGGTGATGCCGTTTGCGCAAGTGTCTCAGTTTAGCCCCATGGCGTGGGATGGGTTACATGATTGAGTTAGCGTAGGATGGTTCTCGATATTATCCCCGTTGATTGGCAGACTGAACAGCGTTGGTCTCCAATGTTGGCATCCAAGAAGTTGTCCCGAGCCCTAATCGTTCGGAGTGCTATCGACTGCCAACACATGCGGTGGCAACAAGTCCCTGTTGTGAAGACCAATGACCAGTTTGAGGATGGGCTTCACCTCGCGAAGTGATGCGTGTCTGCAGAGTGAAGGTAGAATAGCTTGTAATGCAACCTCAATCGGCGAGCAGTGATGAAGGCCATGAGCTGATACACTGCTCTAATGTTACCTCTTCCCGTCTTGGTTCGATTGTTGTTGGGTTTCATGAGGACAGTCAACATAGCCGGACAAGCATTATTCTGCACAGCCAGCTGGACAGGGCCGGAGTAGGTAGATCATGACGTTGAAGTATCTGATTCATTAGAGATCGAGATATGCCGAGTTGAATGAGACCGCGGGCGAGTCCGAACGTTTACCGAGTCTCGGTGTGCTGGATTTTCAGTGTACCATCGTAGCTCATATCTCTAGCTGTTGCTTAGCACAAGTCAGCTGAGTTTGCCCAGATTTAGCACCAAAGCACTGAATGACAAATACAGACCGAGTCGAAACCCACGGTTGGCATCTTCAGATTGTACGATAGACATGACTTTGCGCACCGTTGAGTTGGCTGAAGCCAAGGGACTGGAGATCGCCATGGAGTTTATCTCTGCCAATTGTGATAATGTGTTCAGGAGGTAACAATCTCGTGGGCGATCATGTCCCCAAGCGCAATGGTGTGATGTCCGCAGAGTTGTAGGCATCCATTTTTCACTTGGAAGGGTAGGGACAAGTGAGACATAAGAGGAAGCTGTAGACAGTAGTATGTGAAGTGGGATGACACGGCTGGAGAATGACAGAGGTTGCCGGCTTGAGGTAAAGTCGATCAAGCTTGATGATTGGTGAAGATTGCAATCCTCCCCGTCGGCTACGACATGGATTATACCTTTCCCACAGCAGTGAAATTGTCAGCAAGGATAAGGCCGGGCAGAGTGACGCTTAGGCGGGACTGGCAAAGGTCATGAATCTTGATAATGTGGAGGTAAGCACTTCGAGGCTGAGAGTGAGACAAATTTATCGTCAGTTTCTTCCCATTGGGACCGGCACCACTTCATGGCACACCCACAGTGGAAGTGAGGCAGAAGGAAGGAACCACCCGATAGACTGCAGGATCGAACTAACAGCTGCAAGGTGAGATGACGGCGATTTGGTGGCTTTTGTTAGCGCGGTTATCGCCAGGCCTCCGCAAAGATTTGGGGCGTTTCTTTTCAGCTACTAAGCATTGCAAACTGCGCAGATCTCTTTACAAACCCAAACCCTAAGGCAGTCAAGTTGGATTTCTGTAATCGCTATTGGTAAAGCTGCCAGTCAGGCCCTGTCAGCCGGAAACCAACACCCCGAGTCCTTTCGGTACCGGTTCCGTCCTCATCAGCTGGCGTCGTCAACAAGAAAAGCTTGCACTTTCCATGTGCGGAAGTGGAAGCTGCGACCCGACCCTTTTCTTGTGTTACCAACCGTGCTGCGTGCCCGGATGACGGAGCGAGTGAGACTTTAAGGGACTAGACATAGCTCCTTCCTTCTCGAAGTTTGGTGTGCGTCAGCGAACAATATTTTCATAGCCGAGGTAAGAGTTGGTTTCTGGTAGTTTCTCCCATGTTCTGTCAGCAGACAAGATCTCTCGAGCTAAGTACTTCCAAGTTCCTGTCATTGTAGAGCTAGCTTGAAACATGGATCTGCGCTGGGAAACTCCGATTCGATGAAATAGCTAAGGTAGGTATCTTTCCTCCCAAATCGCCAGCTTTCAAATGCCAAAACCCATGGACGCGAAAGGCGGGCAAGCCAGCGCAACTTGGCTGGGAGATTGACCGATCACAGCTCGGAGAATTTAAGACGCCAAGATGTCAAGACATGGCAGGTGAGTTCAGAAACGTCGCCCTAGTGAAGCCGGCGCTCGAGAGCAGAGCCAAGTGAAATGAAGTTGCAGTTGCGGCTGAAGAAGCAATGAAAACGCCGAGTTTGACCGACCTATCTTATATTCTTCGAATCGTTAGCCATCGGTTAATGAGCTAAGTTGGAACTGGCAGGTGCCTCTACTTGACCCGAAAATTTGGTCATTAGCGGTGGTGATGGACACTCTTGAATTAGCCAAGCTCGGAAAATGACGCCTCTTATCCTTGAGTGTTCATGTCGGTATACATCCCTGCCCATCGATGAATCCGTGGATAAAACGCGTTTTGATATCGTGATGATGATGTTGCAGTTGCATCGCATCGTTCGCGCCGCCTGCCAGGTCGCATTTCCCTGATCGGCGTTAGTGGTCGATCATAGGAGCCCCGCTAAGTGTTCCCCTGAAAGCACGGCACGCTGTGATTTTTTAGGGGGTGCCAATGCAGCCAGGGGGATTTGTGGGGCCGCTAAAGGGAGATCCCCGCGTCGACGCAACCACACAGGGCAAGGAACCTCAGTGCGAGCTGCGTAAAACACTTCACAGTTCACACCTCAATCGGGCTGCCACCCTCAAAGGTCGACCCAATAACGTACCGTGGTCCAGCTTCACCTCATCACCATCACGGAACGGTCTGGATGATCATTGCGGGTGGCCCTAAATCTCGTACGATTATGACGGCTGAGAAGGCTTGGCAGGATGTGTGTGGGAAGGGAAGCCATCCAAACCATCGACACGAAGGACAGCAGTGGCCGTCGACAGGAATAATACCCAACCCGCGTGGGAAGCCGACACTACTACCGTCACCACAGCCTGCTGTGATAAAGTGAACGCTTCGGTACTTTCTTAAAGACATCTTATATGGACATCAGAGGTACTGACTACGGTTGTCCAGGGCTCTTTGGCTCTTTAGCCAAAGTGGATATATCCAACCTCTCACCATCGTCTGCCTCACCATCCAGATAGGAGAAGGGGGGGAGATGTCAGCTGGAAATTCTGGGACGGCATCACTTGAACCCCCCACCCCCCGCTCCCAACCATCTCCTATCTTTCTTTTCTCTCCAATACTCGATCTTGACTTGACAACCGCAAAGTCTATTTCGAATCGGAAATAATCGCTTTCAGCATCTGATCATGCAACAGCAGTCAAAACCTCAGGCTGTCATCACGGAATTTGCATGGCTCACCTTCAGCGATGTAGCCTGTCAAGTTCAACTTTATTATTAAATACTTTTGTTGGGGTGATTTCTGCTTGCATTCGTGATGCATGCGAAGAAAATCAGGGACATGTTTGTGTTCAGGTACGTAGCTTAAGAGCTCGCATGCGCCGCTAACCTAGGATAAAACTGAACTCCCAGATAATAAATCATCGGATCGCTAACCAGTGACCAAAAAAACATAGCCATTTGAGAGATGGATCCAGAAATGAACCATTAGGCAATATATATTTTCCCATCATTGACCCCAAGCATTCCCGATAACATTCCGTCTCAACTCAGAGCATCAACATCATTGCACCACCCAGTAAGGCAGCCGCCACTCCGGTCATGGAACTCGCGCTAAGGCTGGCTCCAGCTGCAACAGGTAGTGTGCCTGACGGTGAGGGCGCGCCTCCGGTGGTAGATCCGGTAGGGGCAGCAACGCCAGTGGTAGAAGCACCGCAAGCCGGCTCGGTGATCTTGAAGTTGGCGCAGGTGATCCTCGTCTTGTTGGGGAAATGGAACACGATGCTGCGGTCGAGGAAGTAGGCGTCCGAACCCTCAACGAGCGAGGCGTACTTGTCAACGTAACTGGCGCTGAAGGTGATATTGTCCGCAGGAATAGCGCCGTGCTTGCCAGCCAGATCGCCGATCTGGCACGTCTCGGGCTTACTCTTGTCGCAGACGGGGTCCTCGCCTCGCTCAGTAGGGTCAAAGTGAGCGCCGGTTGCTGTGCAGTTGCCGTTCTCGGGGACGGGCTTGGCGTGAATGTGGTAAGCTGTGAAAAGGTTAGTTACCGTTTTCCTGTCCAGCAGGAGTGAACTATGTCGGGATCATACTGAAAGGGCCACCCTCAGGCAGGCCGCTCACTTCAACGTTGAACTGCACTCCAACACCGCCGTCGCCCGACTTGGCTACCACCTTGCCCTTGATGTTGCCGCCATTAGGGAAGCCGTTCTTTTGCCAGGCGTTTTCTGGAAGGACCGCTTCGGCAACGAGACAAGAGGGATTGTTGGTCACAGCTGCAGCTGTGGGGAGCTGGTACAACCTCATAGTTAGTATTGGGACGCTTTCTACGTCGTTGTATAGGTAGGAGGATGATGAGAACATACAGCCTTCTGGGCAGCAACACCGGTAGCGGCCGCGCCGAGGAGTGAAAGAGCTACTGAGGTACGCATTTTGAGTTGTGGTTGAGGTGATAATCGACGATAAGGTTGATAATGCTGACAAGTTGGACTAATGCGGTGTCTCGAGGTTAATTTATGTGGACCCTTTCCTGAGTGCTGAGCGAGTGACTGCTTGTGACAAGCTTGAAAAAAAAGAATTAAAAAGCACAAGAAGGCAGAGGAAGACGACAACTTAAATCAAAGCTGAACTCAACGTTGGTCAGGATCTTCCGTCCATCCATGCAAGGGACAAACATTCAAGACCTTGTCCCCGGTTCCTTGGGTGGCGTTTGGGAGGACCAATTTCCACGTGTGCGACCCAACACAGTGAAACTAACAACAGGGACGTACACATACTTCGTTTTCTTGTTTCTAGTTACTTAACCCTCGAAAATACCCGAATGCGTTGTTACCAACCCGGTTGACCGTTGACGTCGCTGTCCTCCAATCAAACTTTTCCCTTTTTTTTTTTTGATGAAGTGGGATGGGGTGGGATGTGAACAAATTCCGGTTCTTCAGGCGAGTTGAACTAACTAGCCCCGTTGGAACCGTTATTTCGTTCGTTGTTGTTGGATTTCGGTAAAAAAAAAAAAACAAGCAGTTGGTTCGTTGTTGGTGTTGTTTTTGTTGTTTTTTTGTGTCCTGCTTTTTGCTGTTGTTTCTGCTAATGCTGCCGAGCCGTACAACTTTGTACTTGGCGAGGCCAAAGAAAGAGAGCGCTAAGCTTGGTAGTACCCCTTATATATCAAAAACAAATTCCGAATTTCCTTGTGTTCTAGGCGGAAGCGGGAACTCATGAAGATCTCTCCTGCTTGGTTCTGCTTTCTGCTGCGGTGCTTCCACACTCACAAAATCACGAAGCCCAGGGGGCCCCAGTTGAAGGTGAGAGCCACCTAAGAAGGCCGGCCGAGGCAGGACAGGGGCGTAGTTCACCACTGTAACCTAGCGAGGCTACATCTACCGTAGCAAGTCAACGGAAGCGGGCGGGAAGAGAGAGGCGGGACAGGCATCAAGTGGAAGTGTTCAACCGGCTAACTAACGGACTGTATTCGTTGGGAGTCCTTAGTGCTGTTCGCCACTAACTGGCTGGCTCGCTAGCTGCATATGGCAACCTAAGACAAGGGCCAATTGCGATGGAAACGCCAAGCCACGAATGTTTTATAACATGTTAATCTTGTCTCTTTGATGGGCTACAGTTTACGCCTGAAAGAAAGGACTAAAAACAGAAACATAAAAGGTCGAGCGTGGTAGGAGCGGGGTGCAAAGCGGCAAATTGCATGGCCCCCGTTATACAATTCCAGTGCCATACCACCGCTGCCACTCAGCTTAATATGATCCTACGGGCTGTTCAGGCTGTGTGACAAAGATGCGTTGTGTTGTGTTGTTGGGTCGCGATACCTGCTGTTAAACGGAAAGGAGTGCTGTGCTGGTGCTTTCCAAGAAGCGGGTGTCGGTTGGCGATTTGTCTTGGCCTTCATCTTGAGTGGATGTCAAATAAAGGGACTAGTCTAACATTTCGCTTGCCCCTTGCCAGAGAGGCACGTTTGATTGAGCAAACTGTCTTGGATTGATAGGGGAGCGAGGAAACTGGAAGTTGGGAAAGTGACATGACGGTTAGGGGGAATGAAGTTGAAGAAGTTGAAATGCTGGAAGACAGTATGAAACGGATGAAGTGAAACGGTTTTTTCTGCACTGTTGGTTGGTTGGTCATAACGACGAGTGGATGGTAAGGCACCGCTATACCTACCTAGATAATTGAGTAAAACCGCTTCAAGTGAAAAAAAAGCAGTAAACCATCACGTGGATGGGATGGGATGAATATCGAGTGTCATGTATGCTTTTCCTCTTCACTAGTTGATCATGATGGTTCGTCCATTTCTCATCCGTAGAGGACTCAATTCAGTGAGCGTTAATTTCGATCCGGGCTCCGGAGCGGTCCGTGTGGTCAGTTGCTTCATTACTCCGCAACGATTTTATTATCATTTTAACCGCCTATCCAAGGCTCCGGTGCGATCAACACTCGGTAATAACGGCGTGCTAGTGTGCTGTTGGTGCTGGCGATCGCTCTGTACGCGATGGGACTGATTGGTAGCAGCGACTAAACTTCTAGGTAAGCTAGCAAGATCACTTCGGCAAAAGCACCAGACGAGTAAAGTCTACGTGATGCTATTGGTGGGTTATTAATACTACCGTGCTGTGGAGAGCGTAGCATAGTGTAGTGTAGTCTAGTGTACACTAATTAAAACGACAGGTACTTTTCCCCACAACTCAGCCTCCGTCCTACTGCATTTCCATTTGCAACACCATCGTCTATCACTACTTTCCCACCCCTACAATCACCAGTCAAAGCGACACGTCAAAATCATTCAATATCTTAGAACAGCTTGATGGTGCGTATGTAAGCTAAGGTAAGTAGATTTACAGCCTCGGTGTTGACATTTCATACAGGGCAGCCGGCCATGACATGACTCCATCGTGGGATGTACGTACTGCTTCCCAAGGCTCAGTTCAGAATGTAGGAATCAACTTGAGATCCTGGGCTAGACATATGATTGGGAAGAAGCGCGTGGGGAGGTCACGCAACATGTTGTTAGATGAGTGGCTTCCCACTTGATACCTGAGCATTTTTTGGATCGGGATGCAGAGGTCGAAACAACATGGATTCGCACATTAGAGGAACAAAGAAGAAAAACGAAAAAAGAATGGCATACAAAGAGAAAGTGAGGGAACAGGAAGAAGGAGACCACTGAGGGTGGCCGTAGTGAGAATGGGAAAGTCTGAGACTGGCCACAGATAGGTATCATGCAGAATTTGAAGATTCGATGTGAGGCTGAACGAAAGTGACATGAACGGTGTGTAATAAAACAAAACAAAACAGAACAGAACAGAACGCGCGCCTGACACAGGGGAAGGCAGTTCGGGTGGCTGCAGCGGAGGAAGTCCAACTTGGCCTTCCCACTCAGCGCTGTGTATGAGGAAATAAAGTGACGTCTGTGGGAGATTTGAGAATTGACTTGTGTTACTTCACAGGGCGGGAAGGAAACATCGTGGGTTCTTGAAATGCCACGGCAAAACTACATATGACGGGCGTCAGAAAGAGAGGTTGTGTAATCTGCCTTCGCGGTCTGGCGAGGGGAGTCTAAAGACTGGCCGCCATCGTGAATTCCTGACAATAGATGGCGAAGAAGCGATGACGGGGCGGAAGGCGAAGCCAGACAGGCGGCCGTATGAAGGCCAACATGAGCTGTTGGAGTTGTCATCGTCGGGCATCCTGTGCATCAAGGTATACGGCCGACTGGAAGGGCGTTTGAGGTGTGAGGCAGGGCTAGAAGCGCCAAGGAGTGCCCCTGGTCGGTTCTGCGCGGCTATTTCATCGTATCATGTTCAAGCACATTCCAAGCCACCCACGCGCTTTGGTCTGTATCTTTTGTACTGAAGATAAGTTTCATGATGAGGCCGCGAAGTTGGCTTGAGAAGGAAGTCAGTTTTCGCAATTGGAGCGCACATGCTTTTGCGGCATGAAGATGATTGTGAATTCCGTGTTGTCCATTATGGTGTGGCCATGGCGTCCGGGAGCCAGATATTCGGGTTTTCGGCGCTGCGGATGAAGTCAACCTACAATGTTGAGTGGTCTTCTCGGGAAGATGACGGGATGCACTTGACAGGATGTTAACAACCTAATGTATATGGAAGAAATAGCGTTCATGATCCTGCCACACAGAAAATTGACACAAAATGTGGGCCATTCACTTTTGGCGGGGTATTGGGTTGTAGCTTATATGTAACCAGATAAGGCATGGACGCTTGTCGTCGCTACCTAGCCCGCGCGGGGTACGAGCCCAACCATCGTCAACTTCCTTCATCCTCCTTCAAACACTGACCAACCACTTCCCGACGAGGTGTCCGTTGTCCCAAAAAGCGCCAAGTTCTGAAGAACAATGTCCGAAGAGCCTAATTATGAGCAGAACATTGGTTTCGACACCCAGGAGGAGGCGGTTCAGTCAACGCGACCCCGCCTGCATCTATCACCGGAATTTCTCTCCAAACGCCTACACTACTGTTCCAAATGCAGATGGATATTCGAGAATGCAGATCTGAGTATTCAGGACTACCCGGGAAAAGAATATGACTTTCATAACTGGGCGGGGTTGAGTGACGCGGCTAGGGAGGGATGTCACCACTGTTATGTTCTGCTAAATACCTTGGACGAAGAGCATATCTTGCGACTCACGGGTCCAGATAACTTGGAGTCGCAAGAAAATACAAATCCACTCAAGTTAAGGATACGGTCCTATGACCGTGCCTGGACTGGGACGCCTGGTATAATGACATCGTGGGAATTGCATTCGGTCAAACAGAAACTGTATGACATACACTTGGAACCACTTGAAGATGGCATAGACCTAAGTAAGAATATGGCATATCGCACACATCTTTCCCTTTCTTGAGTGATTCAGTGGCTAACTCCCTACTCTTATCCTTTGTCCTGCCAACTAGGTGAAGCAGAAGGTCGGTTCGTTGAGTGCACAAGTACCGACAGTGAAGCCAGCTAGAAACAGATACTCAGCTGGGTTGACCAGTGCTCTGCCACCCACCCTTCCTGCAATGCACGGATTCGTCAGGATTCTCGGGATCGCAAGCCCACCCGCCTGTTATTTGTGGGTGATCTTGTCAACCCTTGGGTCAATCTTTGCGAGACAAAAACTCTGGATTTATCGCGAACAGATTACATGACGCTTAGTCATTGTTGGGGTGACGGTGTTCCGCTACGTCTCACACACGACAACTACAACAGATTTCTTGCAGGGATTGAGTTCAGCGAAATACCGAAAACATTCAGAGATGCCATTGACGCAACCCGGCGACTGAGTGTCCAGTACTTGTGGATTGACTCTTTGTGTATTGTCCAAGACTCTCGGGAAGATTGGCTCCACGAATCCGCAAAGATGCATCATATCTATCAGAACTCATACCTCAATCTCATGGCGGCTGCTTCATCCAACTCCCACGGTGGGCTCTATTCATCCAAGTATCCCTTCCTCAGTATCCCATTTCTTGTGCCCCTCGGAGATCCCCGCAAACCAAAAATCGCCTGCTATCGTTACATGAATGCTAGGAGAGAAAAGCTCGATAATCTCACTCTCTTCTCAAGAGGTTGGGTGATGCAAGAGCGAGTCTTGGCTCGACGAAACCTCATCTTCGGAAAAGAGATACATTGGGAGTGTCACGACTCTACCGGGTCCGAAAGCTTCCCTGTTGGAACTGCACTTGAAAAGCGACAGCACACTGTAGAGGGACAAACAGATGCAAGCCGCCGCACTGTCTGGCAAATTATCGTGAAGAACTATTCACGCTTGAACCTGACGTTTGCAAGCGACAGGCTCATTGCAATCGCGGGCATGGCCGCCGAGTTGGGACAGCTCTGGGACAGCGTCCAATACTACGCCGGTCTCTGGTCATTGCATCTCCGTGCGAGCCTTCTGTGGTGTAGCAGGAAGCCCTCTGTTCAAGCGAAGAGTTTTATAGCGCCATCTTGGTCGTGGGCGTCTGTCGGCACAGAAGTACAGTGGTTTGACGCTGACGACTTTGATGGGCTAGCCGAAGTTTTGCAGGTGGATGTTGTCTTGACGTCGCATGGACATCCATTTGGCCCTGTGACCAGGGGTTCTATCCATCTCAATGGGCCCATGTGCCAAGCGAAATTAGTCAAGACAAAGTATACAGAGATCTTGTGCTTCGATCAAGACACTGAAGATGCGGTTTCAAAAGCTGACACGACCGAGGATGATGATGCCACCACTCAGTCCGGATTCCGCACAACGGTGGTGCTCGACCACTACCCTTGGAGCGAGCAAGAGATGGCTGCTGAGACGGACGTAGACATCACGGTTTATGTGGCCCCTCTGCAAACCGACATTGACCTCAAACTGACCTATTCCGGTCTGCTGCGACTGGGCGGGCTCCTTTTGCTACCAACAGGCTCGTTTTCAGGACAATTCCGAAGAATCGGGCACTTTTTTATCCAGGACCAATGGGGAATGGATGGCCGACGCGTCTATGAGGAACGGATAGCACGAATGAGAAAAGAAGGGAAAATACAGCAGAAGGATGAGAAACCCCCAGGCTTTGTGGACCGAGAGGAGTGGTTGAAAAGAGACCCCTTTGGCAACGGTGTGATCACCAAAACGCTCCGCTCTCGCTATAACTCAGCCGTTGATCTGGGTTATGCTGGAGAGATTAGTAACTTTTTGGGTTATATCGATCGATGGGCAGAAGAGCACAGGAAACTGGGTATCATGGACCCCAATCTTGGAGAAGAAGATGTTGAAGCCAAGGGGTGGTACAGATACGAGATTGTCTGAGAGCTATCAGCGAGGGCATCTTCGTCAAGTGAGCGCTCACTCGGCTCAACGGCCTCACTATGATGTTCGAAAAGAGAATGAAGCTGATCATTCAAGGACCATAAACCCCAGGGCTGGCACACACACCATAGCTCACCTCAGCCGTTTTCTCCTTTTGCCTTCTGTGACTTCGGTCGGCCCAGTACATGCAACAAACTCGGACAAGAGCCAAAAAAATCTCGAGGACAAAAACCCAGCTCGCGCCCCACATCTGGATGTCTGTATCATTTTCTATTCCGAGGATAGTTTGTTCTATATGAACCTGCAATACGAACTCGTTAGCTCGAGACTCGAACCTGGCGAGCCTAGTCGCTCTAAAGGTTTCGTCTGTACACGGCCATCTTCCGACTTCGGTAACCACTAAAATAGCACACTAACTTGAAGACTGGCAACTCTCCCACAAAACTGTTAGGATACCATCTCATTGCATCTGGTTCTGGTGGACGATGCTAGCGCACAGACCATTCTCGACCCACCCAGCTCCATCGCCAATTCTACGATGCTTTTTTCCTCTTTCTTGCTCAAAACACTACACAGTAGTATCCCGCATCACCGGCCAGCCCTATGGATGTGAAAGTAACAGAATACTATCATATATATGGTTGCAGCCAGGACATTTTGCGACCTAATCGACACGAAAAAAAAAAAAAAAACATCATTTCAAAAGGCCTCCATAGCTTGATCTGTCAATCAACCACTACCAGCCTCCGCTTCGCTCATCATCAATCATCATTATCATCATCATCACAGTCTACAATACTTCGCCTTCAAGGCTTCCACGGGCCGCACTGCCGCCCACGTCAGAGACTCTTTCAGGCAGCCAAACATTATGTTGTTTGGAAAAGACCTGCGTTTTCCAGGATGTACCCCTTGCTCACTCATGACCACAGATGCCCAGAGGCCAAGAGCTCAAGCCGTCGACAAAGCAGCCACAAGCGGGATCAAATAAATCACAATCGTCCACCTCGCCCAAAGCCTCCACGTTCGCTCCTCAGCACCCGCACTCCTCTGCGTGAGTACCCGACTTGCCAGAAACAGCGAGTAGAGCACAAAACAGGCAGCGACTGTGATCTTCAGCTGCCAGAACCACGCGCAAACGAGCGTCCAGAGCGGCATCATCATGGCCAGATGTGCCCGCGGGACCGCCGCTTCGCCGAGGAAGATGGCTAGCGTCTTTTTGCGCTTCATGGTCTTGTCACCGCTGCTGCCCCCTTGGTTCCCCGGGGTGTGGTGGTCCTTGTGGTTCTTGAATTCCTGGCAACCGATGGTGGTGGCAATTAGGACGCTGACGAGGTTGAGCCAAGTCCAGGTGTGGCGGTGCGGGCTGCTGCTGCTGCTGCTGCCGGCCATGAGGACAATCTTGAGAGAGGCAGAGTTGATGTACCCGAACGAGATGCCGAGAATGATGTCGCGGACAAAGAGCTCGTTACCGCCGCTGAGGTCGTTGTAGATGAAGGCGAGGAGGTGGATCATCAGCCCTTCGTGCCAGACGCCGAGAAAGTGGTTGAGAGCGAGGGTGATGGGGAGCAGGGTGAGGTAGATGCGGCGGATCTGCTCGGGCGTTGTGACGGTCTTGCTGGAGGAGGGCGAGAAAGGCCTCCAGGGCTTCTTGCCGTTGTTAAAGCGCTCGTTGGCAATGGACCCCTCCTGGGGCCGCTGGTTGCCGAGATTAAAGATGAGTAGGGCGAAGAAGTTGAAGAAGTAGGTGAGTGGGAGTCTGGTAATTATCTCGGGAAAGGTAGGGCCCGCGCCTTCGAAAGCCTCGCCGCGGAGGTATGCATCAGCGATGGCAGCTGTGATGCCGAAGATGGCGTTGGGTAGCGTGGCAGTGAAGAGGTCATCTTTGGTGAAGGCCCAAATTACTTTGCCGACTGCTGATACGTTTTCGAAGAAATCGGCGGCGGGAAAAAGAGGGAGCCGTCCTAGGACAGCCTCATCGTCCTTTTCCACGGTCACAAACTCGGACTTTTGGTGCGCCGGTCCAGCGCCGAACAAGGAAAGCAGGCTTCTGAGTGTGGGAGATTCGGACTCAGCTGATAAGTGAGAGGGAGCGTGGGAGGCCATGCTGCTCAAATTATGTACAAGAGGGGTGAAGAGCTGGGTGAGTGGTGAGGAGTGTACATCCTTGGAACGTCCAGCATGGCATCATTTATACCCGCAGTCTCGGTTAGCATTATCACCTTCATCGAGATCAAGTCCCTTCTCGGCAGCTATGTCCCATGCTTCGATCACACAGCTGTGGGTCGCCAGTTTAAAGGAACAGTTTCCATTTAATACTATTGGATGCCGGGCTGCTATGATTTTGCGCGGATCATCCGGGCTGTTCGCCGGACTTCCCGAACGAGTGGAGCTCCCGAGAGCACGGGCGGTCTCATGCCATCAACGGACCTTGATTTGACGACAATCATTCCTCTGTTCGTGACGCGAGTTGAGCGAGGCATAATCGGCATCGAAATCTGAAATTTTTAACTGATATCATACCACACATGACACTGCTAACTTTCACTGACTGGTACGTTAGAAATAGATCTAAAGCGAACGATGTCCCTTTACCACGAACTTGCAACAATACCTAGATGACCCTGACTTTTCCACTTTCTGCTTAAAGGTCAGAAATTTGAAACCCATAGTCGTACGTACAGTAGAAAAGGAACAGAACCAGGTAGCTCCTATCGTGGCTCTCCCCGAACTACAGTGGAAAATATCCTCTGGGACTAGTTCTTATGGGAACTATCATTGTACGATTTGGGTCGTTGCACAAGGAACCGACATCAGTCGCTATCTTGAACCGATTAGCTGTTGGCACAATTTGTCAGTACTTCATCGACGCCGCAGACCAGAATGCGCATCAGGCCTGGCATGGTGATGTTCCTGTTGCTCAGTTCCTTCAAGTGTTGGATACGTGTAGTCGGTGGTATTGTTAGGTACTATTCCTGTATTATCATTTTTTTTCTTTGCCCGTTTCCCTGCCCTGTAAACACAAAACATGGTTTCTTGACACAGTTTACGCATGCATTGCACGGCATGCAGGTGGGGTACCTGCTCGGAGCCAGGCTATACCTAACAACCCACCATCTAGGTACACTCGGTTCAACTTGACTAAATGTACATTTCTCGGAACTCTACCTACTACGCAATATGTCACCCACCCCAATCCCTGCATCCCTCGCCATCATCCTAGAGATACCCACCTATTTCTGTTACCCCTGATCACACGTCGACACGTGAATATGTTCCTAAGTCTGATAGGAGACGAGGCGTCAACCGCTACCACGTTTCGCCAAAGGACCCTTCCCGGACACTCGTCAAATCTACGGCATGTCTCTTCAAATGAAATTTTGAAATCCTGTGTACTGACAAGTCTTTGAACAGGACTGCTAAACGTACTCTTTTGGTTGCTTGTCGAAATTAGACAGATGTTTACTTCATTTTCGCACTAAAGCATGCCTCCATACTCTGGCAACGCAATTATGCCCCCGGCGACGTTCGGATGTCTTCTCAGAAATTTCACTACAAAGGACCACACAAGACTAGGTCTAGTACGCGAGATCAGGTCACTCTCACTTGACGAGTCGCCACTGCTCTGTTCAAATAGTTTCTAATCGTGCAATTTCAAAATTTCCTCGGTCCAGTATTCTCCGCGCGTATACACACACTTCAGCTCTAAGTCGGCGGCCCCTTTCAACCACGTTACAATGACTTGATTTGCGTCGATAATAAAAAAGAGAGACATTGGGTTCCAGAATGAAATCATTTGCAATGGTCATCATATTACCCAAAAGGTGCAAAAATCTGACAACTGTGAGATTCGAACTCACGCATCTTGCGATACTAGAATACACCGCACTGTGTGCAGAAGAACATGTTCTTGAGTCTAGCGCCTTAGACCGCTCGGCCAAGTTGCCATCTACAGATTATTGATTAAGCTTTTCGAATCAAGCACATAAGTATGTCATGCAGAAAAAGTAACACCACCACATCACCACCTACTAAGTCTATACCGACCTTGAACATTCTTTTGTGCCAGTTCTACATTTTCTGGGACACTTTCTCGTAGCAGCTGTCTTATCAAAGAATTGCTGAAACTCGTGAAAAGTGTGTGTCACTCCTGATGCTGTGCAGCTCGAAAGCTCTTTCTGGTCGGCGACAAACGGCGAATCGTAGGCCGTCCGTTTGCAAAGGAACTTACTTCGGGATGGAACCTGCTCAACGCAATCACCTTAGGCTGTGCCCTTTTGTCCTTCATTTTCATTATCCTCTGTTTGCCTAGAGTCAAACCTCTTTTCATTTTCTCTTTGGCTTCCGTCGTTCTTTTTCTCAGTCTCTCTTCACTTCATTGCCAAGAGAGCTGGACAGGACAGAAACTCTGTATCCATTGCCATACGTAGCAGCGGCACATCACCAGTACAACAAACAGAAGAGCATCAGACCTGACAGATCTAGACGCATTTTATCACAGCGGTACCGTAAGTGTTCACACTCGAATTTCAGAAAACTTCAACATTCTCCCTGGCTAACACTCAGCAACATAAAAAAGGCCATGAACTCCCTCTACGCCATTCTATTCCGCTCCTTAAATCAGCGACGACCATTCGGCCTCAACCGCCTAGTGACTGCGGAAGTAACAAGAACAGTAGGGCTGAGTGCAGCAATTCCCCTCGCGCTTGGGCACTGGCAATATGTCGGGAACACCGCGCAGGGACATAGACCGAACTCAACCAAGGCCAACCAGCCGAACGACAAGAAGAAGCCAACTGGGAAGGGAAAGAAGCCGAGATTGACAGAGGAAGAAAAGAAGGAAGAAAAACGAAGACGTAAGAAAGTTGTCAAGGACTTCAACGAATTCATAGGCGAGAGGAAACTCAAAGATTGGAGAAAGCTGTGCTATACCATTGGTCTGGAAGGCGAGTTTGAGGATGTGCAGAGTTGTCGAGAGGTATGTGCATATGTTGGGGGTTTTTTGGTCCCTTCTTGCTCTAGTCCACACCACCGGAGAACCGGCCATTACTGATACTCATTTCTTTTCACCCTCACCAGGCCATTAAAGCCGTACACGTCAACATCTATGACGTCCTTGAAGCCGATAGAATCATTCAAGCCGGAGGAAAGTCAAGGCCGCAGCAATTCCCGACCCCGCAGGCGCTCTCAGAGTATTCAGTGGAGTACCGCAAGGTTTATCCCAGGGAAAAGGTCATCGAAAATCAGCCGGAGCACGCGATGCTCAAGCACATTTTCAACCCGGAGTTGGAGGAGAAGTTGCAGAGGGAAAGGGAGGAAAAGCTGCGGAAGAAGAAGGAGTCGAAGTTGAAGAGAAAGGAGAAGTCGCAAAGGGAGAAGGAGGAAAAGCAGACGGAAACTGGAAGCACCTGAGGAGTAAGGGGACACTGATGCCTCTGAAGACGTGGTTTGATGCATGGCATGCGTACAAGGAACAGCATGAGAAAACATATCGTTGCCATAGGGCTGACACTTGCTGAAACCTTTGGACGAGCTGGACAGAATTCCATAGCCCAAAACCTTTAAACCCTTAGATTACCGCTAGTTTATACTCCGCACTATTTTATCGCCAACTCAACGGTCTACACAATGCGCAGATCTAGCTCCTAATCTCCCACATCCTAATCTTGCCCACATCATTGCCCACCGCCAACACATCACCACCATTCTGATGGCTAAACGCCACAGCAGTGATCCTACCCAAAGGCGTTTGCTCCGTAGGCCAGTTCCTGTACACGGTGCAGCTAGGCAAGTGCACCAGCCTTAACGCGTCCTTCTTGTGGAAGCTACCAAACGCCAATAGCTGACCGTCCGGCGCGAACGTCACCACTGAGATGGGCGTCGTGAGCTGCTCAAACGTCCTCTGCGGGGTGGGGATGCTCTTAATCTGCACCGTCTCGTCTTTGGACGCCGACGCACCACCCTCCTTTTTAACAGGCTTAACCAGATCATTCCGGTCATAAATGTTCAGAATGCCGCTATTCGAGCCCACAGCCACCCAGCGATCGCCACCAATCTGGCTAGGGCCGGTGCCCTTCTGCCCGCCCAGTGCAATCACCGTGCCGCCGATCGATCCTTCGTCGCGCCAAACGCCGACCGTGCGCCGGCTGAGCATGCTCCACTCGGTGACCTGGCCGTTCTTACCGAGGATGGAGAGGCCGTTGCCGTTGCCCCACCAGGCGAAATCGGAGATGCCGCCGCGGCCATTGGTGCGCGCCTGCGCGATCCACTGCATCGTGCGCACGTTGACGATGTTGATCATGCCGCCGCCCTTCTTCTCGGAGGCGATGAGCCCCAGGTAGCGTCCGCAGGGCGAGGGACGGAAGTGCTCCATGGTGCGCTGCTCGCGCTGGTGGCCCTGGATCTGGGTGATCTTCTTGACGGCGCCCGACGAGAGGTTCCAGCTGTGGAAGTAGCGCCGGCGACCGGCGAAGATGACGTCGTCACCATCGGAACCAAGGAACTCGGAGCGCCGAAGGTCGGTGCGCTTGACTTGCACCGACGTGAGGGCCGGGTTCGGAACCGGGTGCGCGGTCGGGTCAACTTGGTGCAGGTACATGATGGAGGAGACGCTGCACGAGAGCAGGATGGGGTGCTTGGGGTGGAAGGACAGCGAGCTGACGGACTGCTTGTGAATGTCGGGGATGTCGCGCGAGCGCTGAATGTCGATGGTCTCGGGGCGCAGCTTGCGGCGCTTGCTGCCACGGGCATCGGCGCTGGCGTTGAAAGAGTTGACGTCGCGGAGGAAGGTCTCGAGAGGGAGGGCGGATTCGATGTCGTCTTCGGCGTCACTGTCTTCCTCGGAGGAGGAACCGGCGGCTGAAGATCTTCTCCTCCGGCGCTGGCTGGCGGCCGAGGATTCCTTGGCCCACTCCGGAAGGGGGTATAGTCGGAGGTACTGCGAGCGCAGGCGGCGCGCGTACTCGGTGCCGTTCACGACATCCTCCTCTTCGGACTGACGCAGCTTGCGCAACCGCGAGGCAGCCGCAAGGGATACTGTCAACCGCTCGTCATCGCTGTCCTCCCACGCTGGGGGGTCCTCCTTCTGCTCGTAAGCCTCTAGTGCAGAGGGCGCGGCCTCTGTCTGCTTCTTATCGCCGGGAACGCCAGTATCGAACGCGAAGAGGGCGTTATCGTCGACATGTTCGAGACCAGTCGTGTCATCTTGCTTGTCGGTCCTAATGAGAGCCTTGGAATCGGTAATATCGGCGAGGAAGTCGTCGCGGAAAAGCTGGGCGCGGAAGGTGTCGTTATTGCCCAAGACAAATCGTTCGAGGTCTTCTTCGTCAGAGTCCTTCTCGTCAATATCGTACTTTTTCCTCGGGTCGGCAATTGAATCCATATCGGAGTCGTCCTCCTCCTCCTCATCTACCGACATGGCATCATTGTCGTGCATCTCCTCATCGCTCTCCTCGTCGAATCCAACGAATTCGTTGTCGTCGGAAACTTCGTCTTTCGTCTGTGGCGCCATTTTGTTCTGATTTGGGAGATTGCGCAAAGCCCAATAACGGGAAATTCTGCTGCGAGATCCGGTCCTGGTCAAATGGGGTTGAAATGGACGGAAATGCCACGGCGAGTCGCTAGTGTTTGGTTTGTTTTGAGGTTGGGAACTTTTTTTTCGTTATCAGCCTTGCAGATCGCAGATCCTGCCCCACTTAATCTGGACCCACTTACTATCACAAGCATGCCAGCCTTGTTCGAGGGATGAGTTTGAAGTACCCCTTCAAAAAAGAGAAAAAAAAAGAAACGTATCCGAGGCCTCAATGCTACTGTCATCAACAATACCTTTGTGATGAAGATGACCTGGTGTGAACTCATTTGAAAACAATAAGTGTGACCAGTCACGAACTAATACTATGATTATGAGCCAAGCAGCGCTGATATATAATTTTAAAAAAGAACATATGCAGGAAGAGTACGTGGGGTTTTCGTATCATTGCAGATATCCCATGTCGTCTCACAGCCACATTCATGATTTTTGGACGACAAGCAAGTCTAGAGCCTAGCTTAACAACAGAGCACAGCTAAAGCCCACCATACACAACAAGTCAAGTGCATGCTTGCAGCTCGCCAGCCCAGCACCACTACCAACATTCGACGTCTCAATAACCGTCGAATCACCAGGAGCAAAAAGGGCGCCGAGCTCGTTAGTGTCTTTCCAATCGATATTCTCGGGCGCCAGCAACGGGTTATCAAGTGATTGGCAAGACGGGCGGTCGTCGCTTTTGCTGATGCTGTTGGTCACAGAAATGGGAAGATCAAACATCGTGTAGTGGTTCTCGCCATTGAGTCTGAAGCGTTGGTGGATGGAGATCTTGTGAATTGTCAGTGAAAAGGTTATCAAGACAGTCTTGAGCTGACTATTTGGAAAACCCACATTGTAACTGCCACGATCGTTCCCATCCGTGCCATCGCCAACCATGCAGTCGGGCCATGTCCACCGGACATGCTTCACGGTGCTACCAGGCTCGGAGAGCATGATATCACCGAGTGTGGCATTGTTGGCCGACGCAGTACCGTTGGTGATGGTGAAGTTTCGGCCCGTTACGTAGCTGTAAAGGAAGATGTTGATGTTGTAGATTTGGCTGGAAGCGTCTTCGCCGTAGGGCGGCAGAGGAAGCTTGCCATTGGCAGAAACATCGAGCGCAATCTCAATATTGTCTACACAAGTCAAAGCTTATTAGTAGCAAGTCCTCAAGTCCTTTGCCGATAGCCAGCCGGGTACTAATAGTACTAACCTCCGCCAAGAGGCGTTTCCGGCTGGGGGGAATCGACGACAACAAAACCAGGGGTGAAAATCTGGCCATTGCTGATGGTAAAGTTGCTCGCAAGACCCTTGGTCGCGAAGAGTGCCGCAGCTGCAAACGCAGCGAGAGACAATGACTGTGTCATTCTCAGTAGTGTGAATCAACAATCTGGGGAGGTCAAGTCCTTGGATGCAAAGGGAGCTAAAGGAAATACAATTGTTAAGAAGGAGACCGGACAGCAACTGGGCGTATCCTGGATAAGATAGACAGCTAGCTAAACTAACGTAGGGATGAAAAGATCTTCAGATTGACGTTTTCGAAAAGGAGAGAAGATAAAAGATGGGAAAGGGAAGCACAAGTACGTAATGAGGAAATCAGAAAGCTTCCAAGATACTGCCGCGAGATTGAAATTGCACCGTGACATTGGTGAGAGGTGACTAACGGGGTCAAGCCAGGGGAAGAGCTTCTCTTATTCCAACATGGTTAGGTCTGCATCCGAAAGTGATGAAGTTGTGTGGGGATATCAGGTGTTTTCCAGATCCTGAGTTCTGATGCCATTTCCACTTTGGCCGCTTGATCCAAAGGTAAAAAGTCCAGGTGCCGGATACGCAGTACGTATCAGATATGGAAGACGGGGTTCACGGCCTTTTTGCGTAAGATCGACGTGCGACGTTTTTGGGTGTCGGAAGGTCTCGCAGTGGGATGTCCAGGTTGATATGTTGAGGAATGAGTTGCGGTTGCGAAAGAGGAGAGTTGACGACGGAAATTATGCATCGATGCAATTGAGTTTCTCGCGCGTTTCATGAGCTTCGGTTCGGATTCTGGAAAGCCTGAGCCCCTGGCAGCCCATTTCCCAGTGGGGCTCGCCAAACAGGAAGGAGGCCCGCTGGTGCCGGATGAGCCAACCAACCGTACTGTTTTCCATCAAGTCATCCAAGTACTTGTGGCTAACACAAACAAAAGCGATAACAGCACAAGGGATAAAGGCTTCGATGATGCACAGACCATTTGCGAAGGTTACGGCGTCTATGATCATTCCGGTGAGCGCCGAAACCGAAGCCGGCTCCGGCTGGGAACGGTCTTGGCGCGGACCTAGCCCGGGGCTTGGTGCTTTGGCTGAGTGGGTTTTTCCCCAGTGTCGATACGTAGCACACTCCGCGACCAAACACCTTCCTGAACAAGAGAAGTCGCAAACAACGACCCTAACAGGTCAAAACACACTAGTCGTAGGGGAACACCTCCAGGTAAAGATCCTGCCCGATAACCTCTCCTCTTCACCACCGACAGCAACCAACCGACTGATTTCGAAAAGTTTGTAAACCATAGGTAGGTTTCACATTGGCATCAACTGTCAAGATGCCGTGGACTCTGCACTGCCTTCTCTAGGACTCTCATTTCGAACACTTAGTTGCATAAATGTCAACAGTCATTTCTAGCCCACTTATCTTATCGCTTGGCATTCTTTCAATCCGTTGCGTTCGAATTCAATGGCGGGGGTGGGGTCCACATCAGCTTACCCCATGGTCATTTTAACCACCAACACAACATCAGATAAGTATCTCTCTTGCTAACAGCAATCGGCGTCGATCCACCACCCATCAGTCAGTCATCACGCCGGTTTAAATACATTTACAGGTCAGGTTTTTCTGATCTTGTAACTTCTGGCTCCATCACCCGAGGATCTTCCGTTGTTGTTGTTTTTGCATCTTGAATACTCACTGCCGGTGATCATCAACTCGCGGTTTGGCCTGGAAGAGCTCAAAGATCAACACCAACAACTCGATACCTGGACCAGCCAACAGGAAGAAACTAAGTTGGTCTTACAGGTCCTCGCTCTTAATCCTTTCTCGCGCCCCAAGTGACCGGTCACCAACATGACAGCTCGGCAACACCTCCTTAGCCGGGCCCACCATGTCAGCTCAGCCCTACTGGGCTCGCGACTCAAGTGTGCCCGTCAACCCTGTTTCAACACCGTCCAACGACGCCTCAAAAGCACAGACTCTCAACTCGCCAGTCTCCTCAAAATCTCCCCTGAAGTTGCCGACGCCCTGGCTACCAACAAGCCCGTCGTTGCTCTCGAGTCCACCATCTACACCCATGGCGCCCTCGGAGACGATCTGTACCTCGAAGACATTGTCCGCAAAAATGGAGCTGTCCCTGCTGTTTGCGGTATCCTTGCCGGTGTGCCTACAGTTGGTCTAAGCACTGAGGAGGTGACGAGAATGGTTCACGAGGGTGCAAAGAAGGCTTCTAGACGCGACCTTGCATATCTGGTGGGAAAGGTAATTCGGTTACCATGAGGTCCAGTGACTAATTTGGATATCAACGTTAGGGAGGCCATAGCTTGCTAACCATTGGTGTTCTTATAGGGCCTCACGGGAACCAAAATTCATGGTGGCACTACCATTTCTGGAACTATGGTGCTCTCTAGACTTGCCGGAATCCGCGTATTCGGTACTGGCGGACTTGGTGGTGTTCATAAGGGTGGCGAGAACTCTATGGATATCTCGGCCGACTTGACCGAACTGGGAAGGACTCGTGTCGCCGTGGTAAGCAGTGGCTGCAAGGGCTTTCTCGATATTCCCAGGACACTCGAGTTCCTCGAGACCCAAGGAGTTCTGGTGTCCACGTTCGCAGACGGGCAACAAGGAAACATTGACTTCCCTGCCTTCTGGGCCCGTGAAAGCGGCATCAAGAGCCCTTCAGTGGTCCAAAACGAGGCCGAAGCCGCGGCCATGATCTATGCCCAGGAGCAGCTCAACATTGAGACAGGTCTTCTCTTGGCCAACCCCATTCCGGAGGAGCATGCCATCTCTAGGCAGGACATGGAGCACGCCATCAGCGTTGCCGTAAGCGAGGCGGACGAGAAGGGTTTCAGCGGCGCAGAGAACACGCCATATATCCTCAGGAGAATCAGGGAGCTGACCGAGGGCCGCAGTGTGCCTGCGAACAAGTACCTGGTTCAGGCGAACGTTGCGCGGGCCGCAAAAGTAGCAGTGGAGCTCAGTAAGCTTATTGACGGCGGCTCCCGCTCCTCTCAGGCTGCTGCGTAAGGACCTTATTACAATCTCCATAAGCCAGCTAAACTATACCTTATTAACGTAGAGTTGATCAGGTCCACAGTTCAGTCTCCTGGAATTCGCAAAGTGAAAGTAGAGATCAAGCCTGAGCCTTCCAAAGTCACACAGCAGCAACAGGTAAGGTTTAGCCTTGGTATCAGTGATGCAAACCCTTCCAGTAATTCCCGCGTCACTGACTGGATAATGAACCTACCATATCTAGTCTAACACCGCTGACATCCTAGTCGCTGGCTCGGTCGCCCTCGATTTGAGCTGTGACTATGCCGGTGGGGTTGATGCCCAGGGCAACAAGACAGTGTCGCCTTTGGCTCACGTCTCTAATCCCTCCCACATCACCCAATCCGTCGGAGGTGTAGGCCACAATGTAGCCCTTGCCGCCCACAAAGTCAGCGAGGATGGCAAAGTCAGGCTCTGCAGCATGGTTGGTGACGACATGTAAGTCATCCCCCCCCCTTCCCTATCCCGCTCGGAGTAGAGACTCACCCTCCCAACTCAGCGCGGGCGCCACCATCCTTGCCAACCTCGAATCCTCCGGTCTTGACACCACCTGCATCCGCAAGCTGGGTCGCGAATACCCGTCCACCCGCACAGCCCAATACGTTGCCGTCAATGACGCCGATAAGAACCTCGTCATGGCCATGGCCGACATGGCTATCTTTTCCAACCACTCATTCCCAACGTACTGGAACTCCGCCGTAGCCGCCACCAAGCCTAAATGGCTCGTCGTCGACGGTAACTGGGCCGAAGCGGACATCCAAACTTGGATCGAAGCTGGACGCAAGCACGGTGCCCGCGTCGCCTTCGAGCCCGTCTCGGCTGCCAAGTCCGAGCGTCTCTTTGCCGCTCCGAAGCAGGGCGGCCAGCTACCTTTGCGTCTGTTCCCTAACGCCAGCGTCGATCTCGCGTCGCCAAACCAGTACGAGCTTTCAGCCATGCATGGCGCCGCGACGAGGAACGAGTTCTTTACGCACAGCTGGTTCGAAGTCATCGACACGTTTGGCATGCAGGGTTCAAGGGACAAGTTTGTACGACTGACGAGCGCGGAGATCACCGATATGGGCCTGCCCCAGCAGAATATCCAGCTGTTGCCATACATCCCGACGATTATCACGAAGCTGGGAGCGAAGGGCGCGTTGGTTACTATGCTGCTGAAGCCGGGGGATCCATTGCTGAAGGACAGCCATCATGCGCCGTATATTCTGGCGAGGAATTATAATGATCATCCGCATGTGGGTGGTGTCTATATGCGGCTGTTTCCGCCAGTGGAGACGGTCAAGGATGTGGTTAGTGTCAATGGTGTTGGAGATACGTTCTTGGGCGTATTGGTGGCGGGGTTGGCGATGGGTGGACGGGTTGAGAATTTGGTGGATGTGGCGCAAAGGGCGGCGTGTTTGTCATTGAGGAGTCATGAGAGTGTTAGTATGGAGTTGGTTGGGTTAAAGGGTGATTTGAGGTTGGCGGTGGAGAAGGAGTGAGGAATGGTTTTCCGGCCACATGATGGAAGAGGCATAAGAGATATACAACGGAACTGGAGGGCCACATGGAGGAAATAATTGCATGTGGTTATGAAAAGAAATAAGAAATTGGGGTTCTGTCTGATTCGGGGGGGACTTGGCGTTCGAACGTGTTGAGCTAAACGTCAAGTCAAAGGCTTCTTTTACCTTTTGACAACATGAAGAGACAATGAGCACATGACTTTTGGCTTGTGATCACACTTGTAGCCTACCTACAAGTGCCCACATGCATTTACCGTGATAATCATGAACACGGTTTGGAGGATTCAGTGTCAAGTTTGTCGTATGCTCGCCCTTTGGTTATGGCGCAACCAATGAGGCTTATAGTCTTCTTTGTTTCTAATAACTTGTCTGTGTTTTTCTGGAAAACTTGATCAAGCTTGTGGGTAGAAACCTCTATGATTGTCAACTCAAAAGAGTGGCACATAATGATGGATCGAGTCACCTTTTCTCGACTTACGAAGTCAACAAACAATTTCCTCAGGGTCAAATATCGCCACTTGCAGTTCTTCGATGTTTAATCTTAGTCCAAGACCGTCAAGCCCTACCTTTCTAGAGAATTCACAAAAATCCTTTATTGTACACAGCTTACCAATATAACGAAGACTACTAAGTAGGTACTCACTCTCCTACCCTAACCCTGACTTAGACGGCGGGTGACGAAAACAAGAACGCGGAGAGGACACTCATCCTTCCCTTAAACAGAATATCCTAGAAAGATCGGATGATATCTACAATGGAATGACGTTCGAATTTAAGATCCATCAGTCACGTTCTCACTTCCTTCCTGTTCCATGTGTGGTGATACTGCCGAGTGTCCAACCACTAGACAGTACGCCCAGCATTCGAATCTCTCGTTACTACCACTATCCATCTTATCTTTTCGACTTCATGCACTCCATCAATAAGATGCTTCTGCCTCCAGAGCGAGTCTTAGGACAACTCCAACTACTACTACTACTACTACAAGGCCGACAACTCGCCGCTTCTGACCAAGTAACGTAGCATAGTAAATTGACGCCGCCTGAGAGATGCCTATAGCTATTGCCACACTTATGCAGAGCCCCTGTTCGTTCGTCAACTTTTAGCTACAGTAGCACGTGCCCGTCGGTAGCCGGCCACGGTACCTAAAACCGTGTCTTCCCTCGCCTTCTTTTCAGCCTCTTTTCACCTGCTGTTGAACGTGCATGCAAACCCTACATATACAGATACACTTCCCAGTCGGGCATTCACATACTGTCACACACAACGGTATGCAAAATTTCATCCTTCGAAGCTCAGAAATACAAAGGTAAGCTGGTAATTTAAAGGGTTGTAACTGTGAATAGACAGACACTACTGCAATCTCAGCCCTTTCTCGAGTACACGACGCTTTTATACTCTTTGTATATATATATATATGTGTGTGTGTGTGTGTGTGTGTGTGTATGTGTATTATACTCCTAGTGTTCTTTCTATATTATATGGAGTTCTCTTACATTCGTCCACGACTCCTCGGCCAAAGTCATGCCAAGCCAAGCCATAGATGTCAAAGAAGGTATACAAGGTATACATATCAGAAGCAAAAAAAACGCCTATAACCCGTGCTTCAACCAACCATCGTACCAAGCAACAAAACATCATACTCAAAATCTCTACCGTTCACGGCCGCCACCCACCAATGACGAATTATCGATTATCGCTTGTACCGCGGCAGATACTCAATAGGAGGCGGGCTAGAAGAATCCGACCTTGCTTGCTGTTCCTGTTCCCGTAGCAAATCGTGCGCGTTTCCCGAGCCCGAGGCCGGGAAAAATGCCGATGCAGGTGCTGGTACTGGTGACGACGGACTACCAGCAACCGTTACTGTACCTACGGACCCAGAGCGATGATTATTGTACGTATACTCTGGCACAGTTTCTTCTTCGTGACCGCCGCTGCCGCTAGCGGCGCTAGGGAAGCTGGGGCCACCGGCGGTATATCCACCACCGTGATAATCTTCATCGTTCTCGAAAAGCACGGGAGCTGAGGGTTCAAAGGCTACGGGTGGAGCTGAGGGTGGCGCGGAAGGTCCTGCTCCTGAGCCAGAGGGCCCCGCTGGGGTTACAGGTCCTCCGCCTTCGTCGGGAATATAGTCCTCTGGGAATTCGGGCGGTGCGCTGGCCTCGGCTAACAGCCTTCTCCGTTCGAGCTCCTGTTTATCTTCAGTGGTGCTTAGAGGGTGGTGCGAGGGTCCTCTGGATATTGGTGGTGGTCGGTCGAGCTCCTCAAGGGTTGGCGCGGATGGCAGGTCTTCTGCTGGTGTGGGTGTGTATACCGGAGCGAGAGCGTGGTCGAATGGTGATGCTGTTGCGGGTGTGGCGGCTGGGGTTGGTACGTCGTCTTCTGCATCATAGATGTTGTCCCCGTTTAGTAGTAAGGACGAGTCCAGGGCGTGGTTGGACGCAGATGGTGAGGGCACGGCGGCAGAGAACGATGATGATGATGCTGCCGCTATTGGTGGTTGACTGGGTAGTAAGCGTTGTTCGGCACGTCTGATGCGCTCCTTTTCCGTAAGACTATTCTCATCAGGTAAGTCGGGCGGTGGTATATAGTGAGGTGCGGGTATCGCTTGCTCATGCTGTGATGAGTCTGGAACGTAATTCCAGTAATGTGGTTGATGGACATAATCGTGTGGGTAAGTCGTTTGTGGCGGGTACGACGCATAGTCATCATTGGGGTTTGCAGACTCGGGACCGTATCCGTCATCGTCGTGCATGCTGTTCGGCCAGCCGCCCTTTTCGTTGTACTCATTCTCCACATAGTTGGAGCCGCCTGTTACAGATGGTGTATGCGTAAGGCTGGGTCTTTGCGGACCCTTGCCTCGTGACCTATTGCTGTCGGTCGTACCGACAATGACCTCGTAGTAGCCGGGAATGACTCCTTGTATCCTTTTGAGGCGATCTGTGTCCAGAATACTTGTGCTCCCCGTCGCCCCCCACGATGGCAATGTGCCAACATTCTCGAAAGGAGTCCCTACCACACCAGTAGCTCCCACTCGTGAGCCGGAAGACGCACCACCCTGTAGATGATTGGCGAGTTTGCCGCCCAGGTCCACGATGACTTCGACGAAGTACCTGAAACTGATCATCTCCCCGGGTACACCCTTGATAGTGGGGAAAGAGTCCTCTGGTACTCGGACTGATGTCGTCAAGGTGGCAGAAAAATTCACCGGATCCGTAATGAGAGGCGCAAATGCTTGTGATAGATCCTTTCGAAACATGCTGCAGGAACCCGCAGACGACAGGGAAAGGCCGCTGAGACCCGTCCTGGATTTAGGGTAATAATAGTCGTCTGATTCCGACTTTTTCCAATCCTCTTTGGAGAGCTGAAGCGGGGAAGAGTCGATGCGCCCTTGTCTGAACAGAGTAACAATGACACCGTGCATGCTTTTGATCATCTTGATGTGATTAACCGACACCTTGACGGGTATCACGTCGCCGGGTAAGCATCCACCTTTAAGCACTTCAACTCTCAACTTGATGGTCCGTTCGTCGGCAAATGATATCCGTTTCCCTGTCACTGCGGACCCAACAATGGCTAGCTGGTTTGTCTCGCTATATGCTCTGCTCGGGTGCGTGCTGAGACTCGCGGCGCTATCGCCACTGAGACTTCGCACCTCACTGTGTGAGACACTCCGCGGAGCCTGGCTAAAGCCCTCTTGACCAACGTCATCACCGACTATCGAAAGAGATCCTTCCGTCGATGTGTCGTTTATCCTTGCTGAATCTCCATCGGACAATGATTCTGCTGGCACATCAGCAGACAAGCGCTCTGACGATATCACAGAGCGCCTTTCTCCACCGGCTGGTCGTTTCTTCTTGGCTCGTTTCGAAATGGGTCGGAGGTCCACAGTCTGGGCCTTGGGAGGAGCAAGCGGTCCAACGTCCAGCTGTTCCATCAAGTAGATTTTGCGTTCACAGCTGGTCGTTGGGGCTACCGAAGTCGGGCGCGTTAGCGTTGCTGTGATCATGTAAGATATCGTGCCACGTTCAAACTGGATAATAGTTAGCGACAACCATGCTGTCTGGTTCGGAGCTGATAGTACGCACATCAATGCTGCTGGGGAGACCCTTTTCTGGAAAGAGTAGATCGAAATTGAACTCGTATCTTCCGGGCTCCAGCCGGCCATCGGAGCTGAGAACCTGCTCATCCTGAAAGAGCGACGCATAGCCATTATAGTACTTTTTGCGCTCCCCTCGGCTGCTAATGTTCTTGATCTCGGCCGGGCTCCGGACGGGCTCGTTGTTTTGGGCGCCAGGTCCCTTGTAGACACGTACGTAGCCGTGCAGCAAGACGGTCAGGTGCGTGATGCGGACGGGCTTGACGACGGTCAGGACCACAGCGCCCTGCACATGGTCACCGGCACTGTATTTGCGGTGGGGATCGTCAGGCCGGATGTGGAAGTCGGCGATATTGCGAGTGCGTGACCGGAGAGGGAGGATGTTGAGGCGCTTCAGGAACTTTTTGCTGGTCGAGGAATCGTCGGACGCGGCGGCAGATGGTGTTTTGGAGAGGGGAGATGGCGTCGCAGTTGCAGTTGCAGGAGCGGCGGTGGCGGCGGCACTGTTGCGGTCGGAAGCGCTCGAGAAGGGGCCCATCTATGCGTGTAGGGTCGGGGACGGGATACGGGTTGTTGTCGTGGATAGTAGTATGGAGAGGAGCGGGAAGTGGGAATTCCTTCAAGGCCGTCGCATTCGGGAATCAGCGCAGGGCTCGAACCCGCATGCGCGACGGGCACAAGTCGACAAGAAATGGGCGGACACTCGGTTCGAATGTAGGAAGGAATATGCACGCGAGGGTTGGTCGAGTCAATGCTGCTGGTCGATGGTGATGGTGGTGGTGGTGGTGGTGGGTAGTGCCTCTGGTGTTGGCAGCCCTCGGGGCGTCCGGCTTGGATGCTTGTCGCTACACCTCCACTGTCCAAACTCTTAGCGGCGCGCAACCACAGTCGACGGCAATCTTCAGTGCCGGGCAATCGGACTCGGATTCGTCGGAGTGGAATTGGCCGTAGTGATGCTGGTGATGCCCCTGACGCGAGGACAGACGGTTATCGATCGTAAAGCCAAGAGATCTTTGAGTGACGGAGAAGGCTTAATTGCGTTCTGGGGGTTGCATATGCCAAGGCTGGACACTTTGGCGGACAGTGGACAGCAACAGTGACAGCGACGGGCTGGACAAGGCCTGGAAGTAAGTTGCCGCTGGGACTGGGAGTTGATGATGGGTCGTGCTTGGCTTGCCAAGAAATGTCAACGCAGGGTGGACGACGGTGGAGGAGAAGGGAAGAGGAAGGGTCGGCCCCCAGCCCAGCCCAGGAGTGGAGAGTGCAGAAAAGCTTAGCTGCATCCAGTGGACCTGCTGGCACGTGCGTGTTCCGAATTCTGTTCCGATTTTCGATATCAAAAGAACAAGCAACGGCAGGCCTACAACACCAAAAACAAGGCAGCCCATTGAGGATTCAAAGAGTTCTTCTGGCTTGAAAGTACATGGAGTCGCACTCCAGAATGTTCCTCACGATGCGCCAAACGACCGCCTGGACACTAACGAGACCCTCGCTCTCCTCCACAATCTCAAACTTGGAGACACCGATGTTGGCTAGGCCAGCCCATACACACTCGAAGACCGGGCAATACGATTGTACTGGGTCATCAAGCGTCCATTCTGCTATTCCCCAGGGGCACGTCTGCCACGAACCCATCTGATTCTCCCTTGGATAAAACATAGGTATGTACCGGGCATCCTGGTTGCTCTTCCAGTCTCCCCGTCAATTCGGCGGTGAAATAGCCCTCACATTGGACCCATTTTCCCCGCCCTAACAAAACAAATCCCTGCCCTACAGACCCAATTCCAATGCACTCTCATGCACGTAGGGACTTGGAGCTTGTCGTGCCTGAAAAAAGCAGAACGGATGACCATATCAAATCCAAACCGATAACTCTGCCGATCTTGTTGGGATCTCGTAGGGCTATACGCCACGGTCTTGGCCTCTTGGCGATCTCTACACTATTCGGTCCAAGCTCGATAAAAGTTTTTGAGGCTTGAGAAGTTGATGGAGTCAAGAACCACCTTGCGCTCTCTCCACTCGGCGAGACCCGCGAAAATAACAAACTTCAGTTCACATGATGGGATAAAATCAGCACACAGAACTCGGAGGGAATGAGAGACACTCCCAAACACCCGACTGTGAGTCTTTACTTGTTTCCAATTGATATGGCACTTGTACGTAGGTCACTGCCAGATTACCATTTCCTTTGTTCCATACTAGGTAGGTAGACAACAGCTAGGTAGGTAGACAACAGTAACATCAACAAAGAATCAGACAGGCGGATGCTCAAAAAGCCGAACCTGAATGCCAAGAATGGCTTGCATTGCCGTGACATGCAAAAACATCCTCCTCGGGTCCTCAGTGGTTTCCCCCCAGCGCTTCGCTCATGTTCGCCGTTCATGTCCCTGTTCGTCCGTTGGTGGTCTAGGCAGCTGAGGTAGCCCCCAACAACCCCTCTCTTAATGATACGCTAATCTCATGATAGGATGCCATCACAAACTTTCCATTGTCAATCACATCACGACAATTTTGTCAGAATCAATATAAGCCGTATTCTTAAACCTCCTCCCAGCCATCCACTTGACCACTTCATATTCCCAGAATCCTCAGTCCTCTGAACATGAGAATCATCCTTCATGATGAGAGACATCGTTGACCTACCACACGATCTCTTCCTCCTCGTCATCTCTTACCTTTCTCCCAGAACATGCGTCCTCTCTCGCTCTGTCTCTCGAAGATGGCACGCCGCCTTCACCGATGAACACATTTCGTATCTCTTGATGCGATGGAACTTTCCACAATGTCGTGAGATGCGTCTGGCCTCAACCACTGCCTTACTACCATCAGCATCAACTTCAGACTTTGAGAACATCAACAGCAATCTCGCCATCGAGATATCATGTACTTCTCGTAACCTCCCACCATGGCCCGATACTTTTGCTCTCGTGGCCAGACGCTATCACCATCTCCGTCAAGGCTCGGCCCGAGTTGTCGAGAAGCTTCAGATGGCTCGGCCAAGCCGTGAAAACACCGGACCCTTCCCATTCTCTTTCAAGGGAGTCGCTCCTTGGAACCGTTTCCTACGTCTGGAGGAAAAGACGGCCGAGTTTCACTACCCCGATCCCGCATGGTGGTACAGTCAAGAAGACGGAGTGCTGGTCTACCCAGCAGAAGTCCGTGACAGGCCCAATACCCCATCATCAGATCCAGCCCATGGATATGTTTATCAAATCTTCGACCCAGCGACTGGAACCCAAATTCCCGTTCCGTTCGATGTACGCCGAAAACATATCCGTCGAGTCCGTCTCGCCCAGGGGGTTCTGATATTCGAATGGGCTGAAGAGCATCCATACCACCAGCTCAACGACAGAGAGGTTGTCCATCGGCATTTTGTGACTACTTTCGACGTCGTCCGAACACCATCTCCATCTGCCTGGACGTGGACCATCCAATTCCGATCAGAATGGAAGCTACATTTCCTTGGTCTTCCCATAAACCGATCCGACCGCTTCTTCTCCGCCCACACAGCCACACACTACGCCGTTTACTTCTGGCAACCCAACCGCTCGTTGTACCAGGATGATCCCATCGAACAGCTCGCTGTCTGGGACATTTCCTCGCCAAGTCCATACCGTCCGTCCGAGGATCCTACAGGACACAACCGGCCACCAGTCGGTAATCGGACGACTTCCATGTCTGCTGGCTTGTGGAACGGAGGAGGAACCCACACGACGACCACAACAACAACAACAACAACAACAACAACAACAGCGGCCGGAGAAGCAAGAAAAGGCGCCAGCCCCGAACCAGACCGCATTCCAGCAACCACCGGTCCCCAAGTAATCCGCCGCATGGCCTGGCGTGAACTCGACTTCCACGGCGTACGGCAGCGCGCCAACCCACAGCTGCGTAATCTCTCGCTCGACGATCGGAACCTCTATTTCATCGAGGAAGAACACCGCTGGGCCGAGGGCCAACACTCGTCTCTTAGTCCGCCTCGCGTTCACCATGTCAAGTGCACGGGTATTCCTATCGTGCCTTGCACGCCGGCTGTTCCTATCCCTTTGTCGTCATCCGACAAGGAGGGTGCGGAGCGAGGGCCTAAGCCGTCTCATGCGCATTACTACCAGGCTCTTTTCACTTCAACAATCAATGACGCTGTGTATGGGCCAGTATGGGTGGACCAGTGTGGTGCAGATGGGGATGTGAATATGTCCTTCTGTCAACGGGCACATTCCACTTCCATCTCTCCACTCACCTCCTCAGCCTCCCCGTCATCCTCCTTCTTTTCCACGACACCTCAGGCCCAAGACCGGCAACAACTTCCCCCCTCTCCACCCCTCTCCCCCTCTTCCTCCTCATCCCGCTCCTTCCACACCCTCCTCTCCAACCAACAAGCCCTCCTGCATCACCTCCGCTCCCGTCCCCCTTCTCCCTCTTCCCAATCCTTCAACTTCTCCATGCCCCCCCACTCTCCTCCACTCACCACATCCCCCAACTCCCGCCGCCGCACATACCAGCAATCCTTGGAGGATCTCTTAAAAGCAAATAACCAGCAACGTTTCCCCGGCCTCGCCCCCTGCTGGCGCCACGAAGATTTCCCCTACCTGACCGTCGCAGAAATGGTCGATTTCGCTGCGGGGGTGAGGATCACGGCTAGGCATTGTTTCATGTTGGAGACTGTTAGTGTCTGTGTGAGGAATGCTTGTATTTCTGTGAAGCCTGGTTTGCCTTTGCACATGGAGGTTGGGGAAGAGGAGGAGGAGGAGGAGGATGAGGAGGATGATGATAATAAACATGATAGGAGAAGTGAGAGAAAGAAGGAGAATAGGAATAAGGGGCCTAAGGGAGGGGAGGGATCAGAGAGAGGGAGAGGTGAAGAAGTGCAGTTTGCGGATGAGATGTGGAGCCAGTTGGTGGGTAGGAGGGGATATTTGGCGGGTGATGAGAGGTGGGTGCTGGGAGAGGATGAGGAGAGAAGGATTACTGTTGTCAGGTTTTAGTAGTTTTTCCACGTTAGGCTGTCGTGGTTATGATGCTTGGTTTGTCCTCTTTTTGCACTTCTTTTCTTTCGCTTTGGGCATCGATTGATACACTGAAAGTGACGGTGTTGTGGGTGGAATACACGAACAAAACAATTGGTAAGACAGGATGAAACAGAATATACATAAGGGAGTTCGGTAGGATACGGTAGATTTCAAGCATCGGTAGAGGTAGGTTTGGGTGGCTTGCTCTTCTGTGACATTTTCCACTACAACACTAACGCCTCTACTGTTTCTCAGAAGACACAATGACTGGCCAAGCATATCATACATCAGTCACTCCTCAAATTTCTTTCATCTTCATTTCCGGGTTTCCAAGTCGAAGACGAGAGCTCTATTCAAGTCCTCAAATCCTTTTTCAGTTCGTCAACCCGTTACATACATACATGAAGCAGGTTACGTGACAGGACTAAGTCTAACTCCTCTACGCCAAACCAAACACCGCCAACACAGGGATCCGAAATATCACTCAACCCATACCAAGACGAAAAGAACGATATTTTCCTCACTCGACACCACCAAACCAAGATGCTCCCTCCAGTGCTCTGTCCCCCCATCTTCCTTCCCGATTGTCCTTCCAGCATGAGTAGAAAAGTAAACAAACCTGCCTCCCAGCCCTCAATGGTTCTTCCTATACCATCTATACACCAAAATTTCCCGCCTAGACCTAGTCTCACGAGTCTGCCTTTACTCCGCGAGGTCCTTTGATCGGTGTCCTTTCTGCGTCTTGGTCATTCCCGTTAGTCTGCTCGTTCCCATGTTTCAACAGCAACCCTTTCGCCGCTTCAATTCCCAACACTCTCCTCCAACCAGTTCTCGTTTTCCTCAGCCATCTTGCTATCATGTTCCAACTTTAATTTTTCCCTCTTGATATAATCCGCCCTTTCCAGCCATCCCTCTCTCTCTTGGGCCAATTCTCAAAGTCCGCCGCCAGCTTCTCCACTATCTCCTTCAAAAACTCCATATCTCTCTTCTCAATCTCCTTGTCAATCGTGTCCACTTCATGTACCTCTTTGACTGTTTTTCCTTTGCCACACACAATCATTCTTCGGATCCAAACCTCTTCCTCCTCCTCCTCGTCCCCTGCCACGCCCTCTTCTTCCGCGTCAACCTCCTAATCCATCGCAGGAGAAGGAGGCACCTGCAAAAACCGATCGTAGTAAGTGTCAAGCCACTTGGCCGCCTCCTCACCGGCATCGTCCACGCTCGAGTCCCACCTGCCGATAGAGCCAACATACCCATCGGGACGGACGTTGACGATGGCCACCTCTCCGGGGCCGAGACTGCCGAGCCACTTGTTGGTGCACAGCTGGCCGCGGGTGTCAAGCTCGGGAATGTCGTCAAGGTAGAAGGTCCAGCGGCTGTCTTGGAAGAGGGCGGGGAGGTCGGTTATTTCGATTTCAGACTTGGGCATGGTGGCTGAAAGACTGTTAGCTATATGGGTTGACGTATGGGGGGTGATGTGTGCAGCTTACTGATCAAACCAAAAGTAAACAAATGGCTAACGGCCGTATACCGCTCCGGACGGAGATAGATATCCTCAGGAGCTGGTAGACGGGGCTGCTTGGCGTACGAAATGTTCGCGGCGGCCGAGAGCTGGTTCATCAAAGAATCAGACGAGTTCAAAGCCGCGCAGAAACCATCCAGAAAGATGCGCGACTGATGGACATCCCACATCAACAGGTAAATCCGGAACTGGCCCAGCATGGGAATATCGAGCTGGACATCGACCGGATTCGAGTCCAAGTAGCGAGTAACCTTTGCGGGCGGGAGCAAGCAGCCGGGCTTGGCGTCACCCATAACCCACGACTGCGGCTCAACCATGTTGATAGCATTCTCACCATATTCCGCACCAATGCCGGAGATGAAGCGAACGTTCGTCTTGAAGTTTTCAGCCAGAGCGACAGCGTCACCTCCGGCAATCTGATTAGCGTGCTCATAGTCAAAGTTGACCAAGTCCAGCGCAATCTTCCTCCGCTCCTGTTCGTAGCTCTCCAGTAACGCGGGCTTCGCAAGGCCACGGGCGGCAAAATTCAGCTTCCAGCCAATATTCCAGGCATCGTGCATCGATGTGTTCATACCCTGCGCAGCCTTGGGCGAGTGAGTGTGGCTAGCGTCGCCAGCCAAGAAGGCCCGGGTATGAGGGTCCTGGAAGCGGTTCGCAACTCTCTGGCCAATCTGGTACCTACCAAACCATTCAATGTACTTCCACTTGACACTAAAGGGCGCCATGATTTCCCTGGCGCGCTGCATCACAAACTCCTGCCCCAGCATATTTCTGTCACCCTTTGTGCTGCTCTTCAGCTCAATGTAAAATCTGGTCATGTTCCGCTCTCGAGGAATGATCAAGATAGAGCCATGCTCTTGCGAATAGACCAACGTCTTTGACCAAATGTCTGGGAAGTCGGTATCGAGCTCGCCGTCAAGGACGCCCCACAGCGAGGGCTGCGATAGGCCGATGGGCTTGGCATCAGGGATGCTTTTCCTGACCTTGGAGTGCGCGCCGTCACCTAGGCAACGGAATCAATGTTAGCATTAAGCGAAGTCCTTTTCAGGGGCAGCGCCGCCGCCAGCAGCGGCCAGCGGCAGAACGGCAGCGGAGATTCAGGGGTAAGACCCACATCCAACCAAATATTGCGTCAATATGGTCTTGCGATCCTGGGTGACATTTGCTAGGCAGTTCACCTGGAGCGGCCCATTGTTTCCGTCACAAACGCTATACGAGTCGAAAGCGGTATTTCTCCGCACTTCAACACCGCGCTTCTTCAAGTCCTCGATGAACAGACTTTCCACCATACCCTGGTGAACCAACAAAATGTACGGGTCCAGCACATCGATTATAGGGGGATAGTGAATTTCTCGGCCAAGGCGGTGGAGCGGTTCGTCCGTTGTACTCCTCCAGAAAGCAATGTCGTACACTCGAACGCCGCGTTGTAGTAGAGGATCTGCCAGGCGCATCTGGCGGAAAGTCTCGATCGTCTTGGGTTGCAGACCGTCGGCTCTGTTGTATTTTGCACAAAGTCAGACAACCACTTTCTTGTTCCTCGTCGGGTGACCATAACGGCGTGGTGTGAACTTACCTCCCCACTGGGGTCTGGTCTGCCCTGTCATCCACCACTTCCACCTTGACACCGAAACGGCCGAGGTTGCAAGCCAGCATCAGGCCAGCCGGGCCGGCGCCGACCACGCACACTTGACATTCTACCGGCGGTTCCGGCATACTCCTCAACAAGGTTAGACGGTCGATACAGCTGTCGTCAGCAGCGTTGGTCATGTGCAAGTCGCCTCCTTGTTGCTCCTCGGCGGGCTTCTCGAGGACACCGGGAGCCATTGTTGTATTAAAGGGGGGACGCAAAGGTCCCAAGGGTGATGTTGGATAAGCTTTGACTTGTTGGAAGGTATGGGCGCAACAATACTGCTGAGCCTCGCTCACGCATTCGGATCGAGATGGAATAAGGCTGTCACCAAGCGCCAGTGACAAGGGAGGCGCCGTGTGATTCGCCAAAGAGGGGAGCCCTCGTCTAGAATTCTCGAACGATACGGGATGAATTCGGTTCGACTCCTGGACGATATCGAGCCGCGTGCCGGGGCTCCAATGATAGCTGGATGCTGGCGCAAGACCTAGTAATAGGGCGGGGTCGTGGTGCGGCGCTGCAGTAGGTGAACAGCCAACTCTGTCGGTACTGGTGACGGGGGGGATTGTATTCGATTATGGCCAAGCTTCTTGTAAAGTCGAATCGTTGTCTCGGTCTTGGGGTCAGCTGGCGGGTATGGATGTGAAGCCGAGCAGCGTCCGGTACTTTGCGATGGACGGGACCAAGAGTTGATGTGCTTCGATGCGGTATGCTGGTGGCCAGGCGGTATGTGTGTGTGTGTGTGTGTGTGTGTGTGTGTGTGTGTGTGTGTGTGTGTGTGTGACAACCACAGATCTGCAGTGAGGATTGACAAATACCACACAGTGAATTCAGAGAAGGTGTAAGCAGCCTTTTAGGAGCTGACTGGCGAGTCGGGAAAAGTATACAGAGTACGAGAATTCGGAGTTGTCGGTGCAGTCCCGGCGAGATACTCCGACAGTGTAGCTAGCTCCTTAAGTTACCACAACAGTAACAGCAACAGCGGGCAGTCGACGGCAGAATCGGTTAGTGGATCGGGTACTTGTTGATATCCGAGCTGTACACTAGTTTAGCAGCCAAAGCCGGTAGACTGGAGGATATCGTATGTGAAGGAAGGGAAAACGGACTTGAAGTCGTAGTTGTCTTTTTTGGGGAAGGGGAAGACTGGAATTCCGAGCGCCTCTTTCGACTAGACCTGACACTGCTTAGCTCTCTGGCTACCATTACCATGGGCCGGCACCTCATGGCGAAAAGCCCACGGCAAGAAGGGGAGAGCGACATCGAACAGGCGATGCTATCATAATTCTGGCTCCTCGACGACAAAGCGGATACAGGCCGATATCTTGATTCATGTTGCGGCTTCGGGGTGGTCTGTTTTATGCAGTAAATGATCTGATCTGGCCGCAACAACGCCCATTGCGTCGCTCTGATTGGGTCTTCGGAGCGGGGGGTCTGTGGCCAGCCAGTCTCAGGTCAGGCCAGTAACCTAGGACAAGCAAACGGGACCTGGCGCCATGGGTGAGCAGCCCAGGTCTTGGCAAGTCCTCTTCGCACAAGTGACCCCTCAGGACCCATATGGAAACCCCCGCCTCCACAGTCAACCCTTCCCTCGTACCCAAGTGTAGGGTAACTCCCGCTGAAGAAAAAAAAGAAGGGAAATTCCCAGCCCGCGACAGGAGACTCTCCTGTCTCCGTCGGGTTCCAGGGGCAATGATCCATCATCAGCCCATTTTCTTTCCCTTCTAGAAGAAACGGCCATCAAGATCGCCCTTGTGTATAATCGATTCGTCATGCTTACATTTGGTTCTGGAATGTTGCCAAAATCGTATTTCTCCTCATTTCTTTGTTCCTGCCCCGGCCGCCGGGTCGGTCTGGACCCGTTTCCATTCCATCTTCAATGAATGTCTCATGTGTGTCAGTGTGTACAGCAATTGCATTAATCCATTGACACTGCATGGAGCCGCGACCGCTAAGTAGTAGGTAGGTACCTAGGTACCTCTAATATGTCAACGGTAAGGTACGGAAGGTATACACCTACATATGTACACCTTTTCAGCGGACGGGATGCGGCAACAACGGTTCAACGGTCATTCTACAGCCAACCATCCGAGTCAACGGCCAAAGGCCAACCCGGACGTCCAGAAAGGCTTCAGTTAGACTTAACTTCTAACGGTACCAACGGGTCGGCCAAGGTACATGATGGATATGGGCGACAGGTTTCATCACTTCCATCACTTACACGGCACACAGACACATACACCGTTATCCTTCACATTTTCAACGGGCAGCAGCCAGTCAGCCAGCCATGTCTTGTATTACCTCATGGGCCTACCCATCTATATACACTACATATTATGCAGTGCTTAGTTCACAGCGTCCTCCGACGGCCGACGCAACTAGACCATCGTAAGATAACTTTTATCCAAATGCTACCTCGCTACCAACTTCTCCGGAGTCCGGGGACTCTTGCTGTATCCAGATGGCATGGTGCCATTTTTGACCACTGGTGGGAAGCGAAAAGCTCTAAGCGTTCCCCTCGGGTCTACACTAGGCTCGTTTGGATCATGTAGACACTGGACGATATGTACATAGGTAGGTACCGAGGCGAGTGAGACATGGACGGACGGCAAAATATATCCATCTGATAAGATGCCATTGAAAAAGAGGCGTTTGTCATATCGTTGGCAAGTTATATTTCGACTAGTGTAGCGCTACGGGGATCACCTTGAGTCAGGAAAATAAGGTAAACAGACATGCTATAAATAAGAGGCATATTGGTGGACTTGTGTTTGAATCGCTTGGTTTCACTGTACTTAGGTCTATACCTAGTCGACATCTTTAGACCATATCATCACATCGATAACCAAGAGATTTCGCTTCCTCCGCCCCGTCCCATCTCACATGCCCGTGTAGTCTAATCATGACCTGCCCCCGTAGGCGTAATATCCCTCTTCCCAAACCTCGCTCCCAAAGCTCCAATATCTCTCCTGAAGAAATTCCCAATATTCTTCAAATTTTCATTGATTGTAGCTTTATCGCTTGCCGTTGTTGTTGCCCCTCCTCCACTTGTTACCCCCTCCCGCTCCATCGTACTCATATCCCTCGCCGCACTCAACAACTTCTCCCCCAAACTCGTCGCCGCATCAAACCTACTCGTCACGCTGCCACTTCCCTGCGATGCATGATGTCCTGCTGCCGCAAATCCTGGGGCTATCCCGCCGCCGATGCTGATGCCGCTTCCCATGGAAGCAAACAACGGCGTTAGAAGCGGCGAGTTTTGAACCAAAGTCCGGCCTACGCCTGCCCCCTCGCGATGGATGGAAAAGAGCTCGAGCAAGTGCGAGTGGTCCTTCTTCGGCACGCCTTTGAGCTCGAGGATGCGCTTGAAGTTGGCGTCGGAGCAGTCGCCGATGAGGTTGAGGTAGGCTTGGACGAGCCCTTCAGGCGGGGAGGGGCGGACTTGGAGGGTTTTGAGAAGCGGGTCGATCTTGGTCATGGATTGGTTGACGCGCTTGATGTAGCTTGCTGGAGGGGGAGGAGGGGGTGGAGCGTTGGGGTCCGAGGGGGTGCCGGGGGGTGGGTGGTTCGTGTTGTGGAAGGCGAGGAGGTTTTCGAAGGCTTTGGTCAGGATGTATTTGTCAAGAAGCATCTATTTTGGTTGTGTTAGCAAGGGGTTCTGTGGTTTGCTTGGTAGGGAGAAGGGTAAAGGGAAGAGGGGGAGAAGCCTGCTCACCTGCTCAGCGCCGACTTCGCAGACAGGGCGACATTGCACCACGTTGCTTATGTACGAGTTGGCTATGTTCTCCACCAGATGATCACAGAACGCGCGAGCATACTGCGGCTTTACCACCAGCGGGAGAATCTCCGCCGCCTTGCCGTTGACGTTCTTCAGCAGCTCGCTCACGTACGAGCTGTGATCGCTGACACTTTCCATCCTGCTCCAGTTCGTGTTCTTCATCTCTCGCCATGCCGGTTCGCAGTCCACCTCTACCTTGTGCACCAAGGCGAGTACGGCCGCGCTAGCAACGCCCATGAAGGTATCTGCTTGGGTCGAGAGATCAACCTTGGACGCCATTTCGGGGTCGATCCTCTTCTTGATGTTGTCTTCAAGCTGGTTGGCATTGGTGTGCCAAAAATCCGCAGTGTTGAGAACCAATACGATGTCCTGCACCGGAGGCCCCTGTGGTCCTCCGCGCTGGAGGAGTGTAAAGAGAACTTGCTGTGCGTATTCGTCCAAGTACTTCGCCAGTGTTTTGGCCAGATCCAACAGCCGCTCACCCGTCGACAGTTTGGCGCACTGTGAAAGCGTGAGCTTGTAAAAATGGAAGAGTTCAATGGCCGAGGGGATGACCGCCTGCGGGGAGAACTCCTCGTCTGGCGGTATCAGCGGTTGTGACTTGTACTTGGGTATCATCCCAGCCAGAGTCTTGTCCTGCGACTCTACCCATAGACTTAGATACGGTTCGAATGCGACCGAGATAGAGCCATTGAAGTTCGATACCCGATCATCCGCCGAGCTCAAGGTATCGATGCTAGCCCGGACTTCGCTCGAAAACCGGCGCTCCAGGCTCTGCTCAAAGTCCATCGTCTCCTGCAAGCAATTCAACAGCAAATTGACGTCAATTTTGGTGGTGCCTCCATCCGTCCTCCGCATGCTCTTCTCCAGTATCCCCTTGAAATCCTCCCTGGTACCATCGCAAAACGCCATCGACAACGTCTCGTTAATGCGCCAGTGCGCCGGAAAGATGGCAGCATGCTCGCCCTCGTGTGTTTGTAACATCCGTCGGAACCAGGCATAGCGCCGCCCTATGTTGTCCAAGCTACCTGCCTCGTCGTTGCCCCGGAAAACGGATCGGTACTCGCGCAGCTCGGTGTTGACATACCACGTAATCAACCGCGCCTTTGCCTGCTCCCCTAGCGCGTCCATGACCAGACAAGCTTCCGCCAGCATGCCGCGCCGGGCAGCCACCTCGCCCTTGGCAAACGCCAGCTCAAAGTCCTCGCACACTTGTTCCAGGAGTTCGCGTTGTAGCTCGCTGACGTTTCGGCTCAGGACGGCAATCTGTTCGATGCTTCGGTAGCTGTTGAAGTGGCGCATCAGCTGTAGCACAGCCTGTAGGAGGCCGGCGCACTCGCGGTACTGGCGGGTTTTTGCCAGGCCCCGGAGCTGGTCGTAGGCGGTGGTGAGCATCTGCAGGCGCTTGAGGGCGGTCATGCTGTGGGTGAGGTTGCGCTTGGTGCCGTCGAGTCGCTTGATGTCGGCGGTCATGGTGGTGATGTCTCGCTCGGTCTGCAGGGCGCGGTTGCGGACGCTCTCGATGCGCTGGAATAAGGAGGCCAGCTCCGCCTGGGCGGACTGCATGCGCTCGAGCGACGAGTCGGGCCCGTAGGCCTGGGCGGTTTCGAGGGAGTCGATCGACTTGGTGAGCTCATCCTTATGTCGCTGGAGGGTGGACGATACGCGGCCGACGGAGGAGACGGTGGACGGGTGGGAGAAGAGGAGGTTGAGGTGGGCGATCGGGTCGTATTCAACTGATCGGCGGCGACAATGGTTTAGTATGATGACGTGCCAGTGGTAGTAACCAGGACCCTACGGGCTCGTGATAGCTGAGACCTGTAAATGGATCATAAATCACGTACCCGAATCAAGCGATAACTGCTCCGCCAAGATGATGTTCATGATGACAGCTTTGGAGGTAGTAGGGAACGAGGGGCAGTAGTCTCAGCTTTGTGTGGTGGGAAACGGTGTCCTCGGGGAAACCCAATCATTCACTAGCTTCCCACCAGAGAGACGAACAAGAATGCGGAATCTCGACTATTCTCGAAGGAAAAAAAGAAAAAAAAAAAAAAAAAGGAGGCTTCCGCTTCCAGAAAGCAACAGGTTCCAAGACTCTCGGCCGCTGTTACACCGTAGCTTTCCCCGGTGTTATTGAAGTGTCCACATGGGGATGGGATGCTATGGATCAATTGATCTTATCGCGGAATGAGATGCTGTCAGCAGCAAGGAGGGAGGCCTGCAAGGTACCTGCTGAGGTGGCCTGTGCTCCCTTTCCCAAGAATGGGGCAATCCAAGGTGAGCCTTCCCAGCTTCCCGCTTTTCGGGGAGTTTTCGGGCGAGGTCTGGTGCCCCGTTGGGCCCCCACCGACCCGTCCACGTTAACGGCGGCACCCGACGGCACCCAACGGCATTCCCGCTCTACCCGCAGGAATCTTCCACAGCTCCACTCTCGGGTACTCTCATCCTCTTTCCAGCTCCGGTCCCGTCTTCTCACGCACCATGAGCTTTCCGCTGTCACCGGCGTGAGCTAGAGAGTGGGCGGAGCGTCCAGTCCTAACAACCGAATGCATCGGTTTTCCTTAACATTGGTGTACCTAATGATTCGTTTCACATCTCCTCCACGACTGACATACAGTTCGGTCGATCAACCTGCTTTCAGATAATGGATGGTAGATAGATGGCCAACGCAGGTTGAAGTCGACAAGGTATCGTTCAGGCGCAATGGGCCATCTCACATCTGGCCACGTTCACCTACAGATCTCTAGTGATAGGTAGGATAGATTCTTCATCACCACGGACGACATTCGTCTGCGCCGTCATCTTTCGTTCGTCCTCTTCACTTGTTTCATGATCATCCTCTGCAACATCTGCAACCTTTTGCAACGTTCTGATACAACCATCGATCGAACTATGTATGTACATACTGTAGTGTACCTAGAGAGAGACTCCACTTGGAGTGTCGCCCTGCGTTTCAACCCAACTCGACACCTCTCTCCCGTCGACCGTTGGTTCTTTGGGTTTCCAACAGCACGGTAGCAAATGGGCAGCGAGCGTGTGGAATCGAAGATAAAGTTCATGCGAAGAAACGAAAGAAGCAAATAAAAAAAAACATTTAGAATTGAAATAGAAAAAAAATAAAGTTGGTCGGCGTTCGTGCCAGCAAAGCAGATCCAGGTGGAACTCGTTCGACATTTGCATTGCCAAACAGGTGCGCCTTGTTTTCAGTGTTGTTTCTTATGTGCATCAACGTCAGAGCCGCAAACGCCAAGTTGCTTGGTATTTTGGCCCAAATTGAAGAATATGGGGAGGCGGCTGTTTGGGGGTCGACAGATGGTTTGTGCACATCGATATATTCCTTCGTGACATCTTCTTCTCTTTGTTTCCTCTTCCGTTCTCAGCTCAACTGGTAGAGTTGGGCAGGTTCAAATAGCTTCACCTTACCTACTTTTTCTTCCTTCCTTTTATCTCCGAGCGCCCAAGTTCTGTGTCGTGACCCGACAGGCACAGGACATCTCCGTCTCAGCTTACACGGTATTCAAACTTTTGCGCATCATGCTCTTCGATATACTGTAGACGTTATTCTGGCCATTGACGATTGGGTTCATGCACCCCTGAGTAGGCTGTTCAGCTGGATGTGTAGTGTCTGGCCCGTCTTTTGTGTGCCACCAACGTGGCTGGCTTTCGAACCAGCCAATGACACGGGCACACTTACGTAGGTGTAGTCATGACCGTAAGAGGCACATGATTTCAGGGTTCTACATTGGGTCCTAGAGTCCTTTTCGGCAGCGATGTTGAATATAGTTTGGAGATCTAGATGTCCTCGGCGTTCCGGTCAAGCTAGCAAATATCTTTGCACGACAAGCATGCGGATGTTTGTTGTTCTGTCCAACTTTTGGTTTCTGGAAATAAAACCAAATGATGTCTCGTTGGAAAACCCACGGCCACGTGTGGGAGGTGGGCTCGGTGGAATAGATTGGATAACAGAATATCGTCTTTGATTGGAGGCAGAGAGCATCGAGACATGTAGCGACTAGTAGCGACCAAGACACCCAATGTGCGCTAAAAAGCTTGCCCGTATGTAGATTCCACCACCACCAGCTGCTGTTAGATGAGGGAGCGTTGGGCAACATGACAGGTCCTGAGTGGTGAGAAATAGGGTTTTTTTTTTTTTATTTTTTTTTTTTTTGAGAATTGCTTCCTGTCCAGCAGTCTATCCATAACAAAAGAAACACTATACAACTCTGCCAAGTCGCTTACCCCTCTGATTTGGTATATCCTTTTACAGCGAAGCAACTCCTCGTCACTTGTGGGCACTGCAATATGAATGGTTGAAACCGAACTCCTAAACACGAATACTTCCAAACTGTGTGGAAAACATACCAGAAAGCAGATGAGAGAGATAGAAAGGGCGCCTCAACGAAAAAAAAAAAAAAAAAAAAAAAAAACAATGCCAAGAATAAAAGAAGAAGAGACGAAGCGAGAGAACAAGAGCGAACGAAATGCGAACATGGTATCTCTAGAAGACATAAAAAAAGAAAAAGGCTGTGTACTCGTTACAAGGGTCGTCCTCTTGAAGTCGATGATCAACGCTCCATCCATCAACGGGCGAGCTTGGTGTTATGCAAAGAATCGAGCGCCACGACTTCGATGCCCAAAAAGGTACCAAGGTGTCATTCGTGGTAGAGCGACGCATGCAAAGACGCCAACCGAAATGGCGTCCAATGACAGAAGTCAGCCACACTTCGCTGAACAAGTAGGGCCATGCAGAGCCTCGGGACGACCACATTAGCGGGCAGGGGGGGCTCTAGACTACAGTGGCTGTCTGTGTTTCAGCTCACGTTGCTGTCATGACACTCAAGAGCTATGCAGTGTTCGGAAGCCCGCCGCAATTAAGCTCCGTTTACTGTCTTTAACATCCGATGGTGCGCTCGAATAAAAAAGACCCTGGATGAGAAAAGCATCAGTCATATGCTCTTAGACTGGAGAACGGCTCATCAAGCTGAGTGTCTTGGAGGGAAAAGTATGGTACTCCGTGGGAGCAGTGGCCAATAAAAGATCGGGAACTGTGGGAGCAACTTACACCGAGTCCCTTTTGCTTACAAAAAGTGGCCTTGGCCTTCACTGTATCCGGATTATCGTAAGTGACGAACCCACCGTCTCCGCCCACACACTGGGCGGCAACGGCCCGCTTGTCCACTTGTTCCTTCGTTCCTCGTCGTGGTAGCTGACAATACTCGAAGGATCCGTCGTCGCCGCCCCCGGCACCCTGAAATTTGTGGCCTGAGCCGCTCGCGTGAAGAAAGCTGCGGCCAAAGAGAGGGATTCCAAACAAGATTTTCTTGCCCGGGACAGCGGATGCCATCAGATATTGCACACTCGACGCCCCTGATGCTTCTTCTTTATTCATTGCGTAAAGCTGGGAGTGATGCCCACTTCTGTGTGACCAAGACCCAAAATAGTCATACGCCATCAAGTTGATGGAGTCCAAGTATTCAGCTGCCTGTCGCACATTGATATTCTGCAAGATGGACTTGGCCCCAGGGAGAGCAGCGGTGAGCAGGTAACGGTCCTCGGGAAGATGGACGCGGACTGCGGCCAGTAAAGATACGAAATCGCTTCCTTGTTGCGGGGAGCAGGGGTAGTCCCATACAACTGGTGCTGTCAGTCAAACATCTCAACAAGATCATTGGGGATTTGTACATGTATGACGAGGCAAGAGTGGCTGAGCCTTCTCACGCGTACGTGGTCATTGGCTACGATACTGGGCGAGGCGAGATGAGGCGAAGGAGAAGGAGCCGTACTGTCTATTCCATCCAGGCCGGATGCTTCCACCAGACCGCGAGCGGACTGTGCAAAGTTGTTACGGAGGATGGCGCTGGAAGCCACCAGTGCGAATGTCTCACTGGAAGCGCCGCCCCCAATGGATAAGACCACTTGCAGATGGGGATATTTCTGCTTGAGATGCATCAAGGACCCGAGAGCCCCCTGGACACCGTCACAAGGCGCTGTGACATCTGCCCACTCATCGCTGAGCTACCGGAACAAGTCAGCTGAAGTGCTTAACGATGGAAGATGGCGTCGGAACAAACTTACAAACACCCCTCCGTCTGCCATGATGTTGGCAAAGGCATAGTAAACACGGTTGATACATCCGTAGTTGAGTGAACCAGGAGTGTCACCTCGGTACACGCTGTGATTCGGCCAATATACGGCATTGTTGTAAAGGACGTTGGCCGCGCTTGTGATGCGCGACTTGCGAGAAACGGAGGGGAAGCTCATGGTCAATGCGGACTCTTCTACGACGGTGATGATCAAGACCAGGTAGTGATTGAGGGTTCGGGCAGGAGACGATGGAGGGGACGGATGGAGAACCCTCGAAACATGGAGAAGCGGACACGACCATGGCGCTCATTTATGAATACAAGAACTAGGGAAAAAAGTACCGGAAACTTGATGAATGAGGCTTGTGCCAGCTCATTTTTGTTGGACCGATGTGTTTGAGATGCTGCTGGTCGGGCAGCAAGAACGAAAGAAGAGTGGCAGATTGCCCTGTTGTGCGTCTATATAACTAGGTACCCTTCTTCTGCTGGGACAGCTGGTTCCCAGACCTTGGGGTTCATGGGACGGTGAGCAAACCAGACAACTTACCCATGGCAGTGGAGCAGCGCGGATACCCGAGTTGGCTCAACGATCGGAATTCGCAAGCCCTAGTTGCTGCATGACATGACGTTGTCTGCGAGGGTGTATCGAAGAAAGGAAAGGATAAGCGGTACCTCTATGGGCACGCCAGAGATGCACCGCTGCGTATCCACAAGACCAGTGAAGCACTTTACAAAAAGAGTGGAAAAATGTAACGAGAATGCAGGCGGCTAACACTGAAGGTTCCAATGAGATGTAGAAGTCGGTGACCGGAATCTTTTGTGGTGGTTGGGTCGTAGTCAAGATTTCCTAGGGCTGACTTTCCCCGTCTGATTTCATGCCATTTTCACTGTCAACAGATCCTTGACCTGTGCCATTGGGAGACCTTGCCTTGACTCGGCCATTGGGCTTCAGTTTGCAAAACTAATCTGCAACTGGAGTCAGTTCTGAAGGGCTTTACATAAGTCCACGTCTTTGCAAGTTGAAGATTTTAGCTCGCGGGTGATGATTTTTGGTGATTTTCGCCCAACAAATTCTAAACCTGGATTGTGCTTAGCAGGGGCATATGGTAACTACCCTCTGTGTCATGGTCATCCTCGCATGTGGATATGATCAACTTCGGCCTGTTCTCCGGAGAACCCACCCCCAGATGTAGCACTCGCCAGCGGGAAAAGCAAATTTCCTGGATAGACCTGCGGGGCCCTCCCATGATCTCGGAAACTCGAGGGTCCATGAGCTGGGGCACCCGGCTGGCTCGCACTTGTCGTGTGTGAGGCGTGTATGGACAAAGATTCCGAAGAAACGAGGTGGCCGGTTGACGTCCGAGGGTGCTAGTGACTGGTTATCTGGTACACAGAAGGGGTTTTCGGAAGTTTTTACGGCATCAGCCTGCGACTATTCCAAACCTGGCCGTCGATTGTCGATCTATTAGCTGGGATCATGCGGTTGGGAAGATTGTGCTCCACGGCCATCGTGGGGAAGTTGAAAGCTTGATCTGTTCTGAAGGAAGCGAACCTAGTGGAAGCCGTCGAGTGAGAGTTGGGTGCAAGGTTGAAGTGAGTGAAGCCCGACTTTGAGGCCCATCTGGGCGGGGAAGCGGGTTTGACACTCAGGCCAATCTCCCCGCCCCAAGACAGAGAATTGAAAATGGAAAGCGAGTTTTCATGGTGGCTTGGTCATAGCCTTGAAAGGGCAGGCACGATGACATGATTGCGATCGTGGCATCCGTTCAATTCCTCGCGCTGGACTCGGAAGGAGTGAACAGCACAAAGGTCACGACCAGGGTTAGAGGGGTGTGTTTGTCAAATGCGCCCAGTGTAAGTAGAGGTACTTACCCTTACGTACTTATATTCCATCCGTCTTGTTGCTTACCTCTACTGCTACTGGGCTGGTACCTCTCCTCCCTGTCTCGTTGCCACGTTCCTGGCCGTTGTGCAATGTCTCGACAGCGGATCTTTTGAGATGAGACACCCAACAGAGGCTAAACTGGAGTAGGGGTATCTGCTCAAATTTGATGGCATTGCTGTTTCGAGAAATTATTAGTATTTTGGCGCCGGTTGAACGATGACGAGGAAGCCCGATTTGGACTGGAATGATGCAATGTCCTAAAACACACGGCCCAAGCAGTGTCTTCCACATGGCAGTTCCTGAGAGACCCTTCCATAATTTAGTCATCACTGGGCAGTAGAGGTAAAAGCCCCTGTCGTCAGTGAGGATTTTGTTAGGGTACAGCTGATAGCGTACCTGTACCTAACCCTGCCACGGGCCAGCTCCAATTGGGCTTCGGTGCCTGCGATTTTCTACCACGTCAAGGAGCAGGGCATCATGAATACAGGTAGCAGGAACCTCAACCTCACACCCTCAACCTACCTCGACACAGCAAATACAAAGCCTCACTGCGTGTCCGACACTCTTGGTCTCAACGCCTTAACCTCCGATCTCTTTCTTTGTGTGCCCCCACGAAATCGATGTCCTCGCCATGGTGTGACGTGTTCCACGCCGCTCCTAATCCCCGAGTCACTTACACAAGGCTGCTGTTGATGCAGGTGCCCAATTCAACGCAAGTATTGGATACGGACAGCATTGCTTAATTCCATCCGCTTCGTGCCTGGCCACTTCTTGGGTCACTAGAGGACGCATCATGCAGTCAACTCAACAAATTTAAGCACACCCGCCGGCGTCCAGGGACCAGCCTAAAATGGCTTGCTGTCGGCTGTCTAGCTTCAACCGGGGAGAGCTGTCATGTATTCCTTCAGTCAGTGCAGCAACATAGCTGGAAACCCCCGTGTTCGGAGACAGAAAGTTGCACGCGACCTCTTGGTACTTGATGCTGCACCTCCAGTTGCACAACCGCCAGTCGTGCCATGGACGCTCTTCTCAGCTGGTCGGTATTTCTCCGATGCGCCCTGCCCGAAACCGCGAGTGGTTGTCATAGAGGTTCAAGAGCAGGAGTCCTCGAAGAGTGCCTCGTATGTCCATATGATGACTCCTATTGCGTACAATTTCTCATGTGGCTTGCCGGCATGGAAAAAAGACCATCTGTAGCTGAAAGACATGCAGCGGGCGGGACCTTCCATGAAAGACTGCAGTTTGAGACATTGCTAACGAGCAAGGAAGATTCCATTAGATCCTTGGAATCCTGGTGTCGTCTGTCGATAAGTTTCGGTCCAACGTGGCAGCACAGCCTTTCCCCAAGGAAGCCCGGGATTGGATCTCTTCGAGGTCCAGAACCGGAAGGCTGCATTTCACGAGATCGATTCAGGCAGCGCCTATCCGCTGAATCCCGTATACAACAACCCACATGACCGGCGTCGCACGCGTAGCAGCTCTATCTTGACGGGCCATCTCTTGGGGAAGCGCTGATCTCATCCTCAGTCCATGCCCTCGCCCACGCCAACTCCACTTCAGACGGACGAAGAAGAATCCTCATCAACGTGGTGGCACTTGCTGCTAGTGCGTCGACATCTCGCATTGACGAACAGCCTATCATAGTGTAATAGTTCCATGATCTCAAAGGTCCGTGGAAGACAATGGTCGCTTAAGCACGTCGTATCCTTGCTTGGCCCGCAGCAAGTAGAGCCGCCTAGGCGGTATGCTCTATAGTACGGTTAGAGATGTGTCTTGATGTACACCAAGGCGGTGAAGGAGCAGGTGCTCGATATCCTTGATACACTTACCTGGAGTATCCTGGCATGGTCTCTGAGCTGTACATACCTGTCTGGTATAGTCCATATGTTTTACCTACTAGTTCGCTGAGGTTAACGCGACAGCCCATATAATGCCGCCATAACAAGAAACGCTACTGGTCAACCGAAAACGTGAGTAGTTTGCGAATACGATTTTGTTTGCAGGCTTGACGGAAGACCTCAACGAAAGATTATTCTCGCCAAACCGGCTATCGGCTGAGGGTCACTGAACCTTTAAGAATGCTGATTGCGCATCAAAGTAGGAGGTTTGATGTGATGAGTTTCTTTCATCCACCAGAATAAAAGTGTAGGCAGAAGCGATGAAGTGTCTGCCATCTGTAGAAAGTTTGTTCGAAACCAGAGAAGAGGTTTAGGTTTGTCAAGGGAAAGAGACGATTCGCCCTCGTCGATTAGTTTAGAAGGTACATCGATTTAGCCCGAAGCAGCAGCTAATCGACAGTACCCTGTCATCACACACATGCGATAACAAAGCTACTGGACAAGCTGATAAGATGGAGGGAAAACGGTCAGGTGTCAGGTCATGTGGATGCCGAGAGCCCGATAGAACCTCAAAGAAGCGGATGGGCGTGAGAGCAGGACTGAGAGTATCAAGGTGTCGCAGCTGACTGGCAAGTAGGTGACAAGATAGTGGCTCACCATCTATATGGTACGCAGAAGTTGCAATCAGGCACCGTCGTATCATCCATTCCAGTGGTGTATGTATACGCCTAGTGACCGGCGTTCGTTACGTCGTGGCCCTGTGGAAAAGCTGAAGTACTAAAGTACTGTAACATGCACTTGGTACCTAGGGTTAGGGGTGGAGTCGTGTTGGACGACAGAAGTGAAGCCTAAAAAGGCAAGAACCTCGGTGAACAAACCATTTCTGAATCCTGACCACCCATATATACCTTGATGATTGCTCGTAGTGGGGTCTGCTGCCTGCCGTGGATGGGCTCTTAATGCCATGCCACCCACCTGCCACTGTTGGCGGCAGCGCTTATCGGCCTCCGCCTGTGACCTTCCAACATTACAACAACTCAATTACTTTGGTTCCCAACACAACACTTTTTCGTAGCATCACCATTCCTCGTCTTTCACCAGCACACGAAGCTATCGTAATTCCATACAAACGCTTTTGCTGCAGGCTTTCACATAATCCCATCACGAAGCGCTGAACTCGAACGAGGGGCGATCGGAGCTCCCCTGAGACCAACGTCATCATCCACGACCGCCATTAACCGTTTCATTGCCGAATCGTAAAGCCGACAGAAATCATGGCTGAGGCTTCAAATACTGGCGGCGATGGCCAGATTACCTTCAAAGTAAAATGTTCAGGCGACAAGAACCACACAGTCACCATTGCCGAGTCTGCGACCGTCCTTCAGCTTAAGACCCTGTTAGCGGGGGAGGAATACGAGAACATCTCGCCGGAGCAGCAACGCCTCATCTACTCCGGAAAGGTCATGAAGGACGATGAAGTTCTTAGTTTCTACAAGATCAAGCACATGAACACAGTGCACATGGTTAAGCGTCCAGCCAGCGCCGCGACAGCCAGCAGTGGCTCAACCTCGACATCCGCTCAGCCCGCGATACCTCAGAACATGGCTGCCGGTACTCCCTCGAATAACCTTTTAGCTGGCCTCACGGGCGCTCGCTTTGCCGGTCAGGTGCCGCTACCAAGCCGAGACCTGTTTGGGCCGGACGGAGGAGTACGCCACCCCTTTCTCGGCCCCCTTGACCATTTGCATACCTGTTTACTAATAATGTTTTACAGATGGGCGCGCCTCCTAGCGAGGATGAAATCGCGAACATGCTCTCGAACCCAGCGATGGCCCAGGTCATGAATGAGGCGTTCAACAACCCCGCCGTCATTGACCAGATGATTGCCTCCAACCCGATGTTGGCCAACATGCCCGCTGATCGCGCTCGCGAGCTTCTCAACTCTCCGATGATGCGCAACATGATGACGAACCCGGAGGCACTTCGCATGGCGGCACGCATGCGTAGGATGATGGGCGGAGGCGCCAACGCCTTTCCAGCGCCCGGGGTAACGGACAACACTCCGAACGCGACGACCGGTGCCGGTAATAACAACGCGAATGCCGATGCGCAGAACCCGTTCGCCATGTTTCTTCCATTTGGTGTTCCTCCGGCGGGCGCTCCCCCAGCAGGCAATCCCTTTGCCGCGCTCTTTGGAAACCCCGCGGGGGCTTCGCCTGCGTCTACCGGAGCTTCGACCGAGAGTGCCAGGAGCGGGGATGCCGCATCTGCTCCGGCTACCGGCGCTACTTCGGGATCTGGGCAGCAAGCAGATCCGTTGGCATCTTTGTTCGGAGCGCTCGGAGGTGCTGGTCAGCCTGGTCAGGCTGGTGCCGCGAACCCTTTTGGTCTGCCCCCTATCTCGCCCGAGGCCTTGCAGCAGATGATGCAGGCACTTGGTGGCGGTGGTTTGGGTGGTTTTGGCGGAAATCCCGTTGCTCCTCCCGACAACAGGCCGCCAGAGGAGAGGTATGCTGAGCAGCTGCGTCAACTCAACGATATGGGCTTCTTCGATTTTGATCGGAACGTTGCTGCACTACGCCGAAGCGGTGGTAGCGTACAGGGTGCTATCGAACATCTTCTGGGCGGTTCTTAACTTACATTTCTTTACTAGACGGTGCAAAAAAGTGGACCGGAGATTGACAGTCATCTGCTGTTCCTCAAGGATACGGCGGTATTCACAATGAACAACAGCATATCGAGGAGATAGAGGATTGAAGGATGTCCAGGGAGTGCAGTGTTTACTCCTGGCGAGGTCATTGTTGGGCCGTGCTAGATATTTTTCAATCAGATATCTAGCGATAATGGTTGCTGAGGAGGAAGATAAGCAGTCCAGCACAGAGACGAGGCTTGAAACAAAACTCCTTGAGCGGGTGTCCTCACGTAGGGAGGTTTACATGGTGACAGTTTAGCGATCTTAATCAAACATGTCTCCTCTTGCTTGAATCAACAAGGTTCTTTTCTCCTCTAAGAAGACGATTTCGCATACAGTAGCCGGGCTAACTATCAACACCACTAATCAACTCTTGTTTGCATGCTATCATTCCCTCTACCGGTAAAGCACCGTCAAATCCCCAGCCGCCACCGGAAAGTTCCTCAATTTATCCACAATCTCCGCGTCCGTCATGTTCCTCTCCGTCATGATCTGATCAAAACAATGTCGTCCATCCATATACTTTTGCAACGGATCCCCACTAGCCTTCATCATCATCGCCATCTTCTTGCTGTTCGACCCCTTTCCTCCCGGACCCCCATGACTCCCGGGTTCACGGTAGGTATCATAATGTCCGCCCGGCACCGCCACTTTATGTTCTCTCCCCATTTCCCCTTCGCCATACCCCCTCCCACTTTTCCCTCTTCCTGTGCCAGTTCCGGTATCGGATGGCGAAACAGGCCTAGCCAACCCCGTAGCTAGCGCAGCCAAATACTGTTTTGAGATAACATACTTGTGCACCCTGTACAAACACCCCTTGATGACGCCAAATTGAACTAAGCGGCGAACGTCCACGTATCGTAGGACGTCGAAACCGGAATCCATATGGCCCTTGAGCCATTCGGCCACGGTTTTGCCGACGCAGAAGGTGGTCATTAGGCGGATTAGCATGTAGTTGGATATGCGGTATCCGTTGGGTGGTGGGGCCTTGTTAGACGGTGGGGAGGAGGAGGTGTGGATGTTGGAGGAGGGGTTGCGGGGGGAGGTGGAGGGCTTTCGTTCGTGGACGGGGGAGAGGTGGTGTTGGGCGTAAGGACTGGGATCACGGTCGGAACCACCTCCTGGGCCAAGGCCAAAGGGGGAGAGGTGGCTGTGGCGTGTGCTGGCAGAGGTGGAGAGGTTGGAGGGATTATGGTTGTGGAAAGTGGTGCTTCCTGATACAGAACGGAGACGGTGGTAGTTGTCGGAGGAGGAAGAAGAAGAAGGTCCGGCGCCGGTGCCGGTGTTGTTGCTGCTGGGAGACGAATCGATGGGTCCGACGCAGACGTAGTTAGCACATTCGTCGACCATGCCGCCTACGTTGGCGATGAAGTCGTGGATCCCCGGGCGAGGGGCGTAGCACGCGCCGAACAAGAACATGTCCAGGAGCAGGATGGTGTCGTAGTAGAGCAGGTGGCGGAGGGCGAGCTGGGTCAGCTCGAGGGAGACGCCGGAGGCCAGAGCAATGCGGCGCACGTCGGAAACGCCATCGATATGGGCGACGACGCGCTGCAGGGTTAGATCCCAGGTTGGGTCGACGACGTCGGCGAACTTCATCTTGGCGACGGGGACGTGCCAGCCTTTGACTTCAGGGGGGTTGACGTGGTGAGGAAAGAGTTTCATGTTGATTGTGTTAGCGTCGTCTGTTTTGAAAGGGTCAGCATTGTTTGTAACTTGGGTGATGAAGGGGGGTGAATAGGTAGGGAGATATACCAATGGGAATCATGCACTCTCCATAGTTATTCAGATCCTCCTTCACAATCTCCAGCAACGATTCTATCGGCCGCCGCATACTCACCATCTCATTCCCGTCCCCGTCCACCCAACGGCCGCCGCCATTGCCATATCCATGAACCGCGACCGCTCCGCCCCTCGTGGCCGCGTCCTGGCTCAGGTAGCCGTCCTGCTTCTCCATCTCGGCAAAGGTGGCCGCCAGCCTCCTTACGACGCGTTCATAGGGGATCTGGTCCACCACATCGCAACTGATGACGAGCCCAAAGTTGAAAATGAACTCGTTCCGGTCGTACCGCGGGTCAGGAATGGAGACGGGGTATCCCAGGATGACGTACTTGCCGTCCGGGTCATTGACGGTGATGAAGCGGTTGCAGAAGGCCTTGCGCGGGATGATGTACTCCTGGAGCACGCTGAAGTCGAAGAGACATGGTTTCCTGTTGAGGGGACCATTGGTGCCCTCTGGAAGTGGAACTGGCACGATTGAGCCCGGTGGACTTTGTGCGACGATTTTGGTTCCTGAGTTAGGGAAAAGTGCCACTGATTAGCTTGAGATTCACTACACTTCGTCTTGGGCTGTCTTGGCCAGACCCAATAAACAAATGGGTGGGCAGATGACTTTGATGAGTGACGGGCAAGGCAGGCTATATGTACCCTCTTTTGGAAAGAACCTGGCATAGAATATTGCTTGAATCATGATTTAGATAATTGTTGTCGAAACCCAGGGTCTTCTTGATGTCGGGAAAAGCGACTTTGGATTTGCCGCCGAGACGAGTATTATAGTCTCATCCGTTGCCGGCGCTCATTTCTATCGATTGGTTCTACCGAGTAGCGTATAGATTTCATCCGGATCCGAAGTAGCATGAATTGCTATTGAGAACAATGATCAGACACTTTGCAAACCAAAGATGACGAAAGCATAGAAGTCGTCGCCGTGGTCGTTTTGCCAGAAGTTGTCACGTATTGTGATTTGTCTTGGGAAAGGTGCCTTGGTGCTACGAGGTCAATGGCTGCTAGTGAGTACCTCACAGATAACCCTAACCCCGTCCACACGAACAGAGAACCATAACCCCTTTTCGACTTCAGCATCGGAAGACCCAGGAATGAAAACTAACTATCCGTGTATTTCAGAATATTGGCTTGACAAACATCATTCTGGAAATACCATATTGTCGTTTGTGCCTGCCATATTGCGGAGCTCCACGGCCTTGACTATGATAATCAAAAATCGGGTATTTTCATGCTTCTATCTTACAAGATATGTACGGGGAGTAACGCTTTTGTCCAACCAATCCAACCTTTATACCTTTTCTCTGTGCCACCCTACCATGCGAATAGATTCTTACACATTCTCTACCACTTATACGGATCCCTGTCATCTTGAGTCTGCTTGTTCACCCCATCTCCCCGCGCAGAGGGTTTGCCATCCATCATGCCATCAATCGTCTTTACTGAGGCAATCATTTCCTGCTTAAGCTTGGTCTCCATATCCTTCTTTTGCCTGCTCTTTTCCTCAGGAAAGATAATCTGCTGGCCCTGCTGCTTCTCCTGCGAACTCTTTTGCAGCTCGTTCACAGCATTCTTAGCCTCTTCAGGGGTCAACTTCTTCTCTTTGAGGTTCTTCATGATCTCATTCAGTTTCCTGACAGCGCCGGTAAAGCTCTGTCCGGGGTACGACTGGCCCGAAGCAGCATACTCGACGTCGCTGACCATCTGGATTACACGCACGTTGTGCTTGCCCTTGCGGAGGATTAGCAGGTTGCCGTTAATCAGGTAGCGCTGGGTCTCGCCGGGGAACCACAGCTTGACGGGCATAAAAGAGATGATGTCCGGGTTCATGGTGACGTTTTCGCCGCCGGCTCTGTGCGCTCCGCCGACGTAGCAGCCCTGGGCAGCCGCGAGCTTGTGACCCTCAGTGGTGCTGCTGGCGAGACCGGCGGCGTAGAGGATGCGGCCGATAGACTTGCCCATGATGAGCGACTCGGGGAGAATCATGTCGATACGGGGCGCGTTGTTGAGGGTGACAGGCTGGTCTGAAATCGTCTTGTACTGATCGCCACCGGTGGCTGCGTCCTTGGCACGAGGGACTTGGGGAATGGTCATCTGGCCGGTATACATCATGCGATGCTGGTCCTCGGCGGCGCTGGCCTCCTGTTTACCGTGCACCAGCGTCACAACCTCACGCGCAAGGGTATGTTGCGCGACACGCTTGCTAGGGTCTTTGATATGCTCCTCCATAGTCTTGGTAATTTCGCTGATGGGCATGAAAGTGAAGAGCTTGAGGAGATTCTCAACCTCTTGGTCGGACCGGCGGACAAAGTAACCGTAGAAATCGAAGACGGAGGTCTGATAGGGGTCGAGCCAAATGGCGTTGCCCGCACTCTTACCAAACTTGGCACCGGACGAATCGGTCAAGAGAGGTACGGTGAAGCCGACGCATTCGTCAAGGGCAGTCTTGGGCGTAACGTATTTGCGCTCCTGCGGGTCGGGCTCGGATTCTCGGGCGGCCTTGACGACTTCGAGACCAGATATGATGTTACCGTACTGATCAGAACCTCCAATCTGCATCTGAACTCCCTGCTGGTAGAACAACTCGAACCAATCCCAGCCCTGCATGATGGGGTAGGTGAACTCGGCAAAAGACACGCCGTCTCCCTGGGTCATCTTGTTCTTGACGGTATCGCGCGACAGCATGGGGCCGATGCGCAAGGCGTGACCTACCCTCCTCAGAACCTCGAGCATGGGCTGCTTGTTCCACCAATGGTTGTTATTGACGATGCCTCGCTTCCGCGCCCAATCGGCTTCGTAACCACGCGCTCGCATCTGAGTGTCCACGTTCTCCCACAGCTTTTTGAGTTGGTAGTGAATCTTGGTCATGTTCATTGTCGCATCGCTGCTGCTCAAATGATCTCTGCTTTTTAGCCTGCCTGTCGGGTCTCCAATCTTTGCCGTCGAGCCGCCAATGAGGGTGAATGCCTTGTATCCTTCCAAGTACATCCAGAAGAGCGGCATCAGGGGGAGTAGATGGCCGACGTGTAGTGATGGTGCGGTGGGATCAATGCCGACATATGCGCCAATTCGTCTCGTTCTCATAAGCTCGGCGATGTGCTCTTTGGTGCTAGTAGAAGAATCGTGTTAGTCATGTTCCTGTGCGCATCGAAGGGCCAGTGTCTAAACTTACCCAGCTGTATCCTTGACATAGCCTCTCTCCTCAAACAGGTCCCATGTATTCTGCTTCTTGCCCTTCTTGATCGCCTCTGCCCTCGCCTGCCACTTTTCCTCGGCCTCATTGATCTTGGCCGTGTACTTTGGTCCGAACTCGCGCCTGAGTCCTCTTCGTTGGAGAATGAAGCATGATGGGTTAGCCGCAGCATACTTGGCGATACTCCCGCCGGAGCGTATTAGGGCCTTTGTGCGAAGCAGCATTTGATGTGATGTTTGGCTGCGTATCGCTCAACGGCTAGAAGAAGGAAGGAGAGGGAACTGGGCGCAATCCGTAGCGCAACCCGAAGCGCCGATTCCGGCCCTCTTTTTGCGATCCAATCGACCGGAATTGGGTCCCTTGCTGGGCAATTGCAAGAGTTTGTTTATGGTTCCAAGGGCGCGTAGTAGATTGGTCGGGATGCCCAGGCGGTACGGTTTCCGGCTGAAGATACGGGGTCGCGTGGGTTGAGGGGATCAGTCGGCTGGTGTTGAGGTTGGGAGTGTAGTGTACAAGCGGCGATGATAGCTTCGGCCAGTCATTAAGGTACCGGCGAACTACGGCGCCATCGAAAAAAAATAGTGTAATGGCCCCTCGTCCCAACCCGGATGCAGCGAAGGTCTCGCTAGGTATCTTATCGCCCCAACTAACGCGCTGCCGTACCTATCATTGACGCGCTAGCATCTCTGACTGCGAAATAATTTCTGGAACGGCGGAGGGGAGCTTGGGCCACCCCTGTTGCTACCGGGTCGGGTTTGGCGGGGGGACAGGGCCCTTAGATTGCATGTGCAACCCACTGGATGCAGCAAGATCCGGTACGTACCAACCTCCAAGCTACGGCCAAGCCGGGAACAATGGGATTTTCCACGCCGAGCGACGACCGGCACACGCTGCCGCTGACATCTTCTATGCTGCGATTGGCCAAGTATTGCCGAGGGATAAGCTACATCAGGAATCGCAGCTCGGCACCAGTCCGTTCCACTCCGGAGCCCGCCCGTCCCGTCACTCCCAGCGCTCCTAGCGATCCACGGCCACGATCCTGTCCTGAACCAACCGAAAGACCCGTGCGACGATATCTCCTGCGAAGACCGCCCTCCCGTTCTCGAAAGCCCAATTGGTTGTCCGCCATCACCACCACGCTTCGACCACATCACCACCCAACACCCGTCATCACCATAATTACCAGAAACAATGGCTTCCGTCGCCCGTTCCTCTGCCCTCCTCAAGCAGGTTGCGGCCAAGCAGTCCGTTGCTGCCACCGGTCTCCGTGTTGCCGCCTTCCACACCACCTCCCGCAAGAGCTTGCTCCCCCCTCCTCCTCGTACGTAATCGCATACACTTGCACTCGGACCTTGGTACAGGTTCAACGTATGTTGCATGGATCGGTATATGGGCTAACACTATGAGGGGGACAGAGCGCATTGAGGGTACAGGTACGAACAACAACCCAACAGCTATGCTTCCTTGCCCGCCATGAACCAAACAACCCCCATGCCGGGTTGCGAGGAGCGCATCCACAACACCTCGACATCACATGCATGCAAACAATAGCCTAACACCTACCTTTAGTGAACGACCCCGTCGAGGTTCCCCCTCCCTCTCCTTCTCATGGCTCCTACCACTGGACTTTCGACCGTGTTGTCGCCGCCGGTCTCATTCCCTTGACCGTCGCTCCCTTCGCCGCCGGCTCTCTCAACCCCACCATGGACGCCGTCCTCGCCGCCACCATCCTTATCCACTCCCACACTGGCTTCGGCAACATCATTGTCGACTACGTTCCCTCGAAGCGCGTCCCCAAGGCCCGCAAGGTCTTTACCTGGGGCCTTAACGCCGCTACCGTCCTCGTTGGCCTTGCCCTTTACGAGTTCGAGACCACCGATGTCGGTCTTACTGAGACCATCAAGCGCGTCTGGAAGGCTTGAGCGACTCTTTGCGACAATTATCGTTGCGAGGACCGGTTGGAAAGATGAGGGCTGTTTGATATGCATTGGGAACTACCGAAACCCCTAAGGCCTCCTACTTTTTTTTTGGATGGAGCAAAGGCCGGAATGACAAGAATAGGTGAGGGAGGGCACCTTCAAGAGGAACAGAAAGGGGTGAAAGAAGTTCTGTTTTGTCATACCTCACGGCGTAAAAAGAATATACCTTTCTCCTTTGTTTCCATGCGGCCTTCTTTTTTCTGCGCTGTTCAGGGGCCCATGGTGCGCAGACGGTCTAGCTTGGATTCAGTTCGCGAGTTTGGATTACTCGGCAGATGTGACACCAGGAAGAGGTTGGCTATGGGGACAAGAAGAGGGGCTGCTAGTACAACAGCAATCTAAACGCGCAAGTGCGGTTTCCCTTGGTGGTTTTGATATCACATTGAAGTCAGTGGATTACCCCTGAATGGGATTGTGCATTTCAAGTGGATGATCATGGTTTGGGGGCTGGCGGCAAGCGAACACTGACAAGTTGGTTTCAGGTACGGCCGTTGTAGTGTCCTTACAGCGAATCGAAAAGAGATGAAGAGACACGGTTGATGAAGTTACATCACTCGTTCTTCCTGATTTTGGAACTAAAGCTACCTCAGAGTGATGCTCGCCGAGTAAGGTACAGTATCATACCTGGTCCTTTTCAGTTACCTAGATACCTAACAATCACAATGGGAATGTTTGACTAATAAAGGAAAATGGCGAATGGACTACTGTGGCCTTGCTCGTGCGTCCTCGGCATTGTCCTGCCCGGCATTATGGAAACTCTTTTTTTCTGAGAGTTCTTCTTCTGGCCGAGGTTCCCATTCCCTCATCTCTTCACTATCATTTCAGCTTCACCCAAACTGGCACACAACGTGGGGCACCTCGAAAAACAATTCAGCCCCAGCATACAATACAGCCTTCTCGCAGCTATGCTTGACTGCAAAGGCATATTTTTTAGGCATCCAACCAGGAAATTCGATGTCGGCCTCACTTGACGGCGAGGGAACCGGTCCCTTGAAGCATAGTAATTGGTCGTCTGCTCACCAATACTGATTACTGAGCTCAGATAAGCGCCGACATACTTCTAGCCACTCCTTGCTCACACGGCCTTGTCCCAAACAAAAGAGCCCGACAACTACTACTCGGATTTGCGTAGCACATAGCTGTGCTAGCCCATGGATCACAATTGGTCATTATCATAGCGTGTATGGTAGCTTGTTCTCCCATATGAGAGCTATGTACCCGATTTCTGCCCAACTCCATTCTCAATGCCCAAGTATGTGCATCGTCTTTTCCCGTTCTCCATGTTCATGAACAGGAGCTCTTTCTGTTGTGCCTTCATTGATCCTGGCTTTTTCCGATGTTGCTTTGCTACTGGTTCTAATGACTTGGTCTTAAGTGATCAAACCAGCTGCAAAAGCCACTTCAACCAGGTTCTGAATGGCCTGTGCAACCCTTTGCGAAGCTGGCGCGAACCGCTCAACCCAACCTTCCTCGCGGCCAGAAGCACCCGAACTAGTACATCACCCGAGTTTCGGAATCCAGCAGAGGCCATGGCGCGCAATAAGTTTTGGAGAAACCAGCATGCGATTTGCTCGACTACCCAGTTGACGCCTACCTATTGTGCGACCAAAACACCGCGATGCGTCGGCCTGCTTTCTCTCTTTACAGTGCTCTGAGGAACATGTATCGCGTCGGGACATCTTTCTGCTGTGGAAGCTTTTATAATAAAAACTTCTGGTTTGACCCGCCTTGTCATGTCAGGTCAGCAAAGAGGTCGCGATTTCTCCCACGGTCCTCGTTTTGCCAGTCTCGGCTTGAATCAAAAAGCCGGCTGGATGGTTGAGTGGCAGAAAAAGAATATCAGATGCCGTATTCTGGCCAGTAGAGGCAGTCTTGCACCAAATAGGGTTATCCAACTTATTACCTAGGACCAAAGTATCTAAGCTGAGTCCACCAACTCCTCAAGATCCTTAATCTTTTCCAAGATCCAACAACTAGCATACATATTAACTCTGTCAATACACTCCTGATCCCCCCTTCCAGATTCACGACAACCCACCCTCCTCGCTCCAAACCCCTCTTCCACAAAAACCCTCACATACCACGGCTCCACTCCCGCGCTCCTCAATAACACCTTTCCACCCACCTTCAACGCCCGATTCAACCTCCTCACTTGCTCCCTCGCCTTGCCCCTTCCTTCCTTTTCCTCCTCAGGCGAAGGCGGATCAAACCAATCCATACTATCCATCACCACCGCCACTGTCAAAGTACCCGGCTGAAACCTAGCCAACACCTCCTGTATTTCATCCGTGTGGATGCGTAAGCCGTCAAAGGCTCCAGGAGCGCTGAGTATAGAGTGGGCGGCAGGAGAGAGGTAATCGGGATGGCACTGGCGTGTGTATTGACCCAGGAGACAGACGAGGTAGTAAGGGTTGTCCGAGGCAAGGTGGGAGGTGGAGAGAACGGGGTCAAGGGTGGAGGTTGTGTAGTGAAGGATTGCTTCGGCGCGGCTTGGTTTTTCTTTGCTGGGGGTGGTGGAGGAGATAGAACGGCGGTGGTAGTCGGCTTCGATCATAGCCACTTGATTCTTGGGCACGCCCAAAGCCGACCAGAGGAAGGCGTCGGAGCTGAGAACTAGGCCGTTGACGAAGCGGTTGAGCAGACAGGGACGAATTTTGGTGTGGTAAATGGAACGTTGCCCTTCGAGGGTGGGAGTAGAGAGGAGTCGACGGACCGCAGAGCGGCAGAAGAAGAGTGTGGAAATCCAGCGGAAGAAACGGATAGCGTATCGGGAGCCGCCGGTATCGTAGAGACCGCGCCCCGTAGGGTTGGTAAATATGTGCGCATTGGATAGCCAGTATTGAAATGCGCGGCCGGAGAGGTGAGGGGAGAGTTTGGAGATGAGCAGTGAGCGAAAGTCGGGGTGTTTGCCCTCACCGAAGATCTTCCAGACGTCGGGGTAGTCCAGAGCCGTAAAAGAGGCGACTTTGAGTTCAAGCAGGTGGTTTTGGGCTGGGTTGAGATCGATGGCGTGCACGCGAGCGGGACTTTGCATCAGGTAGGAAAGAATGTTGTCGCCGGCGCTGGTGATGGCTAGGACGACGTCGTCGGGCCCAAGGTTGAGGAGTTCTCTGTCGACGCGCGAGTCTTCCCAGGTAAAGGCGTAGATGTACTCATCGTTGAACTGGGTGTGCTTCGGGAGTTGGTCGTCGTAGTAGATCCTCCAGTGGTGATTTTGGTAGAAGAAAGAGGGGAGAGGTAGGTTGGCCGAGATGTTCTCGATGGCCGTATTGAAGGCCTTTGAGCGCATCTCCGGCGCTGTGCGGCCGACTGCAAAGGCTAGCGCATTTGTTGCTGAGGAAGAATGTTTGCCCACTAGACGGGGTGATGATCTTGGGGACTCTGTTGCGATAGCATCGATGTGTTCCACAATTTCGTGTGGTAGACTCGACGTAGAAAAGGGCTTCTTGAGGCATCCCAGCCAGATGTAGTAAGGAATTGCTCCCAGTGTGCTGTTGCGGGCGTTGACGGTCAGGACAGTTCCGAACCTGTACTCGAGATAATCTCGACGAGCTGGCTCAAGAGACACCCTGTCAGCATCGAACCACGAGCGCCAGAAGTTCCGCCTGAAATAGCCAACGTGTCGGTTCACAAGACCGCCCGTGTAGTTGCGGAAAGTGAAGTCGACTTTCGACTGGGCGTAAAAGTCCACGACGGCAATCAAGCCGTGAGGTGCTAACAGAGACTCGAGCGAATCGATAATCGAGAAATAATCCGGCTACATCATCATGATATGTCAGCACACACCACCCCAAGACGTCCTTAATCAAGAAACATACCATCATCGAAAGGCTATAAGACATGGTGATCAACTCAGCCCCCGCATGTCGTCCCGGCTTCGTCTCTCCCCACCAACTCGACAAAGAAGGCGAAGAAGGTCCAGAACCAGACTCTCCTTCGTCAATATCCTCATAATCCTCAAGCCTAAACCTGCGAGCATCCGTGCAGATAACCCTCACATTCTCCCACCCCAGCCTGGCAAACCGCTTCCTAGCCACTTCACAAAGCGACGGCGAGAAGTCCACTAGGTAAACAGTCTTGAAGAATTCAGAGATGTCGACAAACTTGGCCATGGCTTCGATATTCCAGCCTGTGCCCCCACCGACCTGTTTTGTAGCGATGGTCAGCCGTATGTGAGATTTCAACATTGGCAAGGGTTCTGATGAGGAGGCGTACATCTACCCATATCGGTTTCCTCCTTGTCCCGGTCCCTGTCCCGGTCACGGTTCCACATGTCTTCCCATTCCTTTGTCTTTTTTCCAGCCCATCTCCAGCTCCTCCAAGTCCGCCAAGTCCAGCCTCAACCTTGTACCTCAACTGCGAAGCTACAAGAGCCAACATATCCTCCCTCCCCTTCAGTAGCGTGCCCCTTGTCGCATCATAAATGTCTGCCTGACTTCCGTAAAACGACTCCAGGGCATCTTGCTGTGTTCCTGTGGTGCCGGCGGTGGCGTGAGGTTTGATAAAGCAGGAGTAGCAGAAGAGGAGGAGGGATTTGAGGGAGCTTGGGTTGCTGTCATCCTCATTGTCGTCCTCGTTTTTGGTTGTCTTCCGCGAATAGTTGCTGGTGGTGACGAAAAAAGCCAAGACGGCCAAACCGGTGATGAAGATGGATTTGGTAGTGGTGGTGTTGAAGTTGAGGTCTGCTAGTGTCCGGGTTACTGAAAGTGATGGTAGCGAAATGTTACCCATGTGACCACCATGAGAGGTCATGGCACTGTCTTCTCCCATTGCTATAAGGTGTTGGTGTCAAGTAAGAGAAGAGAGGATTCGACGGTCTGTTCAGGAACAGAAGGAAGAGAGAAAGAAGTTGGGTTGAGGTTAGTCTTTAAGACCGATGGTTATATCTTTTCTCTCTCATATAAACCCGTATGTACATCTTCAGAAGCTTCAATAGAGACCGTTGTAAAAGAAGTTCCCCACCTCCACACTCCGCTTTTGCGTGAGATCCGAACGGAATGGGTGGCCAGCGCTCGGCCCCCAGTAACATAGGGAGACAGGGTTCTGTGATCCACATGTCCGGTTCTCTGTTCGTCATTCTGCGTCGTGGTCCTCAGATTCAGGCACGCCCATGGTCGGTTGGAGATTGGCGATTTTGACCTGGCGATTTCGAAAAAGAAACGAACGGAATATCTCGCGGGTGTAAAAAGAGGGGATTGAAACCATGGGGTAGGGTGGTTCTGTAATCGCCAATCAACCGCCCACATGGCCCATGGTCGATCGCTGATTATCTTGGGGCATCATCGCCAGTTTGGATAGACTTTCGAGTGTTGAACTTTAGATCCTGGGGGGCTGTTCCCAAGTACAAGCGCCATCTAAGTTCACAAGCTTGCCCGAACCGTTCCCTCTGGCTTGACGACTTTGCGGTTTTGCCAAAGTTTAGGCCTCTCGCAATCCCTTGTCCTGTTCGTGCTTGTTTGGCAAGCATTCGTCGACCACTGTTCGGCTTCCTCCCATTCAATCCCTTACCTGGCTCCCCGGCTGCATGGGATAGGTAATGAGGGGTCTTTCACATGGGCTGGGGAGAGGTAGGGGTCCAGTCCCCATTGGAAACCAATCGGGAAGGTTGCTAGATGCACACGGGTAGGAATACATACGATTGGATGGACGTCTCGTCTTTGCGGTCGGGGTCTCGATCGGGTGGAAAAGACAAGCGAGTGGGATTCCTTAATTTCTTGTATTGTGGTTTTTGCTGTCAGAGAAGTTTTGTACATTATGTTTCCCCTGGTAGTCGTGATGACTGGATCGAGAAAAAGATGCTGCAGGGTGGGATCGTACATAGGAAGCATGACGTATCATGAACAGACATTACACCCGACATCATCGTCTGTATATATAAGCGCTGCACGTCAGAACACGCGCACAGAATTTACTTTACCTGGGTATCAAGTAGCGCGTGTACAATTGCATAGGTATGTCGGTAATAGCATAGGCATGCATGCGAGTTCGCCGGAACGTTTAGTCGTTGCAGCTATCATTTGCTTGCGCTATATGGGCGACATGCAAACAGCATCTAACGTCCGAATGGCTTCATGGTCACGACCAATATTTCGAATGCACAATTTTCTCCCTCGATCTACTCTAACTACCGAGTCGACTGATCATTTTAAACACCCATGCCTCAGCTACACAGGACAGACATCTTGACTTTCATGTTCGTCAAAAGAGAGGAGATATACCAATACCAAATCAGACGAGTGGAGAAGGGCACGAGGCCAAGAGACTCTTAAGCGAGCTGCGCGAGTCCATGCAAACAACACACAAATTTGATGTCTCTCGCAATGCCAGTATAGAGAATTTCGATGGCACAAACACAAAGTACAAGAATAAAACAAAAATCATAAGCAGTTCGTGCAGTCTTGTCCTTCTGTCCTGTCCTGTTCCACATTCGTCCTATTCCCAACCTGATGAAATTTGCAAAAACACGATTAAGCCGCCCGCCAAAGTCCATTCATCCGTCCGTCCGTTCGTCCATCCGTCCGTGCGTGTGTGCGTGCGTGCAGTCCAAGTCCAAATCCAGTTCCGTTCACCCATCCGCGCAACATTTCCGTTTCGTCAACCTAAATCCTTCCCCCTGCTACATATGAAATATACGCTTTTTAGTGCAAGTGCTGTGAGGCGAGTTGTAGTAGTACCGGTTAAGAGGAAGTATGGACAAGGATGAAAGGGAAAAATTCGATAGAAGAGGCTCCGCGCTATGACAGTGTTGAAGAAAGAAAAATGAACGTTGTCCTTCCCTAAACGTTGTCCTTCCCTAAAAAAGCCTGTAGTGTGAGTTTGATGCAGGAAGTATGTATAGCCTTGGAGACGATGTAACTGCCCTTCGTAGCCAAACACCACCACCATCACCACCACCCACTACGAAGCAGTAAGCAAAAAAAAAAAAAAAAAAAAAAAAGAAAAAGGTTTCAACCCAGTTTGTGAAGTTGAACAAGCACGAGCGCATACATATCGCCCACCCCGAACTCCTCGCCAACCGTTTGTTCGATGCTGCTCATGCGCCCAGGCGACGAAAACACAAGAGTATGGACGATAATAAAAGCATGGCCGTGTGTCATTACGTCATGAGATCCGACCCTCAACTGAGAGCTGGACTTGGGTATAGAATTCGATAAATTGTTCCTCCTTTTTTCCGAGTACACGCTACCGCATCAGTCCGAAGCGTCATCGTCCTCTGGGCTTTCGGGAGCGGCCTTCGCCTTCTTATTCGGGGCGCCCGAAGTACTTTCGGCTTTCCTCTTGGTTCCTCCAGCCGTTTTCGATCCTGCTGTTACCGAAGACTGCTCCGAACCATCTTGCTTTGCATCCCCGTTGACCTTGTCCCGCTCCATCTGCGCAACCTCGTCTGCTGTCAGGAAACGGCCACCAGGACCACGAGGGCGTCGCATGGCATGGTTGTGTCTCGACTCATGGAGATACGGCTTGCGTCCCTTGTTCGTCAACCGCAATTGTTCCTCCAGCTTTTGCCTAGCGACTCGGCGCTTCAAGATTCGGTGGAACTGCTTGGCGTTGACATACAGAGGCGACTCTTCCACGGCTCCGGAAGCCATCTCTGGGGACTGGGGTGGGGGCATTTGCTGTGCGGCCGTCATCGGCGGCGGGACGGCAGACCTAGAGGCGTGGTTGAGCATCGCTTGCGCATTAGGCACACCGGGGCTGGCGACCTGACTGAGACGGCGCTGTCCTGGAGGTATGCTGTTCATTTGCGGCGGAGATCGAGGTCCCGCTCTGACGTCCTTCTTAGAGTTTACACCAGACATTCTAGGCGACTGCTGCAAGTTCGGGTCCGCTGCCATGTATGGGTTCGGGTAGTTGGTTCCTGATGCAGCCGCGGTGGCAGCCAGAGCTGCAGCCTGTAGGGGCATGCCATAGTGCATGTTCTGCTGAGGCACGCCGTACTGGGTTTGGTACATGCTGTGACCTTGGGTTGGCGAAGGCTGATGCTGCTGGGTCTGGAGAATTGGCGATGTTTGAGGTAGATGCTGGCTCGATGGGGATGTGATGCTGTTTCCACCCGCTGAGCTGGAGTAGGCCGTTTGCATATGTGGATTAGAATGGCTGTTTTGCGCCGGCTGGTATTGGGCGTATTCCATCATATTGAAATAGGGTCCGACTTGAAGCCGTGATGATTGGCGGCAGGCGCGATAGATTGATGTTGTTGACGAGATGAACCCAAGTGATGTTCGCGTAGTGCTGCTATGCTACCGAGCTCGGGTAGAGGAATGCTGACAAGAAAGCTGTGTCTGTGGTCGTAACAAGATGTGCTACCAGGCAGACTAAATCCAGGATGGCCTGCAGTTCAGATAAAAACACCAAGCTTCTGTTTTGGGCTCGATGCTGTGCAGTACAAGAGAAGTAACCTTGTACCTGTGGATTGGGCTGGATGTGCACCCAATCTATTGGAGTTGATGCGTTGGCAGTCGATTAAGTGTCAAGGCAAGGCTTGCTATTGGTCGCACACGGCATATGCAAGCTGATGTCGCGGGGCAAATGCTGGGTGGCTCGGTCCTGGGCCGTTTGAGACGAGACGAGGAGGCCTGAGTGAGCGAGGCCACGTGAGGACAGGGTGCTGATGGAAAACGCCTAGAGGGCTGGGCGATAAAAGCTGATGGTAGCGCTGCAGTTGGGATGACGCCTAAGCGAATAGCGAACACTGGCGTTGAGCGGGGGCGGAACGTCAAGCTTTCGTGGATACTCTCCCCAAAGTCTCGAGTAATTCTAGAGGCCTATCCGGCTGCGAGTGTCAGTTAAAGCCATTGGCAAACCCAAAACGGAAAAAGAAAACAGAGAACAACGGGCAATGACGATGTGACTGGGGCCGAGTCAGTGGTGGGCAAGTTTCTTTTGGCGCCTTGGGCCGGCCAGTTTGATGCGCTGGCATGCATGACGGAATATGCACGAGCCAGGCCCACCCTAGTTGACCAGCTCAGCACACACAATCATCGCCCTCGTCTAGGCCTGGCAATGCAGCATCGAAAGAGGAAACCGTAAGACCCCAGGGTGGGGGAAAGGAGAAGAGGTGCCAAATCCAGAGAATTGTCTCAACCAGTGAGCAAAGTTGAGGCTGCCATGAAGTCATTGGACCTATTTGGTGGCCTTCGTCCACCTGTTCCCTCGAGAAAAGTAGCGTGGCTTCGAGCGCGACACAGCGAAGTATGCAAAATCGCGAGGTGAAGAAGGCAGACACATCCTCAGCGTCTCAATGGACCATGGAAATAAGCACTCGACCTAGGACCTCATAGCCTCTCTGGATTACATCCATTACGTGGATGTGTGGCCCAGCAACCGAAGGATCCATATGTCGTGTATCAATGCAAGCTCAACAGGGCTGGAGGGACCCGATGACAGAAACCGAGGAAAAGAGAAAAGGAATGCAAACGTACCGTAAGAAAGTCTGACGGCGTTGGAGTTAAGCGACACTTGTCTGTTGCCCTTGGCAGATAAACAGAGAATACTTGGGAGGATGTCAGCAACACTGTCAGGAGACTTCAGAGACAAAATGAGGTATGTGGCTGATGGAGGGGATTGAGAACAACAGTTGCCGGTTTTCACGGGCAACAAGGCCAGCACATCCCAACCATCAAAATAGATGGGGGTGGCCTAACGAATAACGGGTTAAGGGTACTGGTACGTGCCGCTTCCCGTTTCAGATGAAGATGGTGTGCAGCCGGCAAAAGCGGAAGGGGAAGGAAGTGACGCTTGGGAGTAACGCTTGGGAGAAGCATGAGGAATCCCAAGTGGAAGGCAAGCGAATGGGTGAACGGGGCGTCTCTCTGTAACTTACACAAAGCTGTTCAGAAGCACGGCTGTGGACGCACCAAGTCTGCACAGTCCTGGATGCAATAGAAAAAAAATTCCCCGAGAACTGGAGATTCACGCACAATATGAATGCCTGTTGCCAGGAACGTTGCAAAAGCGCTAGGAAGCAGCCGAGTAATTGAGGACCGCAGGCGGAAGTTATCACGGGACCTTGTCACGGCCAATGATGAGGCCAATGTCGAGGTTCGCGTTGGTGATAGGTCTCGAAATCAGACGCGATGCTTAATCCGCAGGGTCGCTGCGCCCTGAATTGATTTGCTGTGTCGGGAAGGGTCTTTGGGATGCTTTGCGCTCGGGTTGTGACTGGTTGAAGCTGTGCGGGTATGATAACTCAAAGTGGATATTGGTGTTTCTACTTTGTTCCCAAATCGTCGTCAGTGTGCATTCGCAGCCTATAAGTTGTTTCCCAAGAGAAGTCTCCAGTCTCTTTTCTAACACTCGCGTCCCAAAAGGCAATAGTGCAAGCCTTGCTCCTCTCCTAATCAGGAGACAGTGTCAAACTGCTCTGCCTTTCGGAGATGGGAAGAATGGATTGCCCCCCAGCTCCCGTCTCTGGTCGGCATCGAGCACAGAAGACGCCATTGTGGCAGCTCTCGTTCAAAAGTATTTAAACATGCAAAATGCAAGCTGGTGATTGCAGGCAGGCACCAGGCTAGGTGGTGGAAGATAACGAACAGAAGCATGCGAATGTCATTCTGCTCGAACGGCCACGACCATCATAGAGCCGGGCCATGCCCTTATCGCCACCTCTGCGCATCTTGACGAGCTTGAGCGCCGGCGTGGGTCGAACCATCATCGACATGTACGGGAAGCTTGGAATGTTGAATGGATTGATGAAGGGCGGAGATGACTGAAATTGAAATGAAATGACAGGGCTTACCTTTGATTTTAAGCATGTACAAGGCTAATAAGGCAGCCTGGCAGTGAGTGGCTCTTGCGCGCGAAGGTGGTCGCTGAATGGTTGAGTTTAAAGCGACGTCTCCTTGAATTGGTGGTTGGTCGGATGCTCCCGTCTCCAATTTGCAGACGGTCCGTTTGCCAGGTTCGGCGGGTGGATTTGGGGTCCGTTGTCTGGTTTGCTGCGACTGAGACTGATTCGGCGGGACTGATTCAACTGACAGCCAACCAACTATAAAAAACCCGGGTAGGTTCCTTGACCTTGTGTCAAACTTTGCCTGATAGCGATAGCGATATCGAAATCTCGAAGTTTGCGCGACGCGAGGCAGCAATGACGGGTTGACAGCAAGTGACTAAGCAGGCACCGCTAACTTGTCGAATGAGATGCGATGGAAATGCGAAATGCGCGTCAAATAGAGTTGCTCAAACAGTCCCAATTGGACTGCAAAGGTTGTGCAGGAGTTGATGGCCGCAGCCGTTGATTTGACAGAATTTTTGGCCTGTTCTGCTCGCTCGAGAGAGCCTTGGGCAGTGGAGTGGATGATTGGTGGGCTGATTGGTTGTACGAGGTGAAGGAGGAGAGACGAGGGGAAATGCGAACGATGATTTGAGGGTGCATCCGGACTTCTTAAACTTAGTAATCTGGTTGGATGAATCAGCTGGCGAGTGGGGCACCGCCGGCGGCGGCGAGTCCAAAGACAAGTGGCTGGCGCCGGGCGGTGGGCGACGGGTGAGGGGCCCAGCTCGGGGGGGTGTCGCTGCACGATTTGGTGTTCACCAGGTTCTGGGTGCTTGGCGCGGGGCTAGGGCGTGCAGTCCCCTGCACCGAGACTGTGGACGCTAGCAATGCGGCATTGAGATGGAATCTGGCTCAAAGAGTCGTAAATGAAGGAAGGAAAAGAAACGAGAATGGGGATCGCGCGGACCAAAACAACCATAACCATACGTACTCAAAATGATGAACTCCAATATCATTGTGACCAATGTAACGCTGAGTAGGTATTTGATCCACCTGTCTCCGGGTCTGTCCTTTTCCCATTCTCACTATCGACTGGTATCTGTCTGATATCTGGATTGTGACGCAGTGTGGGAGGAGAGGTTGGGTGCCTTGAGCTGGAGATTTTAGCGAGACACGATCGGTCGGATAGGCAGAGCCGCACACAGCAGGCTGTGGTGACTTTTCTTCACACGGTCCAACTTCCCCGGTGAGGAGAAAAAAAAAAAAAGTGATAGGTGCATATGGCCAGGTCCTGGACTACATGCTCCGCGGACATGGTTGGACGATAGCGCGTCCAACATTCAACGCGTCCCCAACTTCTCTTATTTTGAGTTTTCATGGTCAGGAACGATCTGACTATTTGCCTGCCTCGCCGGTGATCACAAATGGCTTATAGGTTTTGTAATTACATGATGAACATAACACCACTGCCAATAGGATGTGGTATCGTGTTGATAGGACCATATCTTAAAATCTGCCAACTAAATATTCAGAGGGAATCTCCAACATACAGACTAGTTTTCTTTTTTTTTATTGAGTACGTAGCCTTCTTGATCGGCACACGCCTCCATCAGCTTTAACTTGATGCACCACCCGTGAGACGGACAACCTCGGGAACTAACAACAAGACATGCTGTCGCGCGAACTTAGTTGAGCTGTAGGTACATCCGAAGGCCGCCTAAATTTAGTCCGAGCAACGTCACATACGAAGTCGGGCTTTTTGCAAAGTCAGGAGAAACGGCTCCCGTCACATCGTAGCGGGCCATAACACTTCTCGACAGTTTGTACCGGCGGCCTTGCCACGCTCATGCGGCGGTTCGAATGTGCGGTGTTGAGAAGATACTTGCCTCTCATGTGATCAACAGCGACAATGATGGCATTCCAGATACCGACTAACACGACAATGGGTCCGTCTTCGGTCCTCCGGATAGTCCTGGTACCTAGTGTAGCTAGCATACTAAAACGGGCGTCATTGTGAGCATCTGGCAATGGTTGTTGTTGATACATGTCGACCCTGCGCTTTGCCACAGAGTGCGTTCGATTGGGCAAAATGGGAAAAGCTTGGGCATGTTTTCAAATCCAAGGCGCCCTCTCGATGGCCAGGAGTGCCAGGCCAAGAGGACCGGGGATGCAGGAAGCAGCGAGGCCAACTCATCGGGAGTTCCAGCCTCCACCCCCAGCCCAATGGAAATGTCGGTGTGGACCACAACAGCAGACGTCAGAAACCAGAAACCGGGACTTTGCTGGTCCGCTGGGGTCTAATCATGCTCCACCCGTGGCCTCGTAAACCCCCGACGCGACCCCGCCGAACAACGCGGTCGACCGGCCTTGGTGGCATCTAGCTGACTGACATCCATCGTATGAAACTCGATTTGATGCCCCTGTGGAAGATCCATTATTGCCATCCCACAGGCATGTCGTGGTCTGGACATTGCAAACGATGAAGATGGGTACCCATCGGAGGCTCTGACTTTGACTGCGGACTTGCAGAGGCACGCGCCGTGGTGATGATGCTGTCCTCGCAAAAGACGATGCTGCGCCGCAAGGCGGCATTGTTTCGGGGAGGTGCCCTTTGGGCTACGTGTTCCGTGTGCCGTGTGCCGGAAACGAATCTGACTGGATGGTGAACGAAGCTGTTCGCTGTGTGTTCTTAGCAATTTGGTCAACAAAGAACATTGATGTCGCTGTAGCTGTGAGCCGGCGAGATATCGATACTATGCCACGGTACAGACAACCTGCCGATAGCGCGGTACAAGGCTGGCTAGTTGAGTTGCATGTCTTTGGTCCGCAGTCCAGGTGAGGATACCATGTATCGTTCGAACACATCTCTTGTAGGATTTTGTACAATGTGTTTGCGTAGACCTCGCTGTTCTTGACTCCCACCCATGTCGCCCACCGGTCTTGGCGCTGGGGTTCGGGACTTTGCGTTGCGACGGTGGTGGCGGCTCGGAAAGATGGGGAACGATGATTCTCGTCCTTCGTTACAGGTTGCGGGCTGCGGCTCTCCGTGCTGCTTTGCGCATGTCCCTTGTATCTGTGTGAAGAAAAGCATCTGGAGAACTCCCATCGTTTCTTAACTTCTTTTGTCGTTTTGTTACAAAAGCGTAGCGAGAAATGAATCCTACTGGCTACAAATCCACGTTGTTGACTGTAAAATCCACGTCCCGTACCGACCATGACTCGGGAACTGCCGGCCGCGGTTCCCACTGTCATGCTTTCCTTGATGTGGTTCGCTGGGCTGTTCCCTCCCGAGGGGTATTGTTGACTCTCACTCTGTAAACTGCCCCTGGGACAGTCGAAGCTCTCGGTCGTGTCAGTCAAGCATCCCGTCACCAAAACAAGCGACAAGAGAAACAACGAATCAAACACCAAACGGGAATTCAGTTGGAGGCCCTAGCGGCCAGAAAATCACAATGGGGCTCCGGGGCCCAGGCCCTCGCTCCATGGACCTCCATTTGGTCCTCATTCTACCGGCGATGAGGTGGGGCGGGGGCAGGGTGGACCCCTTGGCTTCCTTCTCCCCATTCCCGTCCACTTCCACTGATTCTTGTGCACCCCTCGGGCCCTCTCAGACAACCCTCTCTGACCTTGCATCACCTCATCTGTGTGCAACAACATCACGTCTTTCTCGAGACAAATGACAATTCTCCAGACTTCATTCGGCCCAGCTTTCTTTTCATGTAGTCGCACAAAAGCCATGTCCGGTAACATGGAACTTTCTATGGTGTATCCTGCAACGGATCAGTCCGCCACCACAGAGTCCGGGCCGCCATCACAGCCCATATCGCGGCCCAATGGCTGATCATGACGCCCCCGAGACTGTTGGACAAAGACGAAGCCAGCAGTGCGTACAGACTTGCGCCGTCGACCGAACCTTCCATGCCCCAGGACACTGGCCACAAGGCGCATGATACGCAATCGATTCAAGTTTATGCGGAGTTTAAGCAAGACTCAAACCCGGTCCCCCTTGTGTGCTTGTCGTCCCGGCTGTCCTAGAGGCTGCTCCCGCTCGTTTCCATTGGCGCTAATATACCTCTACATATGTACCTACATCAGATCAGACATCATCTTGATAGTGTAGTGTATGTTAGAGTAGACACTCATCAGCAACTGTAGTTAGTGCAGGAAGCTAATTATGCACGTCGTCCGTCATCGAAGCACGATTCCCTTCTCTGCATCCACTGGTCATCATTCAGTTCCCAATTCCGCAAATAGCTACCTGGCCCAACTCGAGCGCTTCGGGCGAATGGTAGACGAGCAGTCGGCTTCCACTCTGCTATTCGACGCCTGAGAGCCTCATAGTAACCCATAGACAAGCTGCTCCTTCCGGTTCACGAAACGTCGATCTTCCTGGTCATGTCATCCTCGGAATTCACACGTCTTGCCCAAGCTTCGAATTTTTGTTAGTATCACCAGTGTCATTCGAACATTGTAATGTCTTCCCTGCTCCATATGGACATTGTGCGTTTTGGGTGATCACCTATCAACTTTGATAATCCAGTTGTTGATGATAACCGCAGGAATTTCTCACAGATCACGAAACGAGATGGCTTGCTCATTGTGAACCCCAGCCAGAGCTTCTCCCATGTTCATCTCATCACATGCCAACTCCCAGTGGAGCTAAAGACCCTGATAATTCACCTACTGGGGTTGGGGGGACTGGGGAGCTGTGATTGACCAATGTGACCAAAACGTAAGGATTGCAATGAGCCAGTCCTAGTCGTGTTCTGTCAAGATGCCGTCAGGGACCGAAGAGCTTTGCGTGGCCTGCGATGCTACTGATCCTCAATTTCATCACATCGACATCCCCAGAAGGCCTCAACTCTTGATCGGTTCTTGAATGTTCGTGGCTCCTCAATCAGGCATCGAGTTAGAGATCAATAAGCTTTTACTGCGCCATGGCGAGATGAGGAAGATTCATACGTTTTGCCATGAACCATTTTCGCTGCGCATTATGTTGGCTACGTTTGCCAATCTGATTGATCCTCTACATACATTCATGTGATACCCCATGGACCTAAGTAATTTCCCTATATATGACCATCACAAGGACTACTTTCCCGACATTACCGAGTTCTTAACAACTTGCTTATGCGGCGTTGTTATTCTGGAAATCCTTCGTATCAGACAGGCGATCAGTTGTTCGTGTGTTTCAAAGAGTATTTCGATCTTTATTCGGCTTTAATCAGTTGACGATGCATCAGAGACAAATGTCTACTGAGTTGTTGGTCAGAAACAGTTGGCCGGTGAGCCACAAACCCATAATCACTGGTTCAAAACTCTTATCTGCGTAAGAAGGTAGAGTCAAACTGATTAAGTGCTGAAAAGTTACCACCCTCAAACTTATCCCGTCACTTGCACGTTACCATTCATCGTCTGTCTACTAGGCTTCCACGTTTTGTTTTCCACTTGCCGCGTGTTGCCTCTAGCAGGGGCAACGAGCCACACCACTAACCACCAGCACACGTTCTCTCGTCAACATGCAGAAAGATATCAAACCACCGTGAGTCCTACACCAAGATAGGTCTTCCATGTCGTCGCCGTCACTGGCTGGGCGGCACCTGGGAAAGAAGGGGGAGTATTGGCAGATTTGGCAAACCATAAACGAGTATGTACAACGAAAAGAAGATGGCGAGGTAGTGCTCACACATTCCGGGCATAAAAGGGCCGAGGGAAAGGAACTCAACGACAACAAGCTGGATGACACGACATGCTCGGAGATTAACGGCCGCATTAATGATCTGCCCTTTTCTAGGCGGACTATACTTCCGGAGTGTCGGAGATGAAGAAGCCGAGGAAAGATGAGCATTGGATTGGAGGTCAGGCGGGTGTGATACCCTGGCTTGCTGACTGACTGGTCTGTCCTGGTCTAATTGGGTGGTTTCGAAGAATACTGGAAAGAGACGATAAGGATGAGCACCCAGGCGTCATCATCCGTCCGTCCCTACACTACATATCATTTTTCCAACCTGGACTCCGGAGTGCGAGAGAGTAGTGTAGGTAGGGTACCGAGCTATCGCTGTCTCCCAAGGTAAGATGGCATGACGACGAGCAACAGACGAAATAGCAGTTTGAGAACTTAGTAACATGACTATCCCAACACAAACGGCTTCTCGATATCAGAAGCATTAGTGAGTGATGCTCAGTTTTCCCCGTCATTTCGGCGCCTAAATTGCACATACTGAATCACAGATGACGAGAACAGCCAAAGCACCTCTACACCGAAGCCGTGGCTGAGTACACCTTTATATCCGTGCTGCTAGTAAGTCGTAAAACCACACTTCAATTATCTTTAGAGGACTACGGTCCCTTCGGCCGTTGTGGTAGTTCGGTTCCGAAGATTTTGGCTTTCCAGTGTTGATGAAGGTCAAGGTACTTCCTGCTGCTCGCTCTTGCCCGTAATTCTGCATCGCTTCTTCTTGTATGACCTCTGGCCCCCAGTTTTGGGGAAGGTGCGACCGGACGGTTGAGTCGATGGATAAGCAGACAATTTCAAGGTGACATACATGGCACTCTGTCTCTCGACTACCTAGGTCCCCTAATTCTACCTCATGTATATCGGTCTGAATGAGCCCTGAAGCCCGAAGGTTGTCACAACATCGGATTCTGCCGCTGCTGGGGAGAATCAAGCCGCTGGAAATGGTTCAGCCCTCAATAACCCTTGCCTATTATTCATAGAGGCAAAGCCTAAATGACTTGACTATAACAGCAAACTAGAGACCGCCAAATGTTCCAGGTTGTGATTATTAGTTCATATGTTTACAGCGTGTTTTTTCACAAGCGGCCCGATATTCTGGCGAACCTACTAACTGTTTTGAATTCTGATCCGCGCATACATTGTTATTAGACCAACTCCATAGTGAAGATATTATACAGCAACGAAGAATGTGAACTTCAGGGCTTGTTGGTTTTGAATCTGCCCACCGCTAAGTAGCTACTCACATTAACTTGTTGTCAAAAAAAATACTGTTCCCCTCCACATGTGTGCAATGCATGGCATTTATCACTTTCTTTCAAGAGTGCATCTCGGCACCACCACTATATGTTCCTTGATGGTTTCAGGTGCAAAAGAAAGGTAGAAATTTGATTTAGTATATGATGTACCCGTCTTCATTCTTTCTAAGGCGCTTATGTATAAAGTCAAGCAGACACCGTCAATGAAAGGTTGGGGGATCCGGTTACAAATTCCAACAAGTATCTCTCTAACTCCTTGCTTGTTTGCCTCGTCTTCTAACAATAGATAGAGGTCTCGAGATTTTTTATTTTTTTTTACAAAGGTCCTCTTGATTTTATTCCATACATGCTCGATGGGGTTAGATACTGACTGTGAAGAGGGTATTCTATCCACTAGATGCTGTGGCTTTACAACCAGTCTTTAGTTGTCCTTGAAGTATGGACTATGGCGTTATCTTAAAGAAAACCTGTTCCCGGGCGATAACTAGGGGCTAATACATCCTCTACGCTTTCTTTAGGGTAGATGCAAAAGAGATGACGGGGCCGAAGGTTGATGGAGGTGCAAAGAGAGGAAGGGGAGATATCGTTCTTTTTTTATTTTCTTTTTTGACCATTACTGTACATATAGACCTGTGCAAGCATAACCAGCGGTCCAAGTAGAAACGAGCGAGAGCACGGAAGAGGGGTCCGCAACCCGAGAGAATTTGAACAGACCTTGGAAGTTGCACAGCTCAAATTTCAGAGATTTTTGATCGGCTATCTCGGGAGTAGTTCGAAACCACCACCGCATGACCCTGAGTTGATGACTGAAGGGAGGTCAGATCTCTTCCGGGCACTGGATGCCACATCCACCCACAGGCAGCGGCTCATTGGCAGCGAGAGGTCTGATGAAAACATCTCCTCCGTTCCACGACTTCAACCAACCCGAATGTCAGTCAGAAGACAACAGAGAAAAGGCAGTAAAGACAAAAGGGAGGAGGAGTGAGTAGCTACATAACAGTCCGTCGAAGTTGGAGCTGAACCCGATAACCAACTCGATCTGACTGGCCTAGTGAGTAAATACGAAGTGGAGGTAGTCAAACAGTTCCATCTGCTGTGCCTCCAGAGCCTCGTACCAGCGCAAAGGACCGTGCATGTTGTGTATATGTATGAAAAAGTCGAACCGGACGAAGTCTGTCTAGTAGAAAAGGGTTTGTCCTCGTCGTTTACCACCTCGTGTTGCTGAGGATTGCCAACTCGGATTGGGGCAGCTGATGTGACATTACGTTCAAGATTAGAGCTACGGACGCGGGTTTGCCATAGTCTCGGCGACGTCGATGGAAGCGTATTGGAGGGAAATAGTCTACTCCCAACAATACGACAAGTCTTTTGACGCTTTCTCCGGGGTTTGTCATGTAATGGAAGCATGTGGTCGCGGCGAAACAACAAATTGATGTCGCAAGTTGCAAGCACGAGACGAACAGCGTCTTGCAACCATGAGAACAACATAAAGCCGAGGTATGTTAGAGCATTATGAATCAGGGGTCTTGTCTTGGTCTCATTCGGTCAATGCTATCCACAAATAAAGAGAAAGCTCGGAATTTCGACAGCCATCGTCGAGTGATGCCTGAAACTGGCCATCGAGAACTCCCACGATGGTGTTTCATGTGTAGGAGCTCATGAGATCCATATGATCTACCAAGATCCTAGGTATTACTGGCATATGGACGGCCATAAGGCGGCCGTACCGAGCGGGCCCTCTCAGGCGGCCACCCGTGCTGATGACTGCCCAGATGCTTGGTGTTGCGCACTTGCGATGACTCGTTAATCCCCTCAACAATAGAGCATCAATATCTAGCACGTTGCCATGGCAGCAGGCGCGCGCTCTAGGAGACTTGGGAAAACAGATACACTCGTAAGTCAAAAGGCAGGTAGGGTACTGAGCGCGCGCTCAAATAAGGGGTAGAAAGTCGTTAAAAGCAGCCAATCGACGTGAAGGCGTTTAGACTAGACTACTCATTCGGGGCCAGATGCGGAAGTCTGGGGAAAACAACCAACAGAAGTCTTGGCAGATGATTTCTTTTCTCGCAAAGTTAAGCGCATCAACAGCCGCGCGCCGTGTTGGTCAGTCCTGGACAAAGATCTGCCTTAAACCGTCCAAAGCAGGCCCCGGAAGGCGGCCTCCCTAGGGACAAAGTACGGCTGCAACCGCAAACCGGGCGAACCGACAGCCGCTTGGCGCTCTGGAACAGGCATCTCGACGACCGGAGGCACGAACTTGTGGTCTTTGGCGATAGCAAGTCAAAACCAGCTGGCGCGCGCTCCCAGTAGGGGCCCGTTAAACGGCATGGAAGATGGGGAATGGGGAGAATACCGCGAGGTTGGGCATGCCATATTTGCATACTGATACGAATACTGGCGTTTCGAGATCGAGGAGCGTCTATCTTGCAAACCGGCTAGTTGGCGGTTAAGGAGCGCGGGAGTGATGTATATATAGAAGAGAGTGCGCAGGGCGACGAACGGGAACGGGAAGGAATAGCATTGCCAAGATCTACGAGTTTTCTTTGTCGGGTTTTTTTTTTTTGGAGTCTTGGAGTGTTGACACCTCTAGCTTGCCCTTGCCGTTTCGACCATAACTTCTGCTTGGTGGACTGGACTGGTTCCTTCCCTCACGCATCTTTGTTTTCAAGATTTTCAGCTTTCTTCTTTCCCTTTCTATACCAGCTCATCTCCCTTGGGCTTGATCCGTCATTTCGTCTGCGACTTATTTTTTCTCGCAAGTCGCAGTCCACTGTCGACAAGTCACCTGCAGTGAAGGAAAGACTTCATTTCGGGAGATCTTCCGCTGGTCGACCGCTTCAGTTCTATTTTCTCGACACCCGCAATACCAGCAACACGGTTCTCGGGCACCTCAATTTTCCACACACACGACACAAGCTGAAGTGCAATCCCACTTCCTGGCACTTCCCTTGTGGTCATCCCCGTTCTCCACCCGAACGTTCAGGTGTTTTTGTCGGTACGCTAGCACGCGGTAAGCCCCTGGCCAATTAGCGGCGTCGGTGACCATCAGTGCTAAGAATACAAGTATGAGCTTAGCGCTCTGGTGCTGCAGGTTCTGGCACAACATCACCAATCACATCCCGTGCAGGTGTCTCGCCGGCACCCCCATCCTGGGCTTTCCACCTGTACCGAACGGACGCCATCACGATTCACCTCACGATCTCGCAGCCAGCACCAGGCATCTTCCATCCCGAGCTCGTGGCAAAGACACCGGAAACCCCGGGCCAAGACGTTTCGTTTCTTCTTCCCGTCTTTGCTCAGTGATTTGGGTCCAAGGGCGTCGACGGGCGTTTCACTCCGCCTCCCTCATAATCCACTCGGGAACTCCCCTTGGAAATCACCACTCTTCAGACAGTCGATCAAGAACCCGGGTACCGCAGTTGCACCCAGTATCTTGCTGGACTTGCTCGTCGGATCGTGGTATTGGATTTTGCCTAGGCGCTTCTTCGTTCCGAGGCACACAGAGCCCGATCTTTTTTACTGCGCAACTGCGTAGAAGACTACAAGGGATTACGAGGTAATCCACTGGACGTGTGTAAGTCTCCATCCTCTTTGGCGATACCTTCATCAACCTATCCCATGCTCCAAACATGCCTTCCCTACCTATCCAGACCAAGCGAAAGCTGCCAGCGCACCGGACAGAGAAACAAAATCTGGAGCTCTGGATGTAAGCTGCATCCAGCGTCACACTAAAGCATCCGGCGGGCATCCCAGCACACTCACAGCCGCTTTGCAAAATCGCTTGCCGCCGTCGTCCACTTTGAACCCCTCTGGTTGGCTGGTCCGCGCTTGGCTGCAAACTTCACCACCTCTGTTTCTTCCCTCTCACACTCCTTCTCTCAATAATCCTCTCATATTCTGACAAGTTGCTGCTGGTGGCGTATAGCACTTCCCGCTTTCTCCTCTTTGCACCTTGGTCTTCCCGTCCGTCTGTCACTGTGGTTCGAACCAGCTCCCTGGACTCGAGTTTTAACAAACCATCCTCCCTAGAAAGCCTAGCTCAACCACCCCACCTGGTCTTCATAACGGGCCCAGCCAATCACCAGACAAGCATCAAACCACCACTGCTCCTTGCCTGCCTTCCGCTAGCTCCAAGTGCGAAAAAGAAAAGAAACAGCGGGACCCTGGAGCCAAACCCACTGCTCTGGAAACGAGCAGGGACACCAAGGAAGACCAGCATCACTCGCCGGGGTACTCATCCTTCTGCTGCCGCGGGGATTTGGTTCTAGCTTCGCTTGTTTCGAGTCCGACTACTGAAGCACACCCTCGTCCATCGCCTTGAATACCCCTTCACATCTTTACCGCCTCTGGGGCCTTCACTTCATTCAACCTCTTCATATAACCGTTTGCCCACCACCTCCTGCACATCTTTAGCACTCTTTCCCCTCCCCACCTACCGGCTCTCTTCCTCCATCGCCCAAAGGCAAGTCAACCGGTTGGCTCACAACGCCATACGATATTCAAGATCAACACGTCTCAGGCCTTTCGTATTGCCAGCCTACCTGCCATCAACATGTCTACCAAACCAATCCTCAAGCTGTCGACTCCGGTCACAGCCAACTTCCCCAATATCCCCCGACCAACAGACGAGCTCCGCTCCGCTGTGACACTTCCTTCGGCTCTTTCAGATCGTACTCCTCTGTCTGCCATCTCGCGAACATCAGCCTTCCGTGACCCTCTATCGGCACTTCCTTCAGCAGGCCTTCCTTCTGCTGGGCCATTCAGCGCAACCCTCAAGGTGGATCATGATCTTCAAAAGACACCCATTACACCACCCGTCGCATACCTCGACTTTCTCAAGTGCATGCAACTCGTTTCTCCCAGTCTAGCCTCGCCACCGCAAACAGGAAAGGTGTCCCTGCACCGGACGAGCACCGCTAGCAGCCTCAGCACCAGCAGTACTAATAGCCATGAATCGGAGTCTTCAGTTGACTCCGCCACTACGGACGACTCTGAGAAGGAGAAAGGAGGACAAATTGACAGCGCGCCATCAACAGCTCGCTCAGATGTGAGCTCCGAGCCCGAAATCAAGGTCGAGGCCGAAGAGAAGGAGGACAAAAAGGTGGACGAGAAAGAGGACAAGAAGGAAGACGAGGAGAACGTCGGCAACGAAAAGGAAGACAAATCCAGACCAGCACCTATCACCATCTCTCAACCTCCGACTCCCCAAAGCTCGCTCTATCCGATGTCAGCTCCAGCCACCGGCGCCGCGGTATTCCCAAGCACCAAGATCCCTGCATCACCCGCCATCTCTACTTCCGCACTCTACTCGCCACGAACACCCCTCAGTGCAGCATCTGTCCGCTCGCCTTTCGATTGGGAGACGGCGCTAAAGCTGCGGCGATTTGCCGAAGTTTCTAGCCTCAAGCGCTCTGCGCCATCTGATGCTCCTGCTGTCAGCAACCCCACGTCTGTTCCCGTCGCAAAGGAATCACGATCCAGCATACGCCACATCCGTGAAGTGGTTACAAGAACAGTAACCTACACACCACGAATGGCGCCCGCACCCAAGGGAAAGCGAAGAAAGATCGACGCCGACACAGCCATCAAGTCATGAAAACAGCTAAATCATCTACGGTGCTGGTCATCACCGCCAACCTGATTACCACCACAATACCGTTGCAGAGCAGCCTGCCTGGAGCGGTGCAATTACTGAGATCCTCACAACCCATTAATCGTCAAATCGACAACGCTTAGAGGGGTCAGGAAGAGGAATCAAAAAAGAAGAGGGGATGCAGCTTGCGCAAAGCTACGGATTGTCATTTACGAATGGTGCACATATCAATGGAGTCAAACGGAGTTTATCGGCGTTGCTGGCGGCGTCCACCACCATGGGAGCTGGGTTGTATTTTGCGGTCCGAACGGTCAGGTCGGAACTTGAACCACGATACCACAGGAGGAGTCTTGGTTTGGCTTTGTGTCAGCAATTTTTTTAGAGGAAATCTATGGAGCATAGGGAAGGGATATTTGAAATTTGCTGGAGAACGAAGAGAGTTACAGGACAGGGTCTGATCATGGCCATTCTCGGTGGTTTTGGATCCAGCCCAAAACCCATTCTGCATAGTCACTACAATAGGAATCCTCGGGCGACACAAGTCGTCGGGTCTTCAACACAAGAATATTCTCTCCCCATGTTTGATCAGCGTATCCTTCGATGATCCGTTTGCTCCCTCACTGTTTGTTGTCGGCTTGCTACCCCGCAAACAGGAAGAAATGGCCGCCTTGATGGCCGGCCGGAGTACATAGGTCAGGATCTTGGAGGCCTGTAGAAGGTACGTACTATACTGGGCGATGAAACACCACAAAAAAATCAAGTTTCCAATGCACGGCTATCCCAGAGCGCTTACTTAATCCAGCTGACAATGACAGATGACCTGATGAGGAGTGCATACGTATCCCGTGTTTACTTGACCCTTTTTATTTTTCTTAATTATTTCTTTTCCTTATTCCCACAATACATGATTATAAATTGAGTGTTATCGATGGCTTGCATGGATCGTGAAATTGAACGAACTGGAAGACTGATCTGACCTCTCTCACGGAAGCTCGTTCAGCAGATGTAGAGCCCTTCACGAAGAGAATATCATGCACTGCGGTTCACCCCTCCACTCTAGGTAGGTATTTCCAACGCCTCCACCAAATTTTTTTGAGACTTGACTATCCGCCACTCAATTCTCATTTACGACTTTCCGCTGGGTGGAAGAGGGAGGATCTCTTTCAGCAAGCAGTTCACTATACCCCAACCACTTCACTTTCCCAGTCTCCCAGTCTTTCCCACTGGCAGACTTCCCACAAGCTCGGCGCTTAAATCCATGCCCCCAATCCCTGTCTACCGGTCTCTACCGTGGTCTACCGTGTCGTGCGGAACGGGGCTGCTCGCCTATGATTGGTTATCTAGAGAGAAGGCAATGATAACATTGGTTGTAGTAGTGTGGGTTTCTTGTGTGTAAGGGCGCTTAAATCCCTGTCTAGTCGACGAATGATGGGTCTGGCGAGACAGGGGTGGATGATTGGCGAGACGTCACATGTCGATTGATTGCTTGACACTGGGACCTGAAGAGAGAGTTTCAGTGCTTCGGGAGTTGTGGGACTTGTGGGATTGGGAGGTGGAAGATGAAGGGTTCGTTGCTGGGACTGCTGTACAGTTTTCTTTCTTTCTTTCTTTCTTTCTTCCTTCTTTCTTGGGGATGGACTGGAGGGCTTTTGAATGATGGAAACAAGTAATGCTGATGATGAAGGCTGGCTGCTGTATCATGGCTCTTGGTTTGGCGAATGCCATGTCACTGGGATCACCTAAAGCTGAACGGATCCTTGAAAGCGATCGACTTGGAGAAAATCATTACGACGACACGGCCCAGCCTCAAGTAAGGTTTAGTACTCTTTCTTCCAGGCGATCAGCTGTTCTCTACCGCTGCAACTTTCGCAATCTGCCTAGGCATCTTGGGCGTGTGATATCGAACCCATGAGCCGAAACATCGATCGGATAAACTCACCTCATCTCGCCCACCGAACATCCGGAACTGGGTCTGTCTCGCACTGGCACTCGAAAAGGATTTCTCGGAGGGCGGCCGGATTGGTGACACGGCACCGACATATATATCTGCATAACAGAATTTTCTCGGCACACTGCCATTGTTCACTGGATGACGAGTAGGTATCAAGGTACTGTTACTGTGATGTGTCGATGTTGTGAAGTGTGGACATATGTCAAAGTGAGGCAAGCCGAAGCCGCAAGTTGTGCTGTCCGTTCGGTGTGGATGTCACGTCGTTCATTCAAAGGCAGTTCCATTCAGCATAAAAATAACCAGCGTGATGGGGTGACAGCGCGGTGGTAGCAGCCCGTTCACGGTTCAGATTCCCTTCCCAGCCCAGAATCAAGAACCTGACTGGATGGTTCGTTGGCCCAGGGACTTTTTGTTGCCAGCTTGCCTTGGAAGGGTAGGGAAAGTAGGTGTTCATGCAAGTGGAAATTGAATTTCCGATTCAACTGTGAACTGTAAACTGTAAACTTTGCAGCGAAATAATCTACTAGATTGCTATGTTTAACTTTTTGTTTTCCTTTTTTTTTTTTCCCCCTCTCCCTCAAGCGGCTTCCATGGGGCGCCAGATAAGCAAGCCCTGGCGCCCCCCATATCATGGGATACTGTACACTATGTTGGGTTGCAGGGCGGAAAAGGTAAGGCGGAAAGTAAAAGGCTCGTCGATCTGGAACCGAATCGCAAGACAGGGGGTTCGTTCGGTAGGTCATGATGTGTGAATCGACTGTAAGCCCCCCGTGTAACTCGAGCGTGAAACGCGACGCTGGACGGGGGGCCGGGGTGAACTGCCCAGGGGAGGGGAATGCGAACTGCGGAATGCGTGCGCGCGCGGCGCGACAGTGTACATCTTTGTTAAAAGATCAAAGAGTAATCTGAAACACAGCTGGTATGGTTTAGGGTGGGTTTGTGTGCGAATAATTCGCTCTATTTTTGGCATGTTGGAATTTGATCAACATCCCCTCCGCTTTTTCCCACGTGTGCGTATCGCTGCTGCATATCACAGTTGTACACCATGATGTGCGATCAGGACTTGTGGTTGGAGCGAACAAAACAGCGTCGTTTATTCCTGGAAGGGAAATGAAGCTTCATCGTATGTGAGTACGTGTTGACGACCAGTTCGTCAATAAAATGGCGTTATAGACGGCGATACGGTTCGATCCGGAAAATGATGTTGCTATTTTGATCTCCTTAGCCATTGCACCGAAGAAGCTGGCGATGCTGCTGTTGCTATTGCTGCTGCTGTTGGTGTCATGATTGGAGTGATCATCAGTCGATTGTCTTCACTTCCTTGGCTACAGCATTGCACAGCACGACCCGTACGCCCGCTGCCGAGAGGACATGGATCCATAGCCGTTGTGTGTCACTGAGCCGGTCATTGGCACTTTTGACTTCCACAAACATCACTTCTCCCTTGCCGTTCTCAGACTGCTCCTTTCGATCGTCGCTTAACTCATGTGTAGTACGCCAGAGGATTAAGTCCGGCACACCACCCCCACGAGCCTTGTAATCCTGTGCAATGACCTTGCATATGGCGGCAAGAGCCTCACTCTCAAAGCAGGAAACCAGCTGGATAAGATCCTCAACCTCGTAATCCCAGTTCAACCCAACAATGCATGTACGGCGCTCGCGGTGCTGCTCGTTAACCCGGCGAATAAGGTCAACAGCTCCACCATTGGATATTTCCACCAACCGGTGGTTGATCTCGCTCGCCCGGGCCGGATAGAAGGCGTCAGTATGTAGATCCAAAGGACAGGTTTGGTAAGCGGTCTGAAAGACGTTCGGGACGAAGATGAAGAGGATGTCGCAGAACAAGTACGCGAAGAGTGTCCGCAGAATCCCACCCTCGCTGTGATATCCTTTCCAGCCTTGTGTGCGGTAGAATGAGAGGCACATCTCTTCTACACTGACATGCATCAGATTGCCCTTATCATCCGGGTCATCCAGTTCGTCAAGCCAGATAGTCTTGGTACTTCCTTGGCCACGACCTGCGTCCTCATGGACCAACTGAATACCCTCGATTGTGTGCTCCTCCGGATCTCGTAGCCTGGCATGGTCAAAGTTGTGCTGTTGCCGACGCGGAATGTTGAGTTGCTTTTCAAGTCTGATAAGTCGCTTTTGCAAATCATAATGATAGATCAGATGACAATTGGGATCCTGAAGGGCGGTTTCGCAGGTTGCCAGAGCAATTTGCCTCCAACGTTTCTTCTGAAGATTCTTTTGTGCTTCGGAAAATGCGGTTGTAGGAGGTTGTTCCAGCTCCCACATATACCGCTCCTCAACGAGGGCCTTTCGCTTATACCAAGCACCTCGCCGGGCAAGGTGAAAGAGTTGTTGGCTCAGTAGCTCGGCCAGTAGATCGTATTCATCCTGATACCAATGTAAGCGGCCAAGAGCTTCAGCAGCTTTATGCGCAATCCTCGTATAGGCATGACCTGCATTGAAGCGGCGAAGATACCCTCCTTCACCGAACTCATAGCCCGTGTTCTCCATTTTCTGTGCTTCAGCAAGCAGCTCTCTCCAACGAGGAGCTATGCTCTCGAACCTTTCCACGACTTTGCGATTCCCCTCTGCTCCCGGCGGCCCGTTGAACTCCAAGATGGTGTCTACCTCGAACTGGAGACGCATTGAATTCTCGAACTCCAAGAGATATCGCCGAGATGGAAAGATGTTAGCTGAGCGACAGACAACATATTCAGGAAAGTTCCTCCTCGAAATCTTGGCTAAGATGATTGTTGTCAGTGACTTTTCTGTCCATTCGGTAGACCGATAGAAAACCAAGTGAACACGTTCAAATAGCTTGAAGACAGACTCTGAAAGTCTGACGAGCGGGCCAGTGATAGCGAGAATCTTGTCCAGGAAATGCGCCTTTCGGTTGGTATCTTGTTTCTCCGTGTTTGCCTCTTCCGATGTCGAGTCCAACGATTGCATCGAGGCATTGGTGCTGGACCGTCGTAGTCCAACAGACATGAGGCTTGACTGCTGAGAACACATCCGGCAGAAAGCCTTGATGAGGTCTGGTTTGTTCTTGCCTTGGACTTTGGCATCCTTTGCGAGAGTTTTGAGCTCATCGAGAGAGAGCAGATGTGCAGCTTGCTCGACCGTTTTGATGTGCGATGCTGAATCATCAGCGAACGCGAACGTGTCGGCGAAGACATGCCCTGGTTCTGCCACGAATTCCTCGTCGGACTTCTTCACAGACTGTCCCTCGGGCAACGCTCGAGGCTCCAGTAGACTCTCAATGGCCTTCTCTATATCCGATATGTCGGAGTAATGCTTCAGTCGTTCTAAGCGATGCCAAGAAGCGGTTTTGCGCAAAAACAAACGCACATACCTGAAGAGTGTCAGTCAGAGATGGCCACGCTATGGCAGGGTTCCATACAAGTACTGAGCTTCATAGCTCAACGCTCTCCAATTCTCGAGTACACAGTTTTCCTTCTCCTCAAAAAGATGCGCTTCGTCTTGCAGAACTGTATCCAAGGCAAGGTTGAAAGCGTCAACGTAGATCGAACTTTGTCCTCGGACCCATTTCCGTGTCTGTAGCCGTGTCTCCGCGCTAACTTCACCATCCTCAGCTTGGGAAGACTTCAGCTTTTCGTATTCTTCGGTGATATCGTTGTCAATCTTGACTTCGGGCAGACTATCCTCTAAGGCCGTATGGTGCTGCGCTGCTAGAGCAGTCTCTGTGGCATCGCCATCTTCAGCATCACCACTTCCGGTCTTCCCGTCTCGAACGAGAGGCGAATCCCGATTTTGATCCGCCAGAAACAAATCCTCCTTTTGGTCACTGTTCAATGCTGCGGAAGAGTCATCGTCTTCAGCATCACTTTTCTGCCTGATTTGATCGGTTCGGCGCTTCTTTGTTGGTGGCCTTTCAGGTGTCTTATTGGTGTTGGTCCACCCAGCCGTCAACGCCAAAGGACTGTTGGACTTCTGGGACGGTCTTGTTCTCTTCACAAAACGGTCCATTCTATCTCCGGTGACTCTGGTGTTGGAGGATCGAAGACCATGGTGTACACCGACCGAAATAAATAAGTATACGCAGTGGCTAGAAGAAAGAAACTAAACACATTTCCTCCGCAACTTCCTGGAATCAAGGCGAGTGAAAGGTACGAACAAAGAGTGACGTGTGTAGAAAGGTGTTGAAACGGAACCGCGTGGAGCCTTCAACGCGAAGTCCCGTGACTGCGTGTGCCATAGTGGGGCACGCAGCGGAAGCGACGCTGATCTCCAGACGCAATTGGAGCTGCATTGGACCTGGAGCTTCCCCAGACGGGTGTCAACTTTCTCGAGCAGAGCATTACATACCACCTCAGGGCACCAAGTCACGGCTTTAACCACTTACACTATAGTCACTCAGGAACAAAGCGAAGCTCGGTATATTTTCGGCCGACTTGCTGTTATCGCAACGCATATTCTTTGTTATTAACTTCAAGATGGCCGCCAACGAGCCGCAACAGGGACATGCTCCAACAGAAGATGTAAACATGACCGATGCTCAGTCCGACAAACCAACTGTATGATCAATTCCTCTGGTCTTTTTCCCTCCATGTCTTCCTACAAACAAAGCCCATCACCATAGGCTCTTCCCCCAACTTTATCAAGCCATTCGTCCCACACGACGTCTCGACCTTGACTGCCCATACCCAACAACCACCTTACCCAGAAAACCAAAGCATATGCAAACAACTGACGCTCACTCTCCACATAAGCAGCAGCAGCAGCAACAGCACCTAACAAGTCACCACCACATCCCCGATCGCCCCCCTCACCCCGTCTCTCCGGTCCCGATCCCCCAAATCCCCGGCCGTCCAAGTCCCACAGGGGCACACCCCACCGCAAACCAAGGACCCAGCGCGATACGCTCTACAGCTACAACGAACGGCTCGACAGGCGAAGACCATCAATCTCAACCACTACCACCGTACCAGCAACGGGCTAGCTCGTCACGAGCTGCCTCTGCACACCCCCAGGATTCTGGTCAGGGTCAGCAACAGGGACCGGGATCAATGGGCACAGCAGGCATGCCCACGGAACCGACACTTCACGGCGCGCCGGTGAGGCAGTACTTGAATACCAAGGTGACGGGGCACTTGCTGGAAGGGATGAAGATGCTAGCTAAGGAGCAGTATGTTACACCCTTACACCCTCCTCCGTGCGTGGTTTACCTGTAAGGAAACTATTTCGCTAACCGAACCTGAGCAAAACAGACCAAAAGACCCCCTCCGAGCCCTAGGCGAATTCCTCCTCGAGCGATCTAAACAGTATGAGGGTGGTGGTGGCGCGAATGGTAGTTCAACTAGCGCATAGAAGGCTTCAGGCAGATGATCGAGCCAACGCACATACCGGGAGGCCGCGATCAGCGGCCACCGTAGTTCTCATAGGGTCTACGAAGAGTTTCACCTTGATGAGGTCTATACTTTTATGATCATAAAGGCAGCGGGACAAGGGAAGAAAAGAAATAAAGGAGCTCCTCCGGCGTCCAGGGAAAAAAAAAAAAAGGAGGGGGTGAACAAAGGACGGCATATGGTCTACGTGACAGAATCTGAAAGGTGACACATCATGATACCGCTTAAGTATGTGTTGGAGGCTGGAAAAGCGACAACGAAATGGGCTTGATTCTGGAGTTGTCTAACGGAAGAGGAGAAACGGAAACCAGGGCAGCCTAAATACCCAGGAAGGGAGTGCCAGTGAATGGGCAAGGCCAGTGAATGGACGGCCCAGGACACGGACTTCCAACAGTATGGCTAGGATAACATTGGTTTCACGTCACAGTGGTCATGAGATACGCAGGAAAACAGAACTTGAGGCAAGAGGATCGAGGAATTTGTATTTTTCAAACAAAAACCCCAGCTGACTTTGTCTTCATCATGGGTGCTGCTAGACATCCGCCTAGCAGATGATTTGAGCACGTTGAGCAGCAAAACTGCATCCCGATGCCTTTCTTCTCTGCAGTGACTTCCGAGAATGCAAGTTTCCTTTCCATTCCTCCCCCAACGGCCTGTTCAGTTTGTGTGGATCGACCAGACGTCATGCTAAGCATGCTGCAAAAGAAGACACCCGTAGAAGCCGACAAAGATCACTCCATCTCGACTCGGCTGCCCATCCTCTTTCACCAATATCTCGCGGTGCGTGCTCTACGCTTAGGAGACGATGGTGGAGGCAGTGGAAGACTCGTACTTCCAGGTGGGGGGAAGGACACCGACGGTCTTGTAGTAGCGAGCAAGACGGTGGATACGGGACTCAATGAGAATGAGACGGAACTTGGAGTCCTTGTCCTTGCGGTTGCGCTCAAGGTGCTTGCGGACGGCAACAGCCTACATTCAAATAACGTCAGTTAACTCCAGGTGATAATGCATGAAAATGACGGCGGGCCTGTCTTACCTTCTTGATGAGCATGTACAGGTCCTCCGGGAGATCGGGGGCAAGGCCTGTAAATAGCATCACTCTGTCAGCCAATCTGACCAAACAGAGGCATATGCGTCTTTGGCATGTTGTTTGTTTCCCAGCTCTTTCACTCGTGCCTTCTGCATCTAGCGCCAATGTCCCGTGTCGTCCATCCATCACGGGTGCCGATCAAGGCTACGCGCGCGGCGGGCTGAGCGAGAGCCGAGAAAGCTCACGGGACATGTAGCCCATATGCATCGAATTTTTCGAGTTTCGAGGGCCGGTAGGGATTAGGGGATTATCGTCGCGATTCGGTTTGTCTCGCTTCCGCGTGGGAAAATTCAAGGGAATTCGTCGGAGTAGTAGGCAGTCATACCGTTGGACTTCAGGATACGAAGGATCTTGTTACCTATGGAACCACCACCGTCAGCATTTCACCTCGGCATCAACTCGAGGACTCGGGAATGAACATACCAGTGACAACCTTGACCTGGGCAATACCGTGGGAGTCACGGAGGATGACACCAATCTGGGAGGGGGTAGCACCCTTCTTGGCGAGCTTGCAGATCTGGTCGACGACCTGCTCGGGGGTGGTCTTGAGCCACGAGGGGGGGTTGCGCGAGTAGGGGATCGCGGAGGCAGAAATGCCCTTGCCCTTAGAGTGCATACGGCCCATTTTGAAAGATTTGGTGGTGCTGCGGTTGTCGGGGGAGTGACTTCGGCTGGCTTGTCGTCGACAGAGAAGTACGAAGAAAATATCACCGGGCGAACGGTTTGGCGGTCGTGCGATATTCGCTGTGGGCTGGGAAAATTCGCTTGCTTAGTCAGGCTGTTAGGGTCGTCAATATGATTGGCTGTAAGGCACTGAATTTCGCACTTCAGGTTCCACATTCACGTGAACAGAGACCTGACCTGAACTTTTCTTTCTTGGCATCTCCCGCGTCCGCTCATCCAAGCATAAAACCGCTTTCCAGCAAAATTTTTCGTGAGGCTCGCACTTAAAATCTTCCTTCAATTATCGCCAGGTCGGCCGTTTGCCCGTTTGGACCATGCTGCTCGACAGCATTCGGCCATGATCTCCAGAGACATGCCTGATCGCAGTCCTGTCAAACTTCGGGAATTATCATCATAACGGTCGACCTGGTATCCTATTCACTTTGGTAAGCTTCTCACTGCTCCCTCTATTCCTTTCTTCGAGCCTCCTTATCCTGATGATACACACTTTATACTTTATTCTGGTACCTCTTATGTTAAAGTTCCTCTTTTGGGACTTGATGAATTAAACGGACTTCTGAAACTTAGCTTTCACACTCGTCTTGTTATTGCATAATTGGAGTCGTGCTCAGGCTAACGTTGCGTCAGACTTAGGTATCAATTTTCAAGCTCGAGATTGTGCGGTCGCCATGGCATGCGAACTGAGTTCGTTGTCGCGGGCGTTGGTTGGCGACCCCGGACATTTAGACTAAGATAATGATAATAAAGTGATCCCAATGCAACTTCCCTTGTGTCGATCGATGATGTATTTGTAAACCTTTGGCATGTAATCAAAATACACTTCTGAGTGTATTGATATTGTATCCTCTGTTTTTGAGCGCCCTGACTGTACCGCGGCTGAAATCCCATTAACTTCTGTACACGCCGCTGAGATCCCTACGATAACTTCGAGGAAATGACCGAACCTTGATACTAATGACGTTCTGATTGTTTCCTCATTGTCAATCAATAAATCAGGCCATACCATGCACGACTGCTGCTCTTCCTTTCAGTACAGTTAGACATATCCCTTCTCCTACTGCCTATCATCCTTCACCAGGCGTTGACATCAAAGTTCTCCTGTAGGGTTTATCAGTATAAATGAGCGAAGCAAATCAGAGCAAAGTTTATGAAACTAACCTCAGGGAAGTATGTCGCAACCACCGTGCGGTCAGCAAACTTCCTGCCTGCCAAAGCTTTGAGGGCCTTTGTTGCTTGGTCGGAATTCTCGTATTTAATGAAAATCTTGCCAACACCAGCAGACTGCCTGCTTCCGCCAGTGGGTCTGGGAATCTTTAGGGAAACAATAGTTCCGAACTTCTCGCATTCTTCCTGGACGTCGTCGCGAATTTCTTGAAAGCACACGTTAGCATCTTGAACAGTTGAAGTGACAGAAATGCTGAACAAACCTTCGTAATCGTCGTTGTCCATCAGCTCATCCGCTGTAACCATGTTCAGGAGCTGCACGACCCTGCTGACGTCGCCATCCAAGGAGGTGGTACCAGCAAGCATGGACATGGCGTTCACACTCAGTTCTCCAGCTACCTGTTGAATGCCATAGCTGGCCTTTTGAACCTTCAGCGCCCTATCGCCCAGCATCATGTTGTTGAGGCCGTCAATAGCGACAGATGTGACCGAAGAATCATGGTACTCGCAAAATGCGATACCCTAGGACATGTTAGCATGTGCGCTCGTTGGTGGAAGGGACCAGTAGGCTCACCCTCGACTCCTCTGTATGCTTATCCTTGACCAACACAAAGGACTTGAGCTTGCCAAAGGCAACCAAGAGCTCCATGATTTGCTCTTCGCTCAGATATGCGGGGATGTTGGTGACGCTAATCTTGTTAGGGCTGTCGATGACAATGCTGGAAGGAACCTCTGAATCAGGGTCGTAGTTGGGGTCCTCAACAATTGCAGGTACGATGTAGTCCTTCGGCCTACGGATCTTGAGCCCACCGGCACCAGCAGCACCATTGGCATCCTCGGCCTCCATGGTGATACCGTCAAGGGCCAGAGCGACTGTAGCATCCGGGCTGTTCCTAAACTCAAGCATGGCGAAGCTGTGGTCGGGAGATATTTGGCACTGGACGCAAGGATCGGCGCTATCGATAACATTTAGGCCATTGAGCTGAAGGTTGAAGAAGCCCAACAGGCTCTCGTCGGTGGCTGACGGTGGGATATTCGAGACAATAAGTCGTTTGCTCTGGCGGGAGTTCGTAGGCTTAAGGGCGGTACTGTTGACAGCTCCACCTGGCTGGGTCATGAAAGCCTGAAGCTTGGTCGGGTCCATGGCCTGTTGTCGCGGGGCGCCAGGTAATGGGAACATGCCCGAGAGCTTGGCCTGCTCCGCGGTGACGTTGCCATATCCGGGAGGTTTGATATCCCACTGTGTCATGCGCCTCTTGCGCTCCAGAACAGGAACGACATCGGTCAAGTCGGGTGTCGGTTCCCTCTTTTTGGGGGGCGGCGAGACACTCCTCCTGCGCTCCCTGTCCGCCTCTCGGTCCCTTCTGCCTCCACCGCGGCGATCATCTCCCATCACGTCGCGATCTCTGTCCCGGCGACGGCCGCCTTCGTCATCGTCCCTCCGGCTGCGACCTCCACGCTCGGCCCCGCGGTCAGCGCCACGATCCGCACCACGGTCGGCTCCACGGCCGGCTCCACGGTCGGCGCCCCTGTCACGATCCCACTCCCTATCACCACGATCGGGTCCACGACGGTCGCGGCCAGAGTATCGATCTTCTCGCTCGCGGTCGCGGTGGCTGCGGCTCGATGAATAAGCGTCAAAATCGCCGTCTTCGCGACGGGGTCGGCTGCTCCGGTAGTCGGCGGGAGAGCGAGAGCGTCTGCGTCCACTGCCTCGGTCACTGCGATCTCCACGGTCACGTCTGTCATCGCGGTCACGTCTCGAGGACTGGTAATGGGTTAGCTTAGGCCCGCAGCAATGACCGCTGTCAGGTTTGTATACGAGGCACACTTACTGGATAGTCGCGAGACGAACCGTGTCGGCCGCTGTCTGTTTCGCCACGGTTAAGTTAAGATCTAGCGGATAGCCACGGTCAGTGCCAACATACCTCTGGAGGAATAGGTGTCCCCGTTCATGATCAACACAAATCTCGTTAAGTATAAAAGGGACGGTACGAGATGGTTGCGCCAAAGAAGTGGGAAAATGTTCTGAGGGTGTTTGATGAAAAGGAAAGTGGCTTTGCTTGAGCTTCCAATTGCGAGTCTCGTCGATCGCGAGGCTGCAACTTTTCCAGCAGCCGTTGTTACTGCAGAGGGCGCTTGCTCCTCTTTCGGCTTAGCGCGCTATGTTTCCGTGCGATTCGGTTCCACTGACCCATCCACACGGAGTTTGACGCCCTGCCTTGGCGTGGCAACATCACCGCAGGGCATTTATAGTGCATTGTCCCCTACCAAATCCGGGTTGGGATTTTGGGTCCATGAGAAACAAGAGTAACCAATCCACCTGCATAATAAGGGATGGTGACAGAATTTCATATCAAACCACTATAGAAGACCCTTATACCCTTTTGTTTCATTTGCAAAGTCCAAGAGTGTCTAATAAATACGACATGGCAGCCCAGAAAGTGACAGAATGGCGCAAACTACCCATCAGTCTCACAGAGCTCTGCATCGAAACCACACTCCGATGCGGCCAGTCCTTTAGATGGCGCAAGATAAATGAACAATGGTCGGAATACACACCATTATCTTACTCTTTTTTCTTTTCTCTGTTCAAAGTATCAAGTCCTAACAGTTTTCCAGGCACTGCGTTCTCAAAGGCCGTCTCATCTCCCTAAAACAAGATCCCACCCATCTTCACTACAAAGTGACATGGCCTACCTGTACAGCAACTCCCAAAAATGAACACCCCCAAGACTTCGAAGACGACACGTCCGTCCTCCTCCACAACTACTTTGTTCTCTCTCACTCCCTCACTACCCTCTACACCCAATGGTCCCTTTCAGATGCCAACTTCGCCCGGCGTGCGCCCGCCTTCACGGGGATCCGCATCCTTAACCAGGACGCATGGGAGACGCTGATCTCCTTCATCTGCAGCAGCAACAACAACATTTCGCGCATCAGCCAGATGGTGATGAAGCTGTGTACGCACTACGGTCCTTATGTGGCCACCGTGGAGGGAGAAGCGTTTCATGATTTCCCCGGGCCGGAGGCGTTGGCGGGGGATGGGGTCGAGGCCCATCTGAGGGAGCTGGGCTTTGGGTATAGGGCCAAGTACATTGCTGAGACGGCGGGGTGTGTGGCGCAGGTTTATGGGGAGAGGTGGTTGCTGAGGTTGAGGAATCCGGGTGTTCCTGCGTTGGGGGCGGCTGAGGAGGATATTTCAGTGAAGAAGGAAGAAGGGGCAGAAGAGAAGGAGCCTGTTGAATCCAAGGCTGACTTGGACAATCCACCGACCTACCAGAAGGCTCATGAAGCTCTGTTGACTCTGCCGGGCGTTGGCCCCAAGGTGTCGGATTGTGTGTGCCTAATGGGTCTCGGGTGGGGCGAGTCTGTTCCCATCGACACGCACGTTTGGCAGATCGCGCAAAGAGACTACAATTTTGGTGGGAAAGGGTCTGCCAAGACCAAGACGCTCAACAAGGCCATGTATGTGGCCGTAGGCGACCATTTCAGGAAGATCTGGGGTCCTCAGGCTGGTTGGGCACAGAGTGTCCTCTTTACTGCGAATCTCAAGTCATTTTCCGAACAAGCAGCAGGGGTAGAGAAGAAGGGGGTGGTGAAAGTCGAAGAGGAAAGCCAGGAAGAGATGGTTACGACTGCTGAGGTTGTGCCCAAACCCGGGAAAAATAAAGGAGTGGTGGTCAAAATCGAAGAAAGCGAAGAGATGGCCGCCACAACGTCAGTGGCCATGTCCAGGAAACGGAAAACGGTTGCTGCGGAAGTGATACCAAAAGCTGAACCGGACGCCACCGTCCATACGACAACAACCCGGACGTTACGATCCAGTAAAAGAATAAAGAGTCAAGTTTGAGGTCGAGAATAACGCCGATGGGGCTGCTTTGTTACCAATATATACCAACTTGAGCACATATTCCCATCGGATTCACCTCCTCAGTAAACCCACTTTCCACTCCTTAAATACCCGTTCAGTGGTAGGCAGCAGACAGTTACTCCTGTCTAGACGTTCCATAACCTCCTTGATGGCCTCTGTCGGAAGGTTCACCTCCTGGGCATCGCCAGTAAGTGAATCCAGCATGCGGTCAGCCTCCTCTCGGGGAACCAACCGATAAAGCAGTTTGATAGCCGGGATACCACTTTCAGCTCCTGGCCTCGTAACCGTGGCCTCCATGGCAGATGATGTAAACACGATACCACTGTTAAGCACCCATACGTGGACAACTTGGTCCTTCCCTACCCCTTCTTCCTCTGTGGTTGTCATAGTCTCTGTGATGGGAAGCAACAGCGACTGGGAGGATCCTGATCGTGCTATGGTGGAAATCAGGGTCGCGGCAAGACACTCTTCAAGTCCTGGGCTGAGGTTGGACACAGAATCGCAGGAAATCTGCCACTTTAGGAGTGTGACTGCGGCTGTCCGGAAATTGTAAAAGCCGAGCTGGGATTGACAGGAAGAGCAAAACACGTTGAGGCTCCGAATCTGGTTACTGCTTTCGTCTGAAGCAACAACTTGCCTCTCTGGCGATCCATGCTCAGGGGTAGAGAGTGAATACTAAAGAGCGGAAAGATGGTCAGCACTAACTGACGAGGGGAGAGGTTTACTGGTGTGAAGAGTTGAGAAAGGATGTTCCTCCAGTTAATCCCAGAGCATTTAGGACTTGGCAATGATCTGGCGAAATGCGGAGGGTTCAGCCTGTCAGCCACCGAATGGAAGCGCCCCATCACAGAAGTCAGGTTCGTCAACCACTCAGTGCCCCGCATAAGCAGGGGACAGAGTCTGCTTGATTTTGGGCATTTGTATCGGTATCCATGCCATTGAGGGGCCGAAGCCGACTTGGCTACCTTCTTGATGCCCCGACTGCTAGGATTCAAATGGACACAATCGAGACGGTGAATTGACCAAGTCATGAGCATGCTACATATGGACTTACCGTGATGTTGGAACAGTCCTGCTCGACGAATAACAGCGTTGTCAAATCAACAAAACCAACACCTTGTTGCGCCGAAATGGCCGAGCTCGCGCCATATCCTCGAGCTGCAAGACTCATGTCATCTGCTCTAGCGCTTTGCCCGTTGGCATCAACGCCGTTTGACTTGTCGTGGTGGTGATGGTCATGATCGTGGTCACCAGGTTTGTGACAGTGCCAAAACTCCATCATCTCAGCCCAGTTCTCACTCGGGAGGTCTTTCCACACCTTGACAACATCTCGCTTGACAACAACGGCCTGGCATCGTCTACAAACAACTTCGGAACCGGCCTTCAAATCGGTGGCTGTCCAAGTGGACGACTCGGCTGATGATGCATCCGTGTATGTTGCTTGACCCAACGGTAACCTCCAGGAGAGCGCAGAGGCTCCAGGCCTTTGTATTGGCAGAATGGCGCCGCCAAGGGCTACCTTTGCGGGTAGATGTAGTGTATGAGACTGTCCATGGTGTGTGAGCTCGACTTTCTCCCCATCCGCTGCCACCACTACTCGTGTTGACGCATCGCTTGCAGAGCCCAGTGAGATGGCCAGCGATATCTGGCGGATATTTGAGAGCAACTCTGCATACAGCAGCGGCGTTGCAGGTTGGGATGCCATGCTGGTCGAAACGAAGATGAAGCGAGGTTGCGAGACGAGAAATGGATGGAAGTTGAAGTTGTGAAAGTGAAAGTGCTGCCTCCCCACATGAGCTAAGTGGAAATGGATGGAAGCTCCCCTGCTCCCCACCGCGATCGAAAGCGTCGAGGTCTGGACTGCTTACCTAATGCACCTGGAGCGCCACTTGGAGTGGAAACTTCAGGTGCAGCCTTGCCAAGCCCGTGTCAGCTCTCACAGTCACGTCCCGTCACCAGTCGCTGGCCAAAATTTCAGGGAAGGCGTGTGCACCGTACCGCATCCACTGCGCCAGTCTTCAGCCGTGACCTGCATCCTTCTGCCTCCACCGTCTAGTCCTTTGCTGATAGCCTCAGTTATACCACGACAAAGTGTCAAACTGTCACCGTCAATCTTAGCTGCCCCGTCAGTTACCATACCCGATTCCACCCAACCACCCACGGGCAGCGCCACATCATCACGTCCCGTTTCCTCCCGACCATATACCATCATTCACCCTCGCGGCGCGCTGGACATTCTTGCGACGACCCCGACCTGACATGACACGAGGAGGATACGGCCAGCACCATGTCGGACTCGGATTTTGAACAGATCAAGAAGCTCCAGCAGGAGCGCAATGCTGCTGCCGCCGCCAAGAGCGGTTCGCGCAGCTTTGATCCTGCCAACCAACGATCCGACAACAGCACCAAAGCCAAGCTGGGAGAAATATGGGACACCGATCTGTATGAACGCAACAGCGGCGACAAGTTTGCGGGCTACCACACCACCCTGCCTGCTGCCGATGGCGACGACGAAGAGATGGAAGATGCCGACTCCGGCCGTCGCCTAGTAGGACAGTACACCGCCACCCGAGCTCAGATCGATGAGTTTGCACGCGGCGATGGCGTCGAGGAGGACGATCCCCTGGCTGGCCGGGGCGAAAAGAGCAACCGCATCACCGACAGGGAGACCGACTACCAGAAGCGCCGATTTGACCGCGTTCTGACCCCTACACGAGCCGACCCATTTGCTGCCAACCGCCAAGCAGGTGCCACTGAGGAAGGCGAAAGTTACCGGGAAATCATGGAACGCCGCGAGCTTGAGCGAGAGGAAGAGCGCGTACGGCGCGCCATTGAACAGAAGATGAAGGAGGGCGGTCCGGTCGAGGAGCACCAGCCTACCCTTCAGGATTCCGGTAACAAGGAGAACGAGGAGGCTGGCTCTACTGAAGCTGCGGCTGGTCGGAAGCGCAAGAAGAGATGGGATGTCGCCTCTACAGATGATGCCACCCCGGCACCAGAGCCCAAGAAGAGGTCTAGGTGGGATCAAGCACCATCTGTTCCCGCTCCAGGGGCGCCAGGGGCGGAGCCCAAGAAGCGATCCCGCTGGGACCAGGCGCCTTCTGCCACTCCTGTTGGTAACGTCGGCCTAGCTACCCCGATGCACCCTACCCAGACTGCCGTCGTGCCCCCAGCTTTCGGCGCTGATGCGGCCGGTCGCTACGCACCACTCAGCGACGAAGAGCTGGACGCGATGCTTCCAGGCCCCGAACAAGGTTACAAGATTCTTGATCCGCCACCAGGGTATGCCCCCGTGCGAGCACCGGCACACAAGCTGATGCAGGCTCCGGCCCCAACAACGGGCTTCATGATGCAGGACCCCGACAGCGGACGGATGACAGGCCAGCAGGTGCCAAAGGAGATTCCCGGTGTGGGAGACCTGCAATTTTTCAAGCCCGAAGATATGGCATACTTCGGCAAGCTCACCGACGGAGCAGATGAGGAAAGCTTGAGTGTTGAAGAGCTCAAGGAGAGAAAGATTATGAGGCTCTTGCTGAAGGTCAAGAACGGTACTCCTCCTATGAGAAAGACTGCGCTCAGACAATTGACAGATAATGCTCGCAACTTTGGTGCCGGCCCCCTCTTCAACCAAATTCTTCCTCTGCTCATGGAGAAAACATTGGAGGACCAGGAACGCCATCTTCTCGTCAAGGTTATTGATCGTATCTTGTACAAGCTCGATGACATGGTTCGACCATACGTTCACAAGATTCTCGTCGTTATCGAACCCCTTCTTATCGATCAGGACTACTATGCCCGTGTTGAGGGTCGGGAAATCATTTCGAACCTCAGCAAGGCTGCTGGTCTTGCCACAATGATCAGTGTCATGCGTCCAGATATTGATCACGTCGATGAATATGTCAGAAACACTACTGCCAGAGCCTTTGCCGTGGTTGCCTCGGCTCTGGGTATCCCAGCTCTGCTCCCCTTCTTGCGAGCTGTGTGCCGAAGCAAAAAGTCGTGGCAGGCTCGTCACACAGGTGTCAAGATTGTCCAGCAGATTCCCATCTTGATGGGCTGCGCAGTCTTGCCCCATCTCAAGCAGCTGGTTGACTGTATCGGACCCAACCTGAACGATGAACAGACCAAGGTCCGCACAGTGACCAGTTTGGCCATCGCAGCTCTCGCCGAGGCATCTAACCCCTACGGTATCGAGAGCTTCGATGATATTCTCAACCCCCTTTGGACCGGTGCCCGAAAGCAGCGAGGCAAGGGTCTGGCGGGTTTCCTCAAGGCTGTCGGTTATATTATCCCGCTTATGGATGAAGACTATGCCAACTATTACACCAGTCAGATTATGGAGATTCTGCTACGAGAGTTTGCCTCTCCCGATGAAGAGATGAAGAAGGTTGTGCTAAAGGTGATTTCACAGTGCGCCGCCACCGATGGAGTAACGGCTGGGTACCTAAAGGAGCATGTGCTGGACGAGTTCTTCAAGAGCTTCTGGGTACGGCGTATGGCTCTGGACAAGCGCAACTACCGACAGGTCGTTGAGACCACTGTCGACATTGGCCAAAAGGTTGGTGTCAGCGAGATTCTGGAAAGGATCGTAGCCAACCTGAAGGACGAGAGCGAAGCCTATCGTAAGATGACGGTGGAGACGGTTGAAAAGATTGTGGCCTCTCTCGGTGCTGCCGATATTGGCGAGCGTCTGGAAGAACGCCTTATCGATGGCATTCTTCATGCGTTCCAGGAACAGAGCGTGGAGGATATCGTTATGCTTAACGGCTTCGGTTCGGTGGTTAACGCATTAGGCACCCGATGCAAGCCTTACCTTCCTCAGATTGTCAGCACCATTCTTTGGCGTCTCAACAACAAGTCAGCTACTGTACGACAGCAAGCAGCCGATTTGATCTCCCGCATTGCCATGGTCATGAAGCAATGCGGTGAGGATGCCCTCATGGGTAAGCTTGGTATTGTTCTTTACGAGTATCTTGGTGAGGAGTATCCCGAGGTCCTTGGCTCCATTCTTGGTGCTCTCCGCTCCATTGTTACTGTCGTGGGCATCAGCCAGATGCAGCCCCCTATCAAGGATCTTCTGCCTCGCCTGACCCCTATTCTTCGTAACCGACACGAGAAGGTACAAGAGAACACGATTGATCTCGTAGGTCGTATTGCCGATCGCGGTCCAGAGAGTGTCAACGCCCGCGAATGGATGCGAATCTGCTTCGAGCTTCTCGACATGCTCAAGGCTCACAAGAAGGGCATCAGACGTGCTGCCAACAACACTTTCGGTTTCATTGCCAAGGCCATTGGTCCTCAGGATGTCCTTGCAACCCTTCTGAATAACCTCCGCGTTCAGGAGCGTCAGTCCCGTGTCAACACGGCCGTCGCCATCGGTATTGTTGCCGAGACATGCGCGCCCTTCACCGTGTTGCCTGCGCTCATGAACGAGTACCGCGTCCCCGAGCTCAACGTTCAGAACGGCGTGCTCAAGTCGCTCTCCTTCCTCTTCGAGTACATCGGCGAAATGGCCAAGGACTATGTCTACGCTGTCACGCCACTCCTGGAGGACGCCCTCATTGACCGTGACCAGGTGCACAGACAAACAGCCGCTAGTGTTGTCAAGCACATTGCCCTTGGCGTTGTTGGTCTCGGTTGCGAGGATGCCATGGTTCACTTGCTCAACTTGCTGTATCCCAACCTTTTCGAGACCAGCCCCCACGTTATCGACCGCATCGTCGAGGCTATCGAGGCCATCAGGATGGCCGTTGGTCCGGGGCTGGTCCTCAACTACGTCTGGGCCGGTCTTTTCCACCCGGCGAGAAAGGTACGGACACCATATTGGCGTCTGTACAACGATGCATATGTCCAGTGCGCGGACGCTATGGTGCCGTATTATCCCAATCTCATCGAGGAGGGCATCGACAGGACGGAGTTGGCGATTATGCTTTAGGCGATGGGAAGCAGGTTAGTCTAGCAGGAGCAAACAGGTTTCTTGTTTATATGGTTCAGCTTCGTTATGACGACGAGGGTGAACAACGCAACTTTTTATCGAAGCGTCTTGGGGTTTGGGCGCGCTATGCGCCATTGAAGGCTTTACACCCATAAACATACGCGCACAACAAAAGAAGGATCAAGTGATGTCACTATGGTTTTATGTGCGATATACACTGAAATGCGGTCTGTGCCAATGTCATCGTTTGTCGTATTGGTTAGGACATCATAAGATGATGGCATGCTATATTGTAAGAGAATGGTGGATGGTTGTTCTTAGGTCAGAAAGTAGCTAGGTTGTTACATATGCACCTGTAAAGCTAGGTCAGACGAGCAGATGAGTGCAAAAAGGGATCAATACATAATGAAGGAGTTCATCGATGTTCCCTCTTGGACTTCAACGTTGACAATTTTCGATTCCCTCATGAAACTATTTGGCTAGAGATTGTAACAGATCGTTGACAGATTGACAAATTTTTTCCTTCTCGTCTCACCTCTGCTTCACCTGCCTTTCCAACTCGCCTTCACCTCTCTCTTCACCTCCTTCTTCACCTCTCTAATGATTCGACAAACACACCACCCTTTACTAATCTCCATCTACTTACACTAGTCCTGTATTATATCTTAGTTCACTCTCCGTCGAGTTTATTTGGTAAACCTCTTGTATCCAGTGTTTGTCAACTTTTATAGGCGATAGACAACTGATCTAGATTTAGTTTGCTAATATATACGAATCTTCTATGTTTCACTACTAGTAACACTTTATTCCGTTCCAGATCACTCTGAGAATTCGTTTACATCCTGCCTGTACTTGTTCATGGACCGGGAGGCAAGGACAACCGAGGCTTTGGCTGCTCGCTCTTTCCCGCTTGCTCTTTATCCTTCCTGTTAGTATACCTAGAGGTACATATCCTCCGACTCCTTCTTGTATGAGGTAGCTTCCAACCTCCACTCTACAGAAGATCCAACCCGTGTCTTCTTTCCTTGAGTATCTCCTGTACTGATCTATTATCTCGGTCGAGGGACGCCACAGGATGATATTGCTTAGAGGTATATGCACTGTGCACTTTCGATATATGTTGGCAAGCGAACATCGTCCTATGATCTTTTACAGGTTTGGCGGACTCGGCTGCAGTGCACATCGGCTGTATTATAAAGGAAATACAAATCTCTCATAAACCGCCTACATAGAGGTGCTCACACTGTCATGATCCAGCTGGTGTTTGGATGATATTTTCCCTCGAATTTGCAATCCATAGCTAACATATCATAGATAGTTGCCGATGAAACCCCGGGGCAGTCCTCACTTCCATCACAAGAGTTTCATTTCTATGAGCCGTAATGGAGCACCCAGCCGTATGAGCCTGGCAGTATGTCTCTGCCCTATGTCCCGGATATAAGTGGCATCTAGTAATTGACAGCTACCATTTGATCGTTGTTTTACACTACATTTTTGAGTAAAGTAACCGATGTCAGTCATCGCTTCGACTGCTTCGATCATGGATACTTCATTTAAACAGGATGTGAGCATTACATAGCCAGGTGGCAATCATACAGTTTCATGAACTTGCAATCTATATATAGACCTGTGATGTCTCTCCTTGCCACATCGAAGAAGGCCGTGGGTGTGAACTGAACTTTCTTAGGTATTGGTAGATTGTTACTTGTGTATGGCAATAGTAGGTAATTTCATTTATGTCTTTTCCAACCAGACAAGCCACTGCTTGGGGCTGATATTACAAGATGCGGTTCCCGTGAGACTTTGGCGCGCAAGTCTGGTGTGAAAGGTCCAGAGATTTGACTGAGTCTAGATCTAGGTACTTGGCTATGGGAACAAATTACGAAGCAAATTGCGGTTGCGTTATTTTCAGATCAACGTGTTGCATTTATGTAAGCTGTTTGAGAGGATACACAGAGTTAGAAGCAGTTTGTCGTCTAGTCCAGTATCTAGACATATTATGCCTGTGCTAACTGTGTAGTCATTCTATAGTGTACCTACATACCTAGTAAGTACGTGGTTGTTCTCCTAGTACTTGCCTCTACACGTGTGGTTAGTTCTACGACACAATGTGCTCCTTTAGCTACAGTCGATGTTCAGAATTCAGGTACAGTATTCAAAAGTGGGAGTGTACACTGCAGAGTAACAATATATAGTACCCGTGGTTCGGGAATAGGGGTCCAAGAAATGTTTCCAACTGTTCAGAAGCAGAAGCCACGGCTCGTTACTCTTTTTCGACTGGATCATATGGACCTGACGCTCAGGTCGTCACCAAGCGACATCTCGCTCTCCAGATCGAACCTGCCAGGATCTGTCTCCAGGGGCAATAATTCCTCCAGCTGCCCGACAACAATGGACTGGAATGTAGGAAGGAGGAGAAGAAATCACAGTGTCACCAGGGAAGCACTCGAAGCCTGAACCATACCGCAGTAATGACAAATCAGGTGACACCGACTTGTCTTCATGTTAATTAGCCGACCAGGGCGACCGTGTAATCACCCGCGGCGACCGTGTCGAAGCAAGGTTCAAGTCGCTCCCAGATCCCTAAGGTCGGTTATTAGGGTAAGCGGTGAGGGTTACTTATCAGAGTTAGTTCCGTAGGGAGGGGGGTGCCAATGAGAGGCCCCCGCATATAGATATAGAGTCAGCGCATCAGAATTCTTGGAGCTCTCGTTATTGAAGTTCACAGTGGTAACTCCTTGAGGATGATTATCGTGACCTTAGCTTCGCGGCCTTGATGCCGAGCATCAAGTATGCGGTTCGTGCAGTCTACTCACAGTCGTCCAAGTGAGCCCGTCAAGTCAATCAAGGTGTCGCTTGAAAAAGGAGGATTGCTACTGGCTGACCGCTCGTAGACCCCTGGTTTCCCCATCAGCCTAGGTACTTCTAACTTACCATCTGGCGTCCCCTGGTCCAAAGAAAGGGGACCTAGAAAGGGAAACCGAAAACAGGAGAGAGGCCGAGACGACCCAAAACTTGTGAGATCCGTAACACGTTACGGAGTGAAGCGGAGCATGATACGGAGATAGATGTGACGCAATCAATGCATCAAGGAACGAGTGTTTCGTGTTGATAAGGTGGACGTGTGCAGAGACAGAGTGTGTGGGCTCGTTGCTGTCGTGGTGCTGGTCAAGTTCTGGCGCCGCGCTTTCCCTCTCATTCAGTGAATGATAGTTGTAGTTGCAGGCTTGCGGTGGGGAATGAACAGTTGGTGAAAGTAACACTAAAAGTGATGGCAATTTGGCCTGACGCAACATGGCATTTTGGAAATGCGGTTCAAATACTCGTCCAGCTGACGGGTTGGTCAGACGGCAGGCAGGATTGGATGGTCATGTCGAGGTGGGATTGACGCACTGTTATTGATTGGTATTGACCGCGTCAGTTTAATTTAGACATATCAGATTGATTGTACCTCTACAGTTGGTCGTGTGTGTCGTAGAATTGAGGGTGTACTAGTGTTTTTTTTCTTTGTTTTTGTCTCTCTTCTTTTTGGTGGTGGTGCGTGCGGATGGAGTTGGTGTGGCAGCTGTACACGTGTAATGGCTGTATCTGTTCACCTCAACCCCAACGCCCAGCGATATTAATGGAAGCCCAGGATCGCGCCGTTCGTTGCAGTCGCAATCTCAGTCGAAAATCCCCCGCCATATGAGATCATCTGTTTGTTTCATGTTTGCTTGCTCTCGGCAGTGCAAAGTAACGGTGAGAGGCAACCTTATCTGGATCGATCTTGAAGCTGTCGACGTTTAATTTGCCAAGTAAAGGGACGTCGTTGTTTGATTGACTCTCAACTCATCCACTTGGGCGCGTACTGGGCAAAGCAGAGATTGGAGACGTGTCAAAAGCCAAAAGTGAAAGATTAAGAACAGTCTGTAAAGTGAGATCTTTCAGCGACTGTGTGCGTTGTGTCGGACGAGCTAATGCACACGGGATGCTGCTAACCACGGTGTACACTACGTACAATCTTGACCTCTCTTGATGCAACTTCATTTCAGAAGCGACTTTTCTTGCAATAAGTAGAGTGTTTGTCAAAAAAGGGACTTGGCGTCAAGTGTAGAGACTTGAGGTAGGACAGGAGTATAAGTGTGTACTCCCCATTGCAACTACTACTGTACATACCTAGTAGCAGCTAGCACTGCAGTCCTAGTATGCCTGGGTCTGCCACCTCAATCTGGCACTCAACTTCAACTGGCTGTAATGAGTAGGGAGTTTTAGCACAAAGAAATGAAAAAGGGGGGGAGGGGGAAGTTGCAACTGCAGGGGTAAAGACTGTACCGTTTTCATTGCATTCCCTTTCTTCATTACGCATGCAGCAACAAGCATGCAAGTAGCAAAAACATATACGAGTATATTTTTCTTCACTCTTTCTTGGCACCCTTCCACTTTGCGATAGTAAATAGATGTAGCTTGGGTGTGTCATTGAAATCATCCGCTGAACCATTGTTACAATAACATCGGGACTACCCTACAAACCTTCCGTTACTTGGGCTCGTAGTTTTCCATTATCTGACAACCTCTTAATTTCGCAGTGGCCGGGCTTCATTCAGATTCGACTAGTACTCGGGCAGTACAACTGTACTGTGAGGTTTGCAGTGGGGTCAAGACGGTGCGGCAAGAACAATAGTTTGGACTGTGCTTGTCCGGTCACGGTGCAGCACAGGGGTTGCGGAGTAGCCACCAAACAGCCACATGACGTCACGAGGCATGGGATTCGGCTGGGAAGACGTGCCCTCGAAGAAAAAAAACCACATGCGTTCCATTTTGTAATCGTCGTCAACCTCACTGTGGCCTTTCCAAACAGTTACTGTAACAACACCAATCTAGCCAGCATGGGTACCCTCCGAGAGATACTTTACTGGGGGCTAAGCCGAACCTAACAACATTACACCGAGTGGGACTTCACGAAATAATACACAGTAGTTATTGCTCACACCTTAGTCACCTCAACCCACCTCTGCCACTCTCATCCTGGCCCGCCCTTTTTCAACCACTCTGTGAAGCGCGGTTCTGATTCCGCCCCTGGACATCCTGACAGGTCACAGACAGGGGCCCTGGCACATATC